CTACCTCTTTGGGAAAAGAAAGGATGTACATTAGAGTATATTCTTTTGAAGTTCGCGAGTCCCGTATCTGCGGATGGTGTACCGGCCATGCTCCCAGTGGATGCGCATCCCAGATCTCAGGACCCAATCTTGTTGATGGCCTCGCGCCGTTTCCTCTCAGATGCATCGGTTGCATACTGTGTACCACTGGGGTAGTAGTACGGTAAGATTGACAACGTGTACGCCGGGACGGAGTCGAGCAGAGAGAGACCCTGGCGGGTGAGGATCCACCAGTGGTCCATGCTTGGAAAATGTGGGGGTTCATTGGGATCAGTTGCCGCTGTAAGCTCTTCAAAAATCAGTGGGCTTACACGAAACTCCAACCATCACTGGTCCGGCAGGGAGTATATCCGTCGAAAGTCGGGGTGTGTTTAGTGTACAACTAGTAATCTAGCTGCACAGGTGAGGCAACCAGCGATCAAGCCAGGATTAGCCGCCGTTGATGACCATCCCACAGTATGACGTCCTGAGGCAGAAATGGCTTACCACTGCTACCTCTGCAACCAATATTCGTAAAGGTTAGCCTATGCGTGCTATATATAGGCCCAGTATGAGTGACACCATTCCACGATGATCATGGTCAACAAGTGAAGCCATCGCCGATGGGTGGACAGTTCGCTCCGACATCGACCGAAGGTCCGGCTCTGAAAGTAACGAAGTGGCAAGGAGACGGGAAGACAGACTGAATTTCAGTTTCGCCATCCATGCTGGAACACGTCGATGGCTGAGAGCAAAGAAAGAGAAGGCATAGTACTTGAATGGGAGAGTAACTTGAGTGACTGTACTCCGACAGTACTGTACTGAGTAGCAGAGTTCAGGGTTAGTTAGTAGTAGTTTACTGGTGCCCAGTGCAGGTAGACCAAAGTAGACTAGCTTATTGCACGGGCCGCGACCAAGGGGGCCTCGACACCTTAGGCCAAGTTAGCGCCGAGTCGGCTGCTGCACACCATCTTCAAGGTTCCTTCCTCTGCACCCATCAATCCACCCACCCATCCATCCATCCATCCATCCATCCCGATCCAACGAGGCACCGCCTGTTCTTCTCGCTCAGCCCCGGCTTGACTTCACTTGACTTGACTTCTCCGGTGATCGGAGCAAGATCCTAATTGCGGGTGTGCTTTCTGTGGAAACCCTGGTGATCTGGAACTCACCCATACTCTTCTTACCTATCTAGCTAGCTAGCTGTTCACCTGCTTCGCAAGCTAGACTCGCACGATCCCCATTTATTACCGAAGGAGCTGAAGCTCGATCGGCTAGCGAAGTCAACCCTTTTCCGACCCCATCTGAGGTGCCACTACGGAAGATCTCCGGAGTGTATCCATCCACCGCTCAACCGTCTGACAAATGACATTGTGTCGCTGCCAAAGTGGGCGATCGTAGCACCGTTCAACAGATCTAAGAATGTGACCTCCACAGACACCTGCCATCAAGCTCTGCTCCTAGGAAGGGAACTGGCCAGACGGGTTGTCTTGACCATACACAGAAGCATACTGAATTCTACGCTACCGCTGGCCGAGAACGCCCCTGACAGCACCATCGCATAGTGCACTTTCCTAGCACCGAAAATTCTTTTCCTCGTCAAATGGGGATGGTAGCTCTTCGGTGGCCTGCAGCTGCTGATGCAGTCTTTATCGCGACTTCGCTAGAACGATAAGACAAGGCCACAGCCGCGGGTGCCACGGAACACTATGATCCGACGCAGGATAATGCAGAGTGTCAGGATTCCGCCTGCACTTCTGGGCAGACAAAACACAGGACAATCGCTTTGTAGATCCTATGAGACGCGAGTAACGAGCAGAAAATTCTCCGAGCTCGTGCGTGGACGGACTGTATGCAAGATGGCATCATGGGAGGATGGCGATCCTGCACCAACACGCTATCTCCCACGCTGCTCAGAATTTGACGCCTTCGTGAATGTGTCCAGCGATCAATATGTTTTAGAAACAGATGGGCTAAATGGTATTCGTATCGCGGGAGGCGATGTCTGAAGGCAAGCCGCTGACTCGGTTTGGTACTTACATGGCCAATGTGAACTCAATGAGGCGTTTTTCTCCCAGTCACACACACGCACTTAGTACTGTACTGCTAGGTAGCAGGTACAGTACTAGTTTACGCCAGTCCCACTCAAGGCCAAAGACTAGACGGAGATGTTATCACGAAGGGGACGGTGATTGGGTTGTGCTGTTCTCAAATATAACTCAGTGCTGCTTGAGTCATGCTTGACTGGCCTAGCACGCCATTCACTATCCTGATTACTGGCACTGGTGTAATAAGAGTCAGGGTCATGATAGGTGCTGCGGTGATGTTGAACACTCCGATTCCGTGCTAGCCACTGGGAGGCGTCGTTGGGTGTCCCACCGACCCACCATTGGAGCTCTGACCAGTCACTAATTTCCAAGGTGTTACGACGGCTTCCTCGTGCATCCTCTGGTCCCGTCGATGCTGCCGCAGAAGGTTGGGCTCGTGCTATAGCAAGATACTGCTATAAGTGATCCACAATAGCTCATGCTGTGGACCTCGGACAATAACGGTCATGAGCCACAGCTAGTTGGGAGTGAGGATGTCTTCACCCGTTTTCCGGTCCTGTTTGACATTTGCGAGCCCTGCTGGTCTCAGCCAGCCTGTCCTTCAACCACCAGTTAAGGCTAGTCCCTTGGAGTTATGACCTCTGGGCTTGAATCTGTGGGGATTCGCCGTGCGCCAGCTGTTGCATGATACGTATCATCAGCAGAGGTGGCACCGAACTAGTCCACACGAGCCCTCATCCTGCCAAATGACGGGCCGCGCAAAGCACTGTGGATGGTGGTTACCCCAGCCACTGGATCCTAGCCTGGCAGGGATCCTCCCTGACCAGACGGGTGTTTAAACCGTTCCTGGTGCTACCGCAGGCGCTAAACCGGTAGGACGTGCATAAGTGTATGCACAATCATCCACTAGTGCTGGTGCGAGAATAACTGACTCTGAGTCTCTGGTAACTAGTATGTACTGTGCGCCGTATCGCGACCGCGCCCTGACACTCAGTCTCCAACATCTTAACTTCTTACTTCTTACACTTCCTAATCTTGTGTCATACAGGGTAGTGGGCATGATGTGGAGCCGTGCTGCGGCTGAGCCTTGCCGATCCTGCGCATTGGGGAGGATTGAGTCCTGAAATCGCGACGCGAGATAACAGCTACATCGCCTGGCCTGGGGCAGTGGGGATGCGACGAAGAAGGTCTGAGGATGATTCGCTGGCAGGTCCGTGATACCAAATGCTGCAATTACACTGTTGATGCAGGTCGCCCGGCACGTCGACGGTCGCCGATCCGTGGTCTGGACGTCCAACTCTAGGAGAAATGACAGACAACATGGCATGGTGGCTGGAATTATCATGGTGATCGGAGGCAGGTTGCCGCTGATAGGTAGCCGTAATTCCCGCCCGCCCTACGGCGCGAGGGTTGACAATTGCGATCCTACTCAATTACTGAGGACCATTGACAGGCAGGCACGCCATCCTGCCCACAGACTGTCCCCACGGCCCGTCGTGCAGAAAGCGTTGATGGATTCCTTGCTTGCTGGCCCCATCGATCACTTGTCAATTGTCCGTAGGGTGGCAGAAGCACAGGCCGAGGGGCGGTCCCTGCAGCCGCCCTTCCCAACAGATGTTGGAGCTTGGTTGATCTCCGACATCAACCGGCGAGCGACCTGAATAGTGGACTGTTCCATCCATCTCCAAAAATACAGGGTGGCAATCTTTAAATAGTGCTACACGCCACTGGAGGTTTTTTTCTTCTTTTTTTTTTTTTTTTGCTGGTGGGCACGGTGACACTACTGCATGAGAAATCTCCTGCGTGGGTGTACGGGACAAATCGCGCGATTTCTCCCGAAGAAAAGCCGATCTGCGACGCGTTGAGGCTGGACCTGCCAAGCCCAGTCACTTCAGTCCATTAAGTTAGTTATCGCCCGCGATGCAACCTGGTTGTTTGCCCCTGTCCCCTATCTCGTACCTACTTTGCGTCTGGAAGTTTTGGATCTTATCGCCGCCACTTTTCTGATTACTGTATCTCGCTTGTTGCATCGGATGCTCGTGCCGTGCATCAGGCACTGTCGGTCGAGATTCGTGGACTTGACGCCGGGGTCAGCATATGTATGCCATCCTTGACTGGATGCAAGTGGTATGTACGCCTCTGCATGAGCACGGGTTGAGATGGTTGGTTAGGACTGCAGTGCTTTGGGGATTGACGGGTTTGCCTGTGTTGTTAGTACTCGTAAGCATCGACTTCGTAGTATGGTGGCCAAACATAGCAGTCGGTCAATAAGTGTTGACTCCGGTTGAACTACTGGGTCTATGAGCTAGAACGGTGCTTGACTCTGTATAGGGGCGAAACCATGCCCTCATGATTCTGTCGTAGAAGCCCTTCACTTTCGTCTAAAGGTTTTGAGCTGTGGTCACTCATGCCGCCAGCGTAGCATCGACATCTCATTACATCCTCCCATGTAAGCCCATACACATGGGTGCGTTCTCCCAAACCGAAGAGACCGCTTGACATCAAAGAATATCCCAAACCGAGAAAAAGACCCTGGTTCATGTCTAAGCCCTCGTCTCCCAGGCTATGCCTGACACAATCTCGCATTCTTGCGCAGCTATACATTCCTGCGCCGCTACACATGAAGCATGAAGATATAACGATAAAAGATGAGAACCCGGTAGACATAGAATACCCCAAGACCAAGCCCAGCATAGGAGCTATATCCACTACTATAGTCATCCTCAGCATGCAACCCAAACCTCAACCCAACCCATCAAGTTCCAAAGAACGACAGAACCCAGCTCTCAGCATCAAAACACGATTGCCCCAACCCAACCCAATCGAGAGGCGCATCTCACCCCGATCCCCAACTCAACCCCAGACCAGTACCCCACACTCACCCTCTCTCACAACTCCTCCTCTCGCGCCCTCCTTTCAATCCAAAGAAAGCCCCTACAAATCCGGCCAAAAATACACCCCCCTATCCAAATCCTCCCTGAGCGTCTCCTCCACAACCACAAACCCCTCCCTTTTGAGGTCAGGAAGTACCCCCCCAATCAACTCGGCCACGAGCCCTCCGAATACCACACTCCCCTGGGCATTGAGATGGGTCTGATCCTCGGCCACGAGATTGTACGTCCACGCGTCGGCCGGCCCGATCGCATTGAGGTAGCGCGTGCTCGCGGCGTTGAGATCGATCCACCGCGCGCCGGTCGCCCGGGCGGCGGCGATCGTGGCGGCGCGCTGGTCGGCCAGGTTCTCGACGACGAGGGGCGTGCCCGTCGAGTTGTCGTAGCCGCGGCGCGAGAGCGGCGTGACGAGGATCGGGGTGCCGCCGGCGGCGCGCACGTCGCCCACAAACACCTCCAGGTTGGTCGTGTACTCGGCGATCGAGATGTTGGCGGCCGCCTTCTGGTCGTTGTGCCCGAATTGGATGGTCACGTAGGGGCTGTGCGTGCCCGATGCGTGCGCGCTGGCCACGCCCGCCAGCACCGTCGCCCAGTAGCCGTCCGCCCGGTAGCTGACCGTCGTGCGCCCGTTGACCCCGTAGTTGGTCCCGGTGGCGCCGTGGTGCAGCGTCGTGTTGAGGAAGCCGTTGCCCCAGCCGCCGCCGCCGGTGCTTTGTTTGGCGGTTGTGCTGTCGCCCGCGAGGAAGAAGATGGGGGGAATGCTGGTGGGGGCTTGGGATTTGGGGGAGGGGGAGGGGTGCGCCGCGGTGGAATGGGTGAGGAAGGGGAGGAGGGTGAGGAGGTTGAGTTTCATGATGATTGAGGGTAGGGTTGTACTTTGAGGGTTGAACTGGGTGGGTGGGTTGAGGTTCGTGATGCTTTTCGAGTGGTGAACGGCCGTCTTATGTGTTGAATTTCTGGATGTCTTGCGGTGGTTCACCCCACCAACTGGAAGAATCCAGCGTCAGTTCCAGCAATCATGGCACGATTGGCATCCTTCTGCCAGGAGTGAGGGTGGGCGGGCGTGACTCTGCAGGTTTGCTGCCAAGGGCCTGCTCCTCGATGGCTCTGTCACTCCGTGATGCAGAGAGCAATTGACGCGAGAATCATCGTCATTGCCCCGCGTGGGGCAGATCCCTGAAGAAGTCTGTCTGGCTAAAGTCCGAGGGGTCTGGAAAATATATGCCCGAAAGCAGTCCGCGCCTTGAATGGACAGGTCGATGTGGGTGAATTGTGCAGGAGTTGCTCTGCTCGGCCAAGCATCGCCCGAGATTAGATTGCCGTGCGGGGATGCTTGCTGAACCTGCAGCTGCCGGTCGAACGGATGTGAAGAAGGGATGAGAGAGAGGAAAGCGCCATGAATGATGGAACGTAGTTAAGGTGACTTACAGGGACTCAGACATGCTACGTCATAAGTTAAACTCCAGGTGGTGACTTGTAGACTGACTGTGACTGTTGACAAGTGCGGCAGCGCGGTGCAGTTAGGGCATCCGCCAACCATTACAGTCGGGCCACTCCATTTCAGTGTCCAATCAACCTCGAACTGCGTCTTGAAGATAGAGACAGTGCTCAATCAGGCCAAGACCACAATCATCGTCAACATCCTGCTTATCGCAGCCAAGATATCCATCGCGCTCTCTTCCCCCATCGGGACAGAAACGAGTGATAGCGGGAAGGTCTGATAAAGACGCCGCCATCTCATTCGAACCTCTTATCAACACCTCGAGAATGCCTTTCCAACGAGCCCATTTCGCTGCCCCAGACCTCCAGATACACTGCCGAGATTTGGGGTTTATAAACGGACCCCTGCGGCAATGACAGCCATGACGACTTCACGACAGCGAAATCATGAAGAAATCACCATCGGTCGTCGATCTCTCGCGGGAGCCGTCCGCAGCGGACAGGGCCCCCTCCAGCCAACATGGCACCCTCGTCGAGCTGCACCAGACCAAACGCGGTCTCTCCTCTCGCCATGTGCAGCTGATGGCCATCGGGGGCTCCATCGGAACAGGTCTGTTCGTGGGAATTGGCTCCTACCTCCGCGACGCAGGGCCCCTCTCCGTGTTTCTGGGATTTCTGTTCTACGGGATCTGCTTCATCTGGCCGGTCAACCTCTGCGTTGGGGAGATGTGCGCCTATCTGCCCATCCGAGGGTCCATCTTCGAACTCGCCGCGCGGTACATTGATCCCGCCTTTGGATTTGCCATGTATGCTCCTGTTCCTCTTTCTGCCCATCCACACCCACACCTCAATCTGAACACATACTAAATGCAACAGGGGCTGGGTCTACTTCTACGGCGGGCTGATGCTGGTCTGCACGGAATACGCCGCCGTGGCGACGGTCATGCAATACTGGAACACGAGCGTCAACCCGGCGGTGTGGGTCGCCATGGCCATCGTGGTGTGCTTCCTGCTGAACATCGTCGCGGTGAAATGGTACGGGGAGACGGAATTCATCATGGCATCCACCAAGATCCTGCTGCTGCTGGGGCTGGTGCTCCTGACCTTCATCACGATGGTGGGCGGCAACCCGCACCACGACGTGTACGGCTTCCGCAACTGGCAGCACGGGGTGATGTTCGAGTACTACAGCGCGGGCGCGACGGGCCGGTTCCTGGGCTTCTTCTCGGTGGTCGTGTACGCCGGGTTTTCCGTGGCCGGGCCGGACCTGCCCGCGCTGGCGGCCGGCGAGATCGCCAACCCGCGGCTCACGATCCCGCGCGTCGTCAAGATGACCTTCTATCGCATCGTGGGCTTCTACGTGATCGGCGTGCTGGCCGTGGGGATCATCTGCAACGCACGGGACCCGCGGCTGCTCAGCGCGCTGGATTCCTCGTCGGCAGTGGGCTCCGCCGCCTCGCCGTGGGTCATCGGGATCGAGAACCTGGGCATCCGGGGCCTGCCCGGGTTTATCAACCTGTTGATTCTGCTGGCGGGCTGGTCCTGCGGCAACGCCTACCTGTACAGCAGCAGCCGCACGCTGTACTCGCTGGCGCGGCGCGGCCAGGCCCCCCGCGTCCTGTGCCGCTGCACCGCGTCCGGCGTGCCGATCTACTGCGTCGTCGTCGTCTCGCTGCTCTCCTGCATTACGTTTCTGGTGGCCAGCGCCTCCGCCGTCACCGTGTTCTACTGGTTCGTCGACCTGACCACCTGCGCCTTCGTGCTGACCTACACCAGCATGGTCGTGGTGTTTTTGGCGTGGTACCGCGCGCTCAAGGCGCAGGGGCTGGATCGCAGCACTTTACTCCCGTGGGCGTCGCCGGCGCAGCCCTACGCGGCTATTCTGGCTGTGGTGATTGGGTCCGTGGTCACGCTGTTCAACGGGTTCACTGTGTTCGCTCCCTTCAGTGTCCAGGGGTTCGTGACCTCGTACTTTGGGATTGCGTTTTGGGTGGTCATGTTTGCCGTCTGGAAGGTGTGGAAGCGAACGACCTGGGTCAAGCCGGAGGATGTCGATCTGTTGGCGGGCAAGGCGGAGGTCGATGCTGAGTGTCGCGTGTGGGAGGATGGAGGCTTGGAGGAGAGGCGGAGGGAGGAGCTGGCGAGGATGCATTGGGTGCGGAGGGCTTGGGAGAAGATGTGGTAACGCTGGAGGCGTAGCTCTGACCCATGTGTGTAGTGAACACGCATCAAAGAATGACACTGTTTACCGAGGTGCTAGATTTGCGTCGGAGTTTACAGACACAGCCATGTGCCCTAATACCCTCCTGACTGCACCCGAACATAATACACGAATCTGAAGTACCGTACAGCATGAGCTCAAGCAGCCCAAGCTCCCTCAGCCCCAACTCGAACAAAGCTCTCGCAGGCAAGAATGACAGCATACCTCGAAGAGAGCCAATTGATCGCGCTGGCGGACAAAGAACGCTTCAGTCAGACTGTGCGCAAAGAGCTCCCCGACCAATGGAATCCCGACTGCCCGTCACAGCAGAAGTGAACTCGTGTACTCTACCGACACTCTCCGACTAAACCCTTGCTACCTCGGCCAATACCACAAAGAACGCCCAGGGCGAAGCATGAAAGAGACTCCGCCAGTGCGACAGCACAAACGAAGCTGAAAGCATTCTTTGTGCCAAAACAATCTCTTTGTCCGCCTCTTACGCTTTCCCCGCTTTCTCTCGAGTGCACCCCACAGAATCATGCACTACTTAAACCCTGCGTGTGTATCCATGGTTGACCCCTAACCATCTACCAGATTCTCAGTCAGAGAGACCAGTGCTGGTAGCTGAAACGCCTAGCGTACTGTACTGTCGATACCGAGGAATCCACTAAACCCAGACCAACCTGCAAGTCAAACTATACAGCATAATATCTATCCACCATGCCTCATCATTGGTACGTCCTGCCACATCATGGATCTTCTCTCCTCCTGCCCTTTTCTCTACCCCCCCAGCCCTGATCCCTACAACAATTCGATATCATAAGAAACACGCTAATATCAAACAGCACCGTCTGCAAAGACACCGTGAAGCCGGCCTGCTTCCATCGCGGTCACGTGACCATATGCCGCGCGCCCACCTGCAAGCTCGTCTACCAGAGCTCCCGCGAGAAGGACTGCCCCTACTGCCGGAATGCGACGCAGAAGCGGGCGGCCCGCGAGGGAAGTATTCCCAAGGATGAGGGTGACGATGCACTGACCGAGTCTGCTGGCGGTGACGGGAGCGATAAGGAGAATGCCCCTCCTTCTGCCGACGGAGCGCGAGCCCAGAAGCAGCAGAAGCAGCAGAAAAAGAAGAAGAAGAAGAAGGGCAAGCATGTGCGCGAGACCCGCAGGTTGAAGGATATTCGGCGTGGGAGGCGCTTGAATTAGCCTCCTGGTGGGATCTGGGTGTAAGATTCTTGGCCGGTTGGGAGGCCGGTTTAGTGTATTGTTTTGTTCAGGGTCGGAACTTTTGATTGGAAACAGAATGACCTGTTGGCTGTGTCAATGTCAATGGGGATTTTGGTTCTAGTCATGAGTGTAGATGGTAAGTCTGCCGTGTGTTACCTTGGACTGGGGGGGATGTATCATACTAATCTCTAGCTCTGTGTCGTGTACGATAGTAACTCGCGAGATAGGTTGCATCACAATGTAACAGACCCCGGTCCTGTTCATACTTCCAGTTCGGTGAATGTGTAGAAGTAATTGTATTATTGTAAATGAGACCATCCAGGTACTTGATCATAGCCACTACTTAATCCCCAGCACAGGTCAAACATTGTAAACCGACATCGCCGGACACATCCCCACCAACTTATCCGTCTCGACGCTGGGCATGAACTTGGCCGTCTTGCCCGCGCTCTCCGCCCCCTGCGACTGCTTCTCCACCTCCGCGAACGCAAACTTCTTCTCCGGCAGCAACTCATACACACCCTGCGCGTACTCCGGGGCCACCCGGTACAGCTGCGCCAGGTACTTGGCCTGGATCTCCGGGTACTCGACCACGCGCAGCAGGCGCGCCGTGTTGTCGTGCAGGTGCTGGCGCTGCGTCTCGTCCATCACCCGCCGGTACAGCTCGCGCGGCTGCTCGTACTCCGAGTCCTTGCCCTCGTGGTAGAAGTGCGACTTGCGGCCCACGTTGCTGTCCGCCACCTGGTAGGGCGCCTCGGCCGTGTCCGGCCGGAATTTGTGGGCGAAGCTGTTCGGCACGTACTGCGGCTTCAGGCCGTGGTTGGCGTCCACCCGCATCTGGCCGTCGAAGTTGAGCGAGGAGTAGGACTGGGTCATGAAGGGGCAGTTCACTGGTTTCGTGTTAGTGCCATGTCCACTGAGATGAGATGGAAAGAGGGGTGGGGCCATACCTGGGACTTGATGAAGGTTAATACCAATGCGGTGGTACTGGGCGTCCCGGTAGAAGAACATGCGGAACTGCAGGAGTGGGTCGGGGCTGTCTTCAATGCCGGGAACCATGCTGCCGGGAGAGAAGGCGGCTTGTTCGACGTCCCGGTGGAAGTTCTCCGGGTTCTTGTTGAGCACGAGTTTGCCAAACTCCATCATCTGGGTGGCTGTTAGCTACTGCCTTGGGCAACGCTCATCTCGATTCGCCTACCGGGAACTTGTCTCTGGGCCACACTTTGGTGACATCGAACGGATCGAATCCCAGCTTGGATGGATCGGCGTCCTCGGGCTGCATGACCTGCACGTGAGCCGTCCAGGAGACCTTTTCACCGTTTTCGATCGCTTTCCAGAGGTCGCGCTTGGAAAAGTCGGGGTCGATACCGCTGTGCTGCTGGGCCTCGTCGGCGGTGAATAGTTTCTGGCCGCCGTCGGCAAGGAAGTGGTATTTGATGTAGACGAACCGGCCCTCGGCATTTACCCTGATCTATATTAGAGTTGCGGTGCTGATATCCTGTGCATTACTTACCATCGGAAGGTATGGCAGCCGTAGCCGTGCTGGTTCCTCCATCCCACGGGAGTCCCATGGTCGCTGAAAAACATCATTCCTGCATGGTTACTGGTGAGAGTCAGCCGGGTCCTTTTGCGGTCGGAGAAAGACATACCCCTCTGGCGTGTTTGCAAGCAGATCAAACAGCGAGTTGTGGTCCAACAGGAAGTTCTGCGGGTTACGATACTGGGAGCGGATCACATCTGGGCCTTGGATCGGATCGCGACAGAAGAAAACGGGCTGGGTGGGAATCAGTGAGAGTCCTCGTCCAGGTCTCAGCATAAGCATACGAAGTTCAATCCCACAAGATCATAGTTGCCCTCGCCGGTATAAAATTTGATGGCAAAGCCGCGGGGGTTCCTGGCGAGATCGGGGAACTCTCTGCCGAGGGTGACGGTGGAGAAACGGACAAAGACCGGGGTTCGGACACCAGCCGATCGGAGAAAGTTGGCCTGGATAGTCAGTCGCGCTGTCTAGTTCGTTGAAAAGATAAGAAAGGAAGAAATTACTTTGGTCAGCGAGGAGACATCCTTGGTTGTCTCGAAGTATCCGAAGGCACCACTGCCGCCTAGTTACATGCACATATGGGTGAGTGATCCCACAACGACCAGTGGAAGCAAAGTAAAAACCCACAAGGATGGACCATGCGCTCCAAGTTCTTGGAACGATTGAAGTGCTGCTGTTTCTGCAAAAGAAAGGTATCGGAAATGACCGGAATGCCGCCCGCCGTCTTGCTGTGAGCGGGATCAGGGAAGGGAATGCCTTCGTTGTTGGTGAAGTAAGAAGCATCGTCGGCGCGCTGGCCGATGGATTGCACCCCCGTGAGTTTGGCGGCGGTCTGGGCGGGTCCCTCGTTGGCCCCCTGGAAGAGCGAGTCGGTCGGCGCCATCGCGCCCAACGCCCCGCCTAACACTTGCAGCGGTCGAGTAGTCATCACTTCAAGGTTTTTAGCAACACACAGTCACAATCAAGTGTCTCTTTCTTTCTTCTTCTTTACATTACAATCCTCCTTTTAACCTTGTGACCTGCTCTTATAGATCAATTGCCCTCGTCGTGTCAGACCAATCAAGTTCAATTGATTACCATACGGTCAGGATGACGGCCACACTCCTGTCCCCACTCACGTCACCAATATCACATCGACTTTGCTGCAACTTCACTTCGATTTTCCACAAACCTATCCCTGCTGATTATTGATTTAAACTCATCATGACAGGTCTAGCCGCGTCTACTGTACTCAACACCTGAATAACCTTTCGACACAAGGTTATCACGGAAAGTCAATTGCCTTCTCAGAATCCTGCAACTCATCACTTCTCCGCGGAGGGAGCTGTACGCGAGATATATAACTTCGATGAGAAATCTGCCTGGCAATCCATATACTTGGTATCTTTGCCGATCTATTCCTGCTGGCTTCTCTCATTCGAGAGTCCCATGGAAGCTCAGCTCCAGCTCGCTCTGGCTCCTCGTGCCAAGGCAATGCGCTAATCATGACCATGGCTACTTCAGTCCCTCCCACGCCTTGCTATCACCCACCCAGCTCGGAGGAGACCAACCTGCTTCCCAACCCGTACCATCCGGTTGCTGCCTGAGGCATGTAACAATCGTTACCCGTGCAGAAGTGGGATGGAATGCTGCCTTCCTGGCCTTATTGGCTGGAGTTTTCCCCGGCCATTTATCTGCGGGGATGCGCATTGTAAAATGTGGTACTATGTAGATGTAGATATCCATTTTCATTCAACCTATCAAATCAACGGTATGTTTCAGCATCTCCGTCGCGTTGGTTAACACACAACCCGCTTTTACGCCGCAATGGCTGCACCATCTGCTTAAGGCGCTTTGGAGTCGAAGGGGTGAAGTCAAATGTCAAATGAATCAAGGGGGATCAAGTCTCGGCTCCCTACCTGCTCCTTGGGTGTGGCTTGAACTCTATTGTGTGGTCCTGTCATTGGTGGCATGTGATGCTGTGCAGTGCTACTGAGTACGGTTCACAAAAAAGGGGATCTCGTTTGGTAATCGGAACACGAGCATAAGAGACTAATTCCCTGTTCTAATAAAGCATAGTCCGCTACCTTCTTATCGTTCAGAGCGGCGCAATTGATGTCCCAAGCAGTGGAAGAACGGTATCCAAATGAATTTACCGCTAGGATGATGCCATCCAATTTTGTCCTTCTCAAGCCTTAAGCCTGTCCAGTCGATATTGCCCAGTCGATTTAGCAGCATCTAGACGGGCGCTAAAGCGGGCTAACTGCGGGCTAACTGCGGGCTAACCGCGGGCTACGGCGGGCTACGGCGGGCTACGGCGGGCGCCTATTTTTAGCGTAGTTCGGGGAATGATGGCGCCCGGATGATTGATGCGGTCCATCAGCATCAGCGTGCATCAACACGTTCACTCATTACAAAGCATACCACTCCATTGAGCGCGAGTCAGACGCCTAATGCAGGCAATCTCTTCCCTCTTTATCTCAGTTGTTCTAAAACAGGTTTGTTCAAGCGGTTGTTTTCGTTCTTCCAGTGTGTCGGGTCTTGCGAGCGGGCTTGGAAGGTGGAATGACCGGGCGACGGAAAAACCATCGATCCCGCCATGTAAACATGCGGAGATCGGCTTGTCCCCTTCATCATCCACATGCAAGGCACGGTCTGTACCAGGGGACCTTACTCTACATAACATCACAAATGAAGTATGGATCGCCACTGGTCTTGCTTGTTGTGCCTGGATTACCAAGACATCTTCACCAAGGGACCTTCACCCGCAACGGAAACGAATCTCATTCAGCCCGCTGCAGCCTCACGCGACTACTGCAAACTGCCAGTCAACGTGACCCCGAAAGCTCGCGACACAAACATCCACAAGTCCTTCCTGACAATGTCTCTCTAGCTCCAGTCAACAAGACTTTCAAATGAGCACCATTGTGTTGTGCCATGGTTGCATCATCCATTCCACCAGAGCCGCACAGGATCACAATCCCATTGTCAGCACCCGGAATGCCAATATTACAACCCCCACAAATCGCTGTCCTCCCAAAAAAAAAAAAAAACTGTCCAATCATGTCGACACCGACGCCAAAGCATTCTCGCGAGGACTCGTGTTTCAATCAGGTCGAGAACATCATGCCAGCCTAGCCTCGAAACCAGCCCAGATACATCACAATCCAGGCTCTACTCCACCATCCTCGAAGGTGATATCTGGCGGAGAAGATATCCCAGTCCTCTGAGCAGATGTTGGTGGAGCACTCAGCCTTCAGGAGACTCCATCCAACCCCCCTTGCCGGTTGTGTCTCGGATAACGTTTGCGGGACCCCTCCTCTGGTCGATTGGCTCCCGCAGTGGAGCGTTCCGAAGTGAAAATGTAGACTTCAAGACCTTCTTCTACGAGTCGCCTATGGCACCGCAACCCTGGAGCCTTACCGGGCTACCACTTCATTGACCCCTGCGCCGGCTCACAGAGTGCTCGTGAGTTTGAGTTCATGTGCACATGCGACAGGCATGGAGACTCGACTCTGACGGTGGCCGACGTGAGCGAGGGAAAGTCAATCCTGGAAGACATGACTCGTGTACTGCCCGTAGAATATGACAGACGGACAATGCCCTCGCCGAGCAGGAAAGCACACATTCCAAAGCCTGTGTTGTGGCCCGAGCCCGGTTAGGCGACCGTAGCAAAGAGCAGGTCTTCCTGGTATATATCCTTCCCGGCTAACTCTTCCCAACGTACCTATTCGCCTGGAACATAGGATGACCTCGCTCGGGGTTAAATTCCTGCCACAATTGTGCATTTCGGCGAAGATCATCCTGCTATGATGGTGATGTACGTTCAAGAAAGGGCCCGGGCCTTGTTTATGAACCTTCGATCACCCGTCCTTTCCCATGATTCCTGTTTTTCTGTCTCTACTATTGTGGCTGGCTCATTTTCCAGCCTATCATTGACTGTCAGTGTGGCCAAGGCTGATCTCGCACGGTGCGCATAGATGGCATTCGTCACACTCGGTGTCCTACATCTATCGCTATGCATCCGAGTAACAACTCGCCCATTGATGAGGAGATCTTTATTCCCGAGTCTCTCTTGGCAGCCGCCACCACAAGCGAAACCTGGTCACAGAGTCCCCGAAGAGAGATCCCCCGTCAACTTCGAAGTGGTGTACCTCCGGATGAGGTGCGCGTGCACAAACGAAGACAGACCACCACCAGTTGGCCGACTGCAGCCCAGAATGACACGACATCTCACTCGGTGGGCCGTCCCTTGAGCACTAATGCCAACAGAGGCGACGAGATATACCCGTTGTATGAGGATTGTGTGGTAGTGGAGACCCCCGAAGGACCTCAGGCGGTCCCTCATTCAGCGGCCGATGGCCCTATCCCCATCTCCGAGCTTCCAAGTCACCCCGTCGCAGAGCTACCAAGTCACCCAACCCCACCACCCAAAGCACGCACAGCTCGATACTCGCTCGACGGTAACGGTATTCTCAACAAATTCACAGTGTTGTCTCCATTCCCACTACGCCAGACTATCAACGCCGCGGCTGAAAGAGCCCGTGACAGCAGTCTTGGGACGTTGTACGACAAAGCCAATCTTGTCCAAATCAAACATCAACGCAGATATTGGGCTCGGATGCTGATCGAATATGGAGCATACACGATACTCCTCTTGTTTGTGTACTTCGTGCTCGTGGGTCAACCTCTATGGGGCGGGGCTATCTATTGGCTATACTGGGTAATGCGCAACAAATTTGTCTTCCAAGGTGGATGGGCCATTGTCATAAGTCTAGTGATCTTGTAAGTCAGGCTCTTCGGGAGGAGAATGCGGTCCCCGTATCGTGGCTCACGATCGCACAGCTACTCGTTTGCACCGCTGTTGACTCTCTTCGAGAAGGACCTTCCCGACCCCGAGTACTATAGAGATCGTAACATTACCCCGGGCGCCCCGGACACAGCCCTCTTGATCCCCTGCTACAGATCCGCCCCAGTCATTGGGCAAACGCTCGAGGCCGCACTGAAGATCTTCCCCGCATCGCATGTGTACGTCATTGCGAACGGAGACTCCACCAACCCCTTGGACAATACGGAGGAGATTTGCCGTCGCTACGGGGTCAATCATATCTGGTGCCCGGTTGGATCCAAGATCATCGCTCTCTTTGTCGGTTGCTACGCGGCCAAAGTCTTTCGTTATGTGCTGCTCACTGACGACGACTGCATTCTGCCTGCGAACTTTCCTGTCGCCATCTCTCGGCTTACTGATAACGTGCGTTGCGTGGGCTACACGATCAAGGTTGTGGGCCCCGAGTCATCCAAAGGCACCTACTGCCAGCAAGCTCAGGATCTCGAGTACAAGCTCGCCGGGCTGCAGCGCACCTTCGCCGGTCGCATCGGCAGCGCCACCTTTCCCCACGGGGCAATTTCGCTCTGGGAGCGGGCATTCCTCAAGGATACGCTTCAAGATCACCCGGGGTTCTCAATCAGCGAAGACTGGTTCTTGGGCAACAGCTGTCGACGACTAGGCGGACGGATCAAGATGTGCAGCATGATTTTCGTGGAGACTGCGGCTCCGCCTGCCTTTCTCTGGGTCGACAAGGACCAGAGCCGCGGCGGCTTTGGGGAGATGACCGTCTTCAAGCAGCGATTCCTGCGCTGGAACTTTTTCGTCGTCAACGGCATGCGATACAACCTGGCCTACATTTTTGGTTCCTGGAAGCTGGGTCGCTGGGAGATTGGTGCGAAGATTTTTGTTATGCAAGAGGTACGTCCCTGTTATGTTGGGCGTACAGCTGACCCCGCATGCTGACTGAGGCATAGGTGTACGAAACCGTGCTGAGCATTCTCGCGCCATTCATCCTGCCCATATCGTTGATCGTGCGGCCTTCATTTTGCATTAGTCTCCTGATGGCGACCTTAGGACTGTATCTACTGAACGCCGTGCTCTTTAATGAGATACACCTTCGATTGAAGAATGAACGCGTGAGCTGGAAGGTCATCGTTGCATACTATGTACGTTGTCCAGATATACGTGCTGTGTCATTGCTAACAGTCTGTGCTAAAGATGCCCTACAAAATGCTCATCGCCGTGACCAACGTGATCAGCTGCTACTGGTCTCTGATCAAGTATGCGAAGTATTTTGCGCAACGCCGACCGAAGCTGATCGAGGATCACAAGGCGGTGGGGATTGTGCTGAAGCTGGAGGAGATCCGACGACACCAGCAAGGGGGACTTGGGCGCAGTATGACTGTGCGCACGGTCGGCGTGCGCAGCCGCGACAGTAGCGTTGGATGAGCTCGGGATGAGGGGGCATTGTGCCCGCTATAGATATTGAGTTCCGAAAGGCTCACTTCCTCCACGTTGGTATAGAGCATGGTCGCAGGACCGGAGGCGGCCATCCATGGAACACCCCCGGCTCAGACCCCGCTCCCCAGGTCAATCCAATCCGAACAGACCGTTCTCCCATTCCACCTCCGACCGCATCGCTCTCCCTGTTGCTCGCGATCGGACTATTCACCGAGACTTCACCACCAATCCAATCTCCCAGCACCTCTGTCCAGAAGCTAAACCTTTGCAAACGAGGACCTCTAGCGGCAATGACATGTCGCAAAATAAGATGGAATGGAAAACGAGCTTTCGGCGGGTTGAAGAGGGTTCAACCTTCGGCGACTTTCCGGTGCATGAAATCCCGCCGAGCGGGTCGGAATTTTCGGCGTAAGGTTCAACCCCTCGGCGGGTTTCCCGGCGGTTCGGCGATCGGGGTTGTCGGGGGTTCAACCTTATCCCGCCGAAGGGGAACCTTAACCTTCCGAGGTCCTCGATGAGGTCTGTGTCAGTCTTCTGTTTACGTTTACCAGATCTAAGGCTCTTAGCAGGCGAAACCCTGCCTTCGCTACTATTGTGCCGCAAGTGATTTATGTTTGTCCCTGTTGGATGGAATGAGGAGGATGCAGCCTTGGGGTTGGGATAAATTGGCGAAATCCCCCCGAGTATGAAGATATAATTCTCCGGCACAGGATCTTGCACTAGATACTATACGTAAATCAAGAGTATATGATGTTTGACGCCCCCACTTAAACCTAGATAATCTAATTTATATTCGGGGGTTCAACTTGACCGAGGGGAAATTTCCGGTACTCACGATATCATACTACCGGTGCATAATAATGATCTTCTACACCGATGCAAAACCACCGAGCTGCGGGATAGGTATCTCCCCTCTAAACCGTCTGCGCCTTATCAAGATATACCATCTCTACAACGCTAGGCGGCTTCGCGTTGCTGATTTCCCAATTTCCCATTTCCATTATCTATTTCCGCCGTCTCTCGGGAGTGTTTCTCGGCGAGTCGTGTACCCAACTAACCCGTCTGCAGAGCTTCAAGTCCTCAAGCTAAGTTTTGATTCAAAGTTGTCAACAAACAGCCAATGACAGGAGAGAGATGGAGCTCAATACCTCCGATACCAGGAATGCAGAGACAGTGATCCCGGGATGTGGAGGCTCCCACAAGGGCACGGTGCTACCCGACACAGCCCTCGGATCGGAATTGCCTGCTAGTGCCGATATTTATTCGGATATTGCGACAAACCCCAATTGTCTTTTCTATGAGTGAGAGAAAATGAGTGATAAGACAAGAAGAAAAGGAGAGGAAGACAGTTAGAGCCAGAGTATAGAGATACAGATAAAACAACACAAAAAACAAAAGAGAAATTGAGCTCCGATAGGGGGAATCGAACCCCCGGCTGCCGTGTGAGAGACGGCGATGTTAGCCACTACACCATATCGGATGTTGTTGAATTCAGAGGTTTTCCTTTATTATGAGTGGAGCGCTTAAGCGACCGAAGTCCCTCGGCACGTCCTTGATTATCCGCAGGATCACATTTATATACTAAATGTACGGGATAGAACGGGTTCCATGAATCGGGTTATATGCCGAGGAAGGATGGGTCGATCGATTGTCCAATACCATGGATTGTAAGGTAGAGGGTCGGTGGGAAAGCCTTAGACATCTCCTGTCTCTGTGAAAATCGAAACTTATTGCTTCTGGTTGACCGGAAATCACCTCGACTGCAAGTCCCTCGTGTGGCCATGTCCAGGCCGCTACCGAGTCGCATACTCCTCAACATGGACGTCTTCATAGTCCCCTATTGACCTGTTAGCGAATCCTCACTTGAGCCGGCAAGTAAACATCAAAGCAAAGCAAAGGAGGGGAACACCTACACTCCGAGGGCAGAGTCCGCGGCACGGTATCGCCCACAAAAGCGAGAATCTGATCTCGCAGCTTGCGATAGCTGGGATCATGTGGACTGGCAAATTTATTCAGCCCGCGGTGATCAGTGGGTAGGCCCGCCTGGTGGACGGAGGTGATGCCGGGCCAGGCTTCGGTGGATTCGACCAGCACGCCCGGCTTGGCCGGCCGCTTGAGCGTGAGAGGGTTTCGTTTGAACTTGGTGTCGTGGATCTCGTAGTAACAGACGGTGGGGATGGTGCGGTTGTGGTTGGTGATTGCCCTCTCCAAGCCTTGGCAGGTTCGTTTGAGAAAGGGCGTGTGAGCAATGTCCAGAATGCTGATCAGTCGCGTTCGGCTCACCGTGTCGGCGGTTGATAAGTTCTTCTTCGTCTGACCCAGCTGCACGATGTGGGAGTGGTAGGCCTGCCATCGCTGTAGCCCGTCGGCATCAGTCCCGCGGAACGGAGTCCCGAGGAAGACCAGGCCTCGTAGGGAGTCCAGTAGCCATGCTTGTGCGTCGCGCCTGCCTTCGGCTTGGGCGAGAGCCTGTGAAGCTATACTGGTTAGCACGGCCTCAGCCTCACGCCCTAGGGGCTCGGGAACTTGGGTGGGAGGTTACTGACACTGGCCAGCACTAGCCCACCAAAGTCACAAGCAATGACAACCGTGGGTTTTGGCGTCCGAGTCAGCGCCTCCTGCCACCTATGCCTGAGCTCAAACCCACGGCGCTCTAGCAGCCCGCTTATGCTTTCGCTACCGAAAGGCACACTCCACTCGAATGTGTATATGCTGGCCGTGGGCATGGCTTTCGGAAGCATGTCGGGATGTGTAAGCCAGTTGACTTCCACCCCGCCATCGATGTGAGCCCAGGCTCCGTCTGCCGTGTTCTCCATACCATGGATGGCGATGATGCTGCAGCAAATAGTCATCAGACATGACGCGGCGCAATAGGGCCCAAGAGGATTTTACACTCACTTCAACGTGTGGTTCTCCGGCACCACATGCGCCTTGAGGACGCTTGTGTGGCCCTCTACACCGGACAGAATGGGCTCTGGTGATTCGGACCGTTCGGACTGTGAAGACTGCTCGGCAGGATACCTTTGTCTTCGTCCTGGCCGTCTCGTAAAAGTGACATTCCCTTTTCGCAGACTGCCAGAATATCCCTGAAGAGAGACTATCTCGGAGGACGCACCTGCAACTTCTGACCTGTCATCTTGTTGCAGGTTTCTGGCTTGTCCTGCGGCGTGAGACCGCTTTGCTTTATGTTCCTCAAAAACCGCGGGGCTACGACGAAGAGCCTGCGCAGACGCGGAATCGGGTTTTGAATGATGCTGCTGGGACGGAACTTTGCCGCTCGAGTTTGATATCTTATGCCTTGGAGGGTCTGTATGACTCAGATAAAAAGGGCTTCGTGAAGAGGATAAAGTAGGCTCAGCAGCACGAGCTTCTGGCACTTTAGGTCTTCGGCGAGTCGGCTGAGCCTGGGTTTTGCCGCTTCGTATCGTTACTCCCCCCTTGGGAGTAGAAGGAACCTTCCCAGTTCCAGAACTTGGGTAACCCAGCTGGGAATAACTTTCGTCGCTGATCGTTGCTATCTGGTCCTTTGGAGCCTTGTTAAAGTCAATGGACGACGTGCTTCGACCTGGCGTAGACATGTGGCTCGATCCGTCAACCCATTCATCATCCGTCGCTACGAGCGTGTTCCGATTGCGATTTTGAATCCAAGCCATACCCAGAGCGGCCTCTGCAGATATGCGCTCGGTGGGCAAAGGAGAGATGAGCGCCCTGACAAGTTCTACTCCATCCAGACACATTTTCCCCCGAAGTGGTTCGTCGGGAAAGGGTGTCCGCCCGTCACAGAACCTCCGCACGTCTCTACGCGTCGGAAATGGGTCTTGCTGAGTAGCGATCCTGAATACCACGCAGCCCAAAGACCACATGTCGGCTGCGTTATCATAGATTGATGTTGGTTCGTCGGTATCCAGATCTCCGCTCACCTCTGGAGCAGTGTACTTTGGGGTACCGATGGAAGTGTAAAGGGCTGTCCTCTCATGGTTCACTCGCTTCGCAATGCCAAAGTCGCCAATCTTGACCCACCATCGGGCGACCGGGGGCTTTCGGGCCACGAAGATGTTGCCGGGTTTGAGGTCGCGGTGGGTGAACTGCTCAGCGTGGATTATCCGTAGGCCATTAAGGAGATTGGTGGTGATATCCTTGACCTCTTCCTCGGGGATAGACTCGGATATGTGGCTTTCGAGAACCCCTAGTGGGAAGAACTCCATATAAAGGTAAAGGTTGGAGGGGTCTTCCATCCAGCCCAGAAAGCTGACCAGGACCTCCTGCTGTTGGTACTGCGGTTTCGAGAACTTGGCCAGTGCGAGAATCTCCCTCTTGTAGTCGATGCTATCGCGTTCCATCAAGTCCTTTTGCACGACCTTGACTGCCCGACGATGCGTGTCGGCCTCATCACTCTCCAGCCAGACCTTGCCGTATATCCCCCATCCTAAGGGTTCGGGGCGGCGGTACCATTTCCTCTTCACGATGCGGATAGCGTGACTGTCGTTTCGCTCGTATTCGGTATGGGTGGTGCAATCCTGGTCAATAACGGCGTCGTATTTGAAGTGCTCGAGCAGGTCGTCAGCTTCTAAGCCCAATCGCAAGGTTCTGATCTTATCAGCAAGTTCTGGATTCCCTTGCACCAAGTGTAGCAAGTCGGCATATTGCGACGACGACATGGACATGGCGTTGCGCGTTGGGTAGCATCATAGCACTATAAAATCAGGAAGATGAATGATAGAGGAAAGAAGAGGTAAGAGAAAGAAAAGAAGGAGGACGCTGAAAGGGCCACAAAAGGTGGGAAAGGAAAGAAGATGAGTTGAAAAGGACGAGGCTGGAGTGAGTGGGATGAGTGAGATGGCTTTCAAGTTAGTTTGCGGGGGAGACGATTGACGATCCAATGGGAAGAGTCGCATCACGAGTTGCTTTTTTGCCAGCGCGGGGTCACAAACACAAACAAGAACAACAAAACATCTCTTGCTTCTCTTTCTCCTCGTCATCACACTCTTTCACTCCCTACACACCATGGACCCTGCCTCATTTGCCTTTTCCGTCGCTTCCATGCTGCAGTTCTGCATCCAGTGAGTCTTTTCAGCACTATATTCCCAACCTTCCTGCCCCCTTACCTTCCATGAAGCTGACCAGGTCAGCCTTGGAAAGGACTTGTACGCACGTTGTGAAGCATACCGTTCAGCTGAGCGCGAATTGCAAGAAGCCAATCTGAAAATCAAGGGTCACTGGATCAAGATCGAGCAACAATTGTCCGCACTCCAGGCCGTATGGGAGGCCCTCCCGGATGCTTTGCAGATCCATCAATTTCAGGTGCTCCAAGTACTCCGAAGCAAGCTCAAGGCCGCAGTCAAGAGCATTCAGAGTCTGAGTGTCGACCTCGGAGCTGAAGCCTCACACGATAAACCCATAGACTCTTCCCTCGCGCGCATACTGCTGAAAGTGTCCCGCTTTAAACGGATCAAATACGCCGTGTATGCCAAGGAGTCTCTCGAACATGTCGTTGAAGAGTTGGAGCAATGGCAGAGAACCTTCGACCCATCCTGGTTCTTTTTGAGTCGTCTGGCCGTCCAGACAATTGATCAGGAGTTTAGTGGGAAGAGGGCTGCCGAGAGCAAGGCCGTTTCGACCGTGGTAAATCTGCGTCAAGCCCACCGAATTCACGACGGGGAGAGCTCCGCCTCGATTTTCCTGGGGAAGGATTTCGTCATTGGACGCTACACGGCGATTACTTCGTCTTCTTCATGGCTTGCTCGCACCGATGAAGGGGTGGTAGTTGTCGACCGCATCCCGATCAGGCGACAAAACGACCTCCGTAGCCGCACGAGGGACGTTCGCGATCTAGCGCGCATCCTTTCCAAAGTCGATCCGGACACATTTGGCCTTCTGTCCTGCCGCGGCGTACTGAGGACGGAAAGGACCTTCGATCTTATTTTTCCTGTCCCACAAAATCAGCAGCAAGGTCCTATTAGTAGTCTCCGCTATATCCTGTCGACACGTGCCGAGCGCAGCTTTACTCTAAACGAGCGGGTGAAGTTGGCAAATTCTCTGGCTCGATCGGTCGTGTTCTTACACTCGTCGTCATTCGTCCACAAAAGCATTACCCCAGAGAATATCATCATTTGCAGATCGCATGCAGACCGTCTGGGTACGCCTTATCTAGTTGGCTTCGACCAATTTCGACTGGCGGAAGGCCCGACCCACTTGAGTGGCGACAAGGATTGGGAGAGGAACCTCTACCGTCATCCACGACGCCAGGGGATACATCCCGAAGATGAATATATCATGCAGCATGACGTATACAGCCTTGGGGTCTGTTTGTTGGAGATTGGACTGTGGACTTCTTTCGTCGAGTACTCGGGAGATTACGGCCAGCCTATTCCAGGGCCTTCATTATCAATCAAGGATCTTATTGTTGAAAGAGATCAAAGACGAGCAGCCTACCAAATCAAGAGAATGCTTGTTGACCTGGCCAGAAGCAAGTTGCCAGCTTTGATGGGAAACATCTTCACTGAAGTTGTCGTGTCATGTCTGACATGTCTCGATAAGGACAATGAGTTATTCGGAGATGAAGAAGAATTCCTGGATGATGACGGCATTTCCGTTGGTGTTCGCTACATCGAGAAGGTATGTTGCTTCACGCTTGGCACATTATGGGGCTAACTTGTCTATCCCATAGATTCTATTTGCGCTTCAAGGGATTGCGGTGTGAAGACCTGTGACACACGGCTCCATTACGAAGCCACTATTCTGGATGCTGCAGAGGCGAAACAGATTCTGCGCGTCCATATCAACTGGGCGGGGTCAAGTGTCGTCGTACCTGGGCCAGACGGAACTGTATTTCACGTAGAGGTCCAGCCCGAGAATCCCGAAGCAAGCCAAACAGGATGGCAACGGCATGACGTCCTTGCACATACCCGTTCGTGTGCGGTATCAGCCCCTTGGAGCTTTTGCGTCGATCAGCTATCCCCAGATCCTCCGGTATTCACTGCCTCGACTTCGACATCCGCAGCCATCAGCGTCGCGTGCTCAAACCTCTCCTTCACCTTACCCGTGACGTGCTCCAAGCCCCAGTTCCGCACGTATTTAAACATGTGAGCAGCCTCCTCATACATGTCGGAATGAAAGAAGCCATCTCTCGCCACTAATGGGGAGATTGCGTCCCAGAACCCCTGTATATTGTTCCAGCCTATGGTTTCCTCATCGTGGACCCGAAGATCGTCCTCTGTGAAATGTAGGGGGCATGGAAACCCAAAGCCCATCTCTTCCCAGTGTCTGGAAGAGGGATTCAATTAGCGAACAACGCAGACCAAGATCAGTAGCGGTGTGAACTCACTTCTCAATCTGGATCAAACTATCCCTCAGGCGAATGATATCATCATCCCAGGCGTCGCCCACAAACTGAATGGGCCAACACCGCAGCATGCCGAATTCCTGGTAGAACACGCGATTGAGGAGTGGGATCTCTTCCGCCACTCGTGTCTGATAGAAATCACAAATGATGGTCTGTTCCATCTGGGCTTCAGTCGCAGACTGTTCTTTGCTGCCGAGCTCGGCGAAACCTTCGGGAAGAGTGAGAATCGGTTCCCCCTCAAAGCGGATAAAGCTTGGGTGCCGTCCGCCGAGCATGAGTGGGGTGCCCCATACGCCCTGCCAGTCGATCACGCTGGTGATCTCTCCGTCACTCACGAAGATGTTTGAGGGATTGAGGTCGCTGTGGCAGAGGTACGGTGCAAGGATGGCGGGCTCGTTGGGGAGAAGATACGGTGCCACTTGGAGGTACTTGTCAAGCAGACACAGATGACTAGCGGGGCAGTTCTGGGTCATTGTGGCATCGTCCGGTCTTGGAATCGCATGCTGTTGTATCCAGGCCTTCTCGCGATGGGCCAGAGAGGTGACGTAGTCCTGTGGTTGTATCCCTTGAGGAAATTAGCTTGGAAAGAGAGAAGTATGACATGAAAGAGGCGATATGAAACTGGCAGAGAGAAGGCGACACGAGAATGGAAAAGCGTACATGGACCGCGGTCAATAGTCATTTGTGCACGCTCTTTTGCCCAAAAGTCATGCTCTGTCACTGGCCCAATCACAAACCGGCTCGCTACTTGTTCTTGTATTATCTCAGGGATATCTCCAACGAGCTGTGCCGGAAGAGCGCCGGGGATATTTTCTGTGGCATAATACAGGCTACCGTAACTATAACATGGTTAGCCTATCGCAACAAGGCTGAGGGATCGAGGTGTGAACCAATCAAAAGCCACCGAGAATAACTTCTTCTGCAGCTCAACAAGGCTATCAGTGACCTTGAGCTTCTCCTCGAGAGCTAGGTCATCCCACACATCTGCCAGTCGAGTCCCGCGGGCAACCTCCATTATGATGTACTCAGATCCAACACTGCATCGACTATCTGCGCACCACGCAAGAACCTTTGGAGTAGGAATGTTGAGAACCGTCCGAGCCTGCACAGATCATTTCTATGTGTGAGCAAGAGTTGAGAGACTGGGACCAGCGACGTAAGGAAGAGGAGAAGGATCAGACACGTACAAATTCCATAGTGGCGACTTCAGATGCTGTGGTGTAGTACTGGGGACCTGCGATTGGGTAAGGGATCTTCGCAACCACTTTTCTGCCATCGTCCATCGTGAGTAAGAATGTTCTGTTCGAGCCACCCCCCCCCAGCTTGGTGATTGAGACGCATTCCTCAGCTTCTATACTGCTGGCAGCAATTTCCTGAAGCGCTTGCACGTCAAAGGGCGTGAAGCGGTTCTGAAGTTGCTGTTTCTCATTCCACAGCCAACGGCCTGTGGTGAAGCAGTGTAGGTCCTCATTCGACCCCTGGAGTGTAGATGCTGAGTTCAACGAGCTCAGTGGAGACGCAGTTGTTGGATTCAGCGAGCTGAGTAGAGACGTGGTTGTTGAGGTCATCGAGTCGAGTAGAGACTTACTCGATGAGAGAACTGAGACGAATGGTGAAAGCTTTTGGGTGGGATGTGATCGGGGAGCCTGTTGGAAGTGATTAGAAGGTCAGCTGTCAGCGATGGAAGAATGAGTTTTGGGTGATGAGAGAATTGTGGGTAGTGAGAAAGTCAGTGGTAAGTGATGGGAGAGTTAGTTGTAAGTCGAGCAAACAAAAGATATTTAAAAGGGAAAGATGAATGGTGTGCCAGTTGGCAGACTGTACGACCCGGTGATGCTAGGTTAGTAAGGTAGTGTGCCGTAACTACCTGTGAATTCACACTAAACCTCTGATTTTGCGCGGTCCTGTCGGAACGTGGTCATGATATCCTCCATTGCCTGTTCGGAGTCCAGCTTCGCCGGGTCAACGGGAACTGTAGCCACAATTTGGTGACTATCTCCATCTTTCTTGTTGGGTTGGAGCACGACCGAGTACTTCCCCGGTATTACCCCCTACTGCGCCTTTATCAAGCCGGAAAGAGTGTTTGTTGTCGTTCTTCGAGGTGCGACTTGGAAACAGGCGTTTGTCTTGCGAGATAGACTTGCCTTTGAATATTGACTCTTCCCAAGGTGCACAAGAAACGAAAGTCTGGAGACTCCTTTCCGTATAAACGGTTATATTCCGGCCACCGACTTATCTTAATCCATGCCCGTCGGGTTGGCAAAAAGTACAGTAGCCCATCTTCTGTCTGCAGCTTGCGGACCGTCTCTTTGATGAACATGATGAATTTGTGGTCGTGCCAGGCACTATTCTGATATCCGGAGTTGAATGAGAGAAGCTAGTGAGCACTGTATTGCTCGGGACTGTTGCTCGAGCGAAGATATTAGCACCCTGGATGATCTTAAGTATCCTATTTCATGGTGCGCAACCCTGGCTGAGGATAACCAGCAAGATATATACATGCGAGTCGCCTCCACCCTAAGGTACTGGATTCTCACCCCATGTCCCTTGGTTGGGGTTACGATGGTAAGAGGAGATAAAGATATCCGGCAACATGGTGTTGTTGAAGGCTTGGAATGATGTTCTTGATCAGGTTGGTTGAGGTTGCTGATAAGGAAACTATCTGACCTCTTTTAGGGAGCTTGATAAGTGATTGGTGTAGACTACGATGAGTACAGCGAAGGCTTCCAAGTTCCAAGATTCTATGTCGAATCCATCAGAGGTAAATATCTACTAGTAGATGCGGCTATTCTATCACACACCTGGATGAATATAGTAATATCCTAGCGGTGGATGTTTACACTCATGCTATATCTAAGACTCTTTGTAAGACTGGCAATTTAGTCTATGACAGGTGACCAGTTTCAACAACATTAGGGATGAAGTGCGAATGTGCCAGATTGTAACCCAGGTGTTACTTGTTATCTGAGAATGTTGAGCCTGGCCTGGAGCCTAGGTTGAAGCCTCAGGCAACAAGAAGATGGACATACTCGAGGCTGCAAGTGGGAGGCATGGAACAGAGCCCTATCACATGACTAGCATCCAGCTTCCAGAAGCCATCATCTGATTGATGCAGTAGTCATCAACGGGTGTCAGGAAAGGAATATCTTCTCCGACACAAGGGCATCAACCGTTTTCCTTCTGTCACCATCTTCATCTCCCCCGACCCTCAACTCAAGACCAAAGTCATCAGCCCATCACGTATTCCCTTCCACTATGGCAGAGAGAAACACACACATCGTCGACCCGGAAGGAGACGTGATACTCTTCCATATAATGGAGGGAGAAGAGCATCGTATCCGAATATCGACCAAGCACCTGATTCGAGCATCGCCTTTCTTTGCAAAACTCTGCACCGGAAGAGAACAAGACAGCACCGAACCTTCGTGCAGCAGAGAGTTCTTGCCCGACTTCGAGGGGTTGAGGCTTGAGTCCATCCTGATATTGATGCGGATCATTCACGGCCAAGCGTCTGTGCTGCCTGAAGTAATCGACCTCCCGACACTGGTCGACCTGGCACTGCTAGTGGACCGCTGCCAGTGTGCACCACTCGCCCGGTACTTCGCCCTGCAGTGAGTCGACAATCTCATCGCAACAGGGAGTCCCTCCGAGTACGGCAAGGAAGTGATGGAGTGGATATATGTGGCATGGGTGTGGAATCTGAACAAAGAGTTTGAGGCAAACACTCTTGTCGCTGTTGAGACAAGTTATGAGGTGGTGCACTCTCACAATCTGCCTTTGCCAGGGAGGATTATTGGTCTGTGAAGCTTTCTTTTCCTGTCATAATCACATTGCTGACGGTTTAGCAGAGAGGATCAAGAGGAACCGAGAGCAAGCCATAGCGAAAGCCATAAAAAAATTGAAAAGAGCGGAAACAAAGTTTTTGAAGGGTACTGGTGAATGTTGTTCTCACTTCAGTTCCATGATGTTGGGGTACCTTCAGAGAAATCTTTACGATGCCAGCATCAAAGACCCCATGTGGCCGAAGGCTCCATATATCGGCGAATCGTATCAGAGGCTGGTTGAAGAAGTCGAGTCCTTCGTGAACCCTGAGTATGAGGACGGAGAGTGTGGCAAGAACAAGTATGATTTGCAGAGATTCCTCAATATCCGCAATCTCGCGGTGGGTGTGAAACTGAAGGCCCTCACCCACAGAAGCTATATCAACTCCGAATAACTTAATGCAAGGTCTTGGTTTGTGGCATCATCAAGCTTTGTCACCCATATTCTGGAATAAGGTTGTTTCTGTACTGCAAAAAGAACAAAGGTGTGCGGGGTCAAGCCAAGGCATACATGATAAGATCTACTTGGAAGATATTCACTCAGTGTACCTAAAATCATATCTATAGTTGCCCGGGACAGCACGTGATCCATATGGAGATGAAATGAAATGAAGTGAAACAAAATGAATCAACACAACACACAACAACTTTCCTGTACCATCGCGTTCTTCCCTAATCCTTCAAATCTCTTTGAGCTCAGCATCGTATAGTTGTACACCATGTCCGACACAAACATGTACTCCTTCCATCCTGAGGGAAAGGTCATCTTTGTTCTTACAGAAGAGCCATCCACACCCTCAGACTCCACTTATCGAGAAGATCACGAATCTGGTAACTTTGGATTTGCTTCAGCGCGCTCAGGAACATGTAGCTCGCAGCGTTCCTACATCAACCTAGCTGAACTGATCCCTAAGAATGTTAACTCATCGTCGTCAACAATCGCCCTAGCCCTGAAGGTAAGCCCTCGCGCATCCAAGCTGGAAACCCGACACTCAGACAAACCTTTCATAGAATGAAATCCTCAAAGGCGAACAGACCCTCTCAGAAACCCCTCAAGCCCCCAACAAGTACCTGATACAAGCATCCGAGAAACACCTCGCTTTGTCATCGCCCGTATTCAAACAAATGCTCAGCGGCCTCTGGAAAGAAACCATCGACCTCGCAACAGAAGGACACATCCGATTCGAGATCAAGAAGTGGAATCTGCAGCCCTTCCTCATTTTTCTCCAAGTAATGCATGGCCGACCAGAGCCCAAGGGTCTGGATGTGGACACAATCACCGAAGTGGCGCTTCTAGTCGACTACTACCAGTGCTTGGCAGAATTTCGACGCGCCATGCGCGCATGGCTAAAAGAGGTCAAGAAGACACTGAGTCCTTCCTATGAGACATATATGAAGTGTCTGTGGGTCTGCTGGCAACTCCGTCGATCAAGCGACTTCCGAGATTTCGGCATTCTCGTGGTGTACTTTGCGGACGGTCTGATCGAGGGCGAGGGACTGCCATTCCATCCTGTCGTGCTGGGTATGACTCCGCCCCTTCGTTCTTCATGCCGTAGACTGACTGTCATGCAGACAAGCTCAACGCCGCCCGGAAGAAGGCCCTGACGCCAATAATCCGCCGCCTACCGATGCACTACAACAGCGAGAGGCCCGCCGAATGGGTCCACAGAGGCTTCTGCGGCGAATGCGCCACATTGCTGAGCGACTTGCTGGACCTGGACATTCGGCAGGCCGCCCGTGAGGCATACCCGGTTGCACCTTTCTCCGGTCTGAGCTTTGCTAAGCTCGTCGTGACGGAGTGTCGAGGACGCCGGTGCCAGGATATGGGGATCATTCATATTGAGAGGATGTACCAGACTGTGGACCATAGTGATGCTGGGTCGGTGTCGCGGTTTGTCCGCAAGCTGAATATCAAGCCAGTTACCTTGGAGGAATGTTTGAAGGTGATGGCCAGGTAGGTGTGGATGACTTCGTTGGGAACCGCTTTTTACCCTTGGTGTCGATACGTGGACGTTGAATATCTGACTTGGTTGTGCCTCTGTGTACTCCTGGTTTTGTCTTTTGATCTGCTCTGCTTGGTTGTTCCTTCGGTGAAGTGCTTGTGATGTAATGATGCAGGAGAATGATATGTCAGAAAATGATAGTCGCAAATCACAGTTAACATGAGTTCTATCCACATAGTCAGAGACTTTCCTTGAGTAATCCAGAGAGACACCGTGACTGCTGACTCTATAATGAATGTGGCCCTATATTCATTTTGAACTTCCAGGGACCCCTGATATACTCAGAGACCAATAAACGTGTCAGGCCTCGCTGGCCAGGCTGCTGACCGCCTTTTGCGCCTATGTTGATAAATCCGCTCTCAGATAGCTCGCGTGGTTGAATTTGGCACTGATCGATGTCCTCGAGACAAGAAATTAATGTTACTATGCAGTCACGTCCACCGCCAAGTTCAAGTGCGGGAAGGATAAATCAAGAACAGCCCTAATAATACTACCCCTTGACTGTTAAGCACAACTGGAAATTATCACGAAAGAAAGCCGTAGACAACGACAAGAACTTTATTCGTAAAGACGTGCGTGTTTGATTTATCCCACCAAGAGCACCGGCCAATCATCATGCACGTCTCCTCTCAAAGCAGAACAACGATTCACCCGGCCGTTAGGCACCGACCTGAAAAATGCGACTGCGCAATCGGTCCTAATAAATACTCACTCTGCACAAGAGAAAGAAACGCAATCCTTCTTCGATCCAACAACCATCCCCCATCATCCCCTCAACCACTGCACAAAGATGGCATCCTCCGAGCAAGCCATGTCCCCAGCGGACACCACCACAGACTCCGACTCCACCATCTACATCAGCCCCAATGCCACCGACAAGATAGCCCTGCGCATCGAATACCCCGTTTCCTCCCCCCCCCCGGAGACCCGGACCAACACCCTCATCGTCTCGAAGGCAGTTCTGATGGATGCGTCCCCGGTCTTCAACCGCATGCTCACCAACAACGCCTGGCAGGAAGCGCAGTCTCTCACCGCCACGGGCATCGTCCATCTCACTATCGACGGGAACCTCTATAGCGAGACTGCGTTCATCGACATGATGTACATCCTGCACGGGCAGACAATCCCCGCCGAGCGGTATGACCGGCTCAGCAAATTCATAGACCTGGCCACCGTGTTGGATTACTCGGGCTGCGGGTGGGATCGAGTGCCCAACATGAAGACCAGCATCGCACTGGCCCTGAGAAAGGATCCGTACTGGGTCGACCTCGACACGGCGATGGAGTGGGCCTGGGTAGCGTGGTTCTTTTGGGACACGGACGTCTTCGAGCAGGTCACGGCGTACGTGATCGGGCATTCGGAAGATCGAATCCGGGCTCGTCCGCTTCGTCTCCCTGAGTATGTGTGCGGTAAGAAACTTCTTTTTCTTAAATCAGTCGCAGGCATTGTCCTTCCCGGCTCTCTCTTCCGAGAAGCCAAGCCAAGCGACTGCGTTGGATGGCACTGGCTGACGTACTGAAATAGCGTTGATGAATGAATGCCGAGAGCGCTCAATCAGGGGCCTTCTCAAGCCTCTCCGGGGGTATATCGAGGGGGCGTTGCGTCACGCTTGTCCTATATTGCACGAACGCGCCTGGAGGGACACGCTCATACTACCACTAACGGCCATCGACGCCGACCCCGGTTCCGAACCCTACCGCAGCTCGGACCGGTGCATGCACGTTATCAAAGCAACGATCCCCACGCTACACCGGGAGGGGGGATCGCTGTATTCGTTGCCCGCGCCCCCGTATGCGGGGTGCAGCTTTAGGCAGCTGAGCCCCGCGTTATCCCGCGATGTGCCTAAGGAGCTGGAGTGGGATCTGATGAGCTACGAGCCGTACGGGCAGTGCCTAGGGCCTCTTAGGACCTTGCTTCTTGGGCTGCGATCGGATGGGATGAAGATGAAGCGACTGACGATAAACGATGTTGGTATTGTCATCATCGCGCCAGCGATGGAAGCTTGTCCGTATCGCAGATGCTGGAATCTCGACAGCACTTCGTGGGGAGGCGATTGCAGGTTCTGATGGATTTAGGCCTTCCTGGTAGCGCTCGGCTTTAGGCATGGTTGTGGATGGTGTGCGGGAGAATGCATGGCGAACAGAGTACTTTGAGTTGCCAGATGATGAACAAGTTACCAAATATTGAATCAAAGAAATCCCAAGAAACCATGTCACGCTAGTATATCCCGCCTTACATGTATCCCCCGCTCTTTACCCAGATACTATGTACAAGATATCAAGTACAATTACAGCTTCGCCTCCCGCTGCAACCTCTTCACCTCGCGCCGCAAGATCTTCCCAGACGGATTCCTAGGGATGGCATCCACAAACCTCACCCCACCCCGTAGCTGCTTGTAACTAACCACCCTCTGTTTCACATACGCCTCGATCCTCCTCCCCAGCTCCGCAGACCCCAGCACCCCCTCCTTGACGACCACATACGCGCGCGGCAACTCCGTCCCCGCCGTCCCGCTAGCCACCCCCACCACCGCCACATCGGCCACCACCTCCTCGAACCCCAGGATGATCCCCTCCAGCTCCGCGGGCGCCACCTGGAACCCGTTGTACTTGATCAGCTCCTTGACGCGGTCCGTGATGAACAGGTTTCCGTCTGCGTCGACGTAGCCCACGTCGCCCGTTTTGTAGAAGCGTTGCGCGTCGTCGGAGAACGACTCCGCGTCCGCTTTGGGGTTGTTCAGATACCCACTGAACACGTTGGGGCCCGTCACCCATAGCTCGCCGGGGAGAGGCTTTGTGCCTGGTGAATGGGTGGGGGATTCCTCGCCGGGGACGGCGGCGAAGGTGGCGGTCATGTTGGGCATGAGGCGGCCGACGGAGCCGGGGTGGGTGAGGGCTTCTTCGAAGGTCTGTTTGTCGGAGTGTGTGAGAAGCTGAAGACGGAAGTGGAAGGACTAAGGGGCAAGGAGCTACCTGGAGATGCGTGCAAGGCGCACACTCGCTCATCCCGTAGGCCTGGCGCACCGGGATGTCGAGCTTCTTGCGCAGGGCGTGGATCAGCTCGAGGGCCAGCGGGGCGGCGGCGGAGAGGGTCATGCGCAGCGAGCTCAGATCGTACTGCGCCACGCGCGGGTTGGTCACCAGCTCCAGCACAACGGGCGGCACCACGTAGGCGTAGGTGATGCGGTGGCGCTGGATGGTGGTGCAGAAGGGGTCGAATTGGAAGCGCGGGAGCACGGCGATGCTCATGCCGATGAAGACGGTGAGGTTGAGGAGGTAGGTGATTCCTTTTAGGCGTGCATCGTCAGTTGTTGTTGTTGTGCACAGAGACCGAAAGATAGGGCTACGGACCGTAGATATGGAAGAACGGCAGCACGGCAATCGCGCGGTCGGCCGCTGTCAGGTTGGCCCCGTCGATGGCCACGTTCTGCGCCAGGTTGGCGACCAGATTGCGGTGCGAGAGCATCACCCCCTTGGGCAAGCCTGTCGTCCCGGAGGAATACACCAGGAACGCGAGGTCTTCAGGGGATGCGATCGGGGGCTGGTGAGGGCGATCGCGCGCGGGAGAATCGTGGTGGTCGACCACCAGCGTGGGCGATAACGCATCCAGCACCAACACCCGGTCGCGCGACAGGCCCGCACGGTCGGCAGCCTCGAAGACCACGGGCGCTTGTGTTTGGGTAGTCACTACGGCTTTCACGCGCGCGTCCGTCAGGGGATGGCGCAGCTCGTCGGCGCGGTAGTGCGGGTTCACCGGACACACCACCCCGCCCGCGGCCAGCGTGCCGTAGATGACTTCAGGCAGGGCAATCGAGTTGGGCGCAACCACCATCAGCACCTCTCCCGGTTGCCACTTCCATTGCGTCTGGATCGCCTCCGTGAAGGCGAGAGAGCGCTGGCGGAGCTGGCGGAAACTGAGGGTGTGGTCGCTCAAGGGATCCAAAAAGAGTGCTGTCGCAGTGGAGTTAGCAAGTCGCACCGACTTTGGTGATGCTCATGCAAATGTTTCGCTCACTTTTATCTAAAGCATACGGACGGTCGGCCCTCTCGAACAACAAAGTCCAGAGGTCGACATTGGGTATCTCAATCGAAGGAAAAGGCGACGCCATGATGATACTGACTGGCAGAGACTGGCGGAAGGGGAAACAGAAAGACAACTCCAACAGAATTACCAACAACAAACAAGAAACGCAAAAGTAAAAAGCTGAAAACAGCCGAGACTCGACTAGTTTAAAGCAACGAAAAATCACGGAAGGATATCGTCATGGAGCAGGAACTCCACCAGTTCTCTTGAATATCTTGAATATCTCGCATCTGCCGTGACGGAAGATGCCCTAAAAGACTCCACCCGGCAATCTTGGATAGGATCGGAATGGGCATCGCACCAACCGACGAGCTTCCCTGCCGTGCCGGAACCCACTGCTCCCCCACCGATCGTCCTGGAATAACTTTCACCATGTGGTTCGCGATCTGCACTCACTCGATTGGGCTTTTCCGATCGGGACAATTGGTCCAAGATGCTGGGTCGGCACGGGAGGCACGGACAGGGTTCCCACCCCCCAGCTGAGCTTTCCCAGCTGCCCTGCTTGCTCGCTCTGCAAGCTTTGCAAGCTTTGCAGTCCAAAATATCCGGGCCTGCTGAGGGTCGCTTGGAAGGCCCGGATATCAACGGGAATTTTCATAATGGATAGTTCAGTGCTCCTCCACTGATCCCACTGATCGGCCCCTGCATGGGTCTGTGAAACAGAGGGTAGACGTGGTGGCGTGCTGAGTGCAGGATCCCTGCCCAGCTGGACAAATCAGCGCCTGCAGCGAGGCTTATCGGAATAGATTGCAATACGAGCAGGAGGTGCGATCGACAGGAGATGGATGCTGCAGAAATCGATGCCGTCAGTGGATGACATGGACTGCAGGCAGTTCGTGGCTGGTACTGCAGTGACCAGCGCCTATAAAGATGAGAGGTGCTCGTTCGGTGTTGCTGGTCAGACAGGGCTTTGTTTTGCTTTTTTCCTCGCGCACTTTCCATCCTTCTTAGCCACCTTGTTTTCTATTTTTCTTTTCTCTTCGTTCTGTTTAGAATCCCCTTGTCGCTGCACTCCCATCATGCCTCACATCCCCGAAGCACCTGCACATCTGGCCACAGCCCACCGCACCTGGTCGCGGTTACAAGAGCTGCGGACCAACCCGGCCGTCGAGCTGGATGGCAATAGTCTGGACATTGCCTCTGTTGTTGCTGTTGCCTAGTATGTTGGCCCAGCCATGCATTGCATTACAGATGACCTTAAGACTAACCTCTATCCAGCCATGGCTGTCTTCCCAAGCTGTCCTCCGACCCCACCGTGATCGAAGCCATCACCGACAGTGTGCGGGTGTTGATGGATCACCTCGACCACGGTTACTGCGTCTACGGTACCTTTCCTCCATCCTGCTTATAGTTAAGCTTTCTAACGCTATTCTGCTATTCTAGGAGTCAACACTGGGTTTGGTGGTAGTGCTGACTCACGCACGGACAAGGCCTCGGCTCTACAAGCTGCCCTGCTGCAGCTGACCCAAGCCGGTGTGCTCACGGCGGCGGACAAGACCACAGGCGACGCGCGAGGACTGGCCTCGACGGCCTCGCCGACGGCCATGCCCAGCCCTTGGGTGCGTGCCTCCATCGTCGTGCGCGCCAACAGTAACGCGCGCGGTCATTCCGCTGTTACACTCAACGTGCTGGAGGGTCTCCTGGACCTCCTCCGCCACCGCATCACTCCTATCATCCCCCTCCGCGGCTCCGTCTCTGCCTCGGGAGATCTGATGCCTCTCTCCTACATCGCCGGCGCAGTCGAGGGCTCCCCCGACATCTACGTCCAGGTTGCCAGCGCAGACCCCTCTGTTGCCCCCCAAATCATGTCCGCCTGCGACGCCCTCGCTGCCGCTGGCATCCCCCGCCGCGTCATGGGCCCGAAGGAGGGTCTGGGGCTGGTCAACGGCACGGCCTGCTCCGCCGCGCTGGCCAGTCTGGCGCTGCACGAGTCCCACCAGCTGGCCATCACTACCCAGGCCCTGGGTGCCATGGGCGTGGAAGCCATGATGGGCACGGCGGAGTCCTTCCACCCGTTCATCTCCGCGACCCGGCCGCACCCGGGTCAGATTGAGTGCGCGCGCAACGTCCTCGCCCTGCTGCAAGGGTCCCGCCTCGCTGTGGGCGTCCACCGCGAGAAAGACCGCAAACGCTCCGGCCTGATCCAGGACCGCTACGCGTGGCGCAGCGTTCCGCAGTGGGTGGGGCCCCAGCTCGAGGACCTCCTCCTGGCGAACCGCCAGCTGACCACGGAGCTCAACTCCTCGTGCGACAACCCGCTCGTCGACACGGCCAACCGCGAGATCTACTGCGGCGCGAACTTCCAGGCGGCGGCCGTGACCTCGGCGATGGAGAAGACCCGGCTCTCGCTGCAGATGCTGGGCAAGATCCTGTTCGCGCAGGCCACCGAGCTGGTGGACCCGAACTACAACAACGGGCTGCCCACCAACCTCGTGGCGGACGACCCCTCGTGCTCCTTCACGATGAAGGGCGTCGACATCAGCATGGCTGCCTACATGGCCGAGCTGGCCTACCTCGCCCACCCGGTCAGCGCGCACGTCCAGACGGCCGAGATGCGCAACCAGGCCGTCAACTCGCTGGCCTTCATCAGCGCGCGCTACACGATGCAGGCCGTCGAGCTGGTGAGTCTCATGTCCGCCGCCTACCTGTACATCGCGTGCCAGGCACTGGACCTCCGGGCGCTGCATTTGCGCTTCCTGGAGACGGCGCGCCCGCGCCTCGACGCGCTCGTCCGCACCTCCTTCGCCAGTCTGCCGCGCGAGGAGCTCGAGTCCCTGATCGAGACCATCCTGGCCACCCTGACAACCAGCTGGGGCACGACCACCCGCGTCTCCCTGCCGGATCGCTTCGCGCAGACCGTCCAGGCCGCTGTCCCCGTGATCGTCGACCGCGTCGCCGCTGCCGGCAGCGCACAGATCACGCTGGGCGACATCACCGCGTGGAAGACGCAGGCCATCGCCGTGCTGGGCGACGTCTACACCACCACCGCCGCGACCTTCAAGCAAACCCCGCACACCCAGGAGCTGCTCGGCGCCGGCTCGAGAGCATTGTACACTTTCGTCCGGGAGCAGCTGGGCGTGCCCTTCCACCAGGGGTTCGTGGAGCATCCGACGCCTGGAGCCACGGAGCTGGACGGCCGCGACAAGAAGACGGTCGGGTCGTGGGTGAGCGTGATTTACGAGGCGGTGCGACGGGGCGATGTTGCCGGACGTTTGTTCGAGAAAGTCATGGGTTAGCTTTCTTTTACTTTGTATATCCTACTGGTTGGGTTGGGTCAGGCTTGGAGTTCGGATAAATTACGATAATAGATTTTCTTCCTTTCAAACTTGATCAACTGTAATCAATCCTGGCTTCACAACTGTGGACAGCAGACGCAAGTTCTCTCAAGTTGTGGTTAATGCACAGAGTGCACCTGCTGGGTACGTCCACCTACCCTACCTAGTCCCCATCCCCTCAATCCCCCAACCCAAACCCAAATCCGATATCACAGTACCTGACCTCAAACTCAATCGACAACCACCAAACCCAACCCTGCCCACCGATCGTCCGCCCGGGATTATTCCCCGATTGGTCGATCTCGACCCGTTCGCGAAACCAGATCGTTTCCCAAAGGGTATCAGATGTGAGCTCGGTTCATGCAGGGTGCGGTTGCGGTGCAATGTGACACGGATCGGGGTGACACGGCACCAGAGGCAAGGTGGGACGTGTCATATTTCAGCTGCTGGTTGGATTCTAGTGGAGTCCGGGCTGATGGGTCGAGAGAGAGGGGTGTGTTCGTCATTGTGCAGGGTGGCTGGCTGAAGGGGAGATCGGCGGGTTGGGCGATGCAGATGCTGATGCAGCTGATGCTGCGTGCTGAGGGCTCGGACCGAGGTTGCTGTGCTTCTTTCATGAGGCAAGGGGGTTCAGCTGATGCTGATCATGAGGGATGACAATGACGAGGACGATGATGACGGTGTTTATTGTCGCACCCCCGCGATCTGAGGCCATATACCAAGCGAGTTGAGGGCTCAGATAGTTCAAGTCATCCGTCCTACCAACGACCAAGGAATTCAGAGATTGTTAACAGGACTCAAGATCCTGAGGAGCGAACGACTGCCTAGGTCAATGTCTTGACATGGTTTTAGTGGAGCGGTGCAACGCTCCCATCAACTGTCCTATGTCGCCTATCCCTAATCTTCTGAAGGCCTGCCTCTCATGCACCAAATGGTCTAGTCTGCGACACTGCAAAGATGCGCTAATGGCGCTGCAGCTGGTGAGCTCCACTGTGGAGGAAATAGGACTATGTCAAGAACGTAAAACTTTCTCCTTCGTTTCGAATGTTCGTTGGTACCAGTGGAATTACATACGATACATATTCGCCAGCCAAGCTGAAATGAAAAACTGCCCAAGTCTTCAACAATACATTCACGCAACGCCTAGTACAGCACCGACAGCCCCCCCCCTTCTTTCTCTGCACACCTCTCATCTACTTACTATCCCCCCACCTCAAACGCCGGAAAATGCCGCCGTACAACCCCATCCAACTGCCGCAAGATCGCCGGTTTCACAAAGTACTCATCCCCCCCGGCCTCCGTCGCCGCCGTTTTATCCGCCGGCGTATCCTGGCCCGTCATCACGATGATCAACGACCGCGCCCAGTCGTTCTCCTGCTCCCACGCCCGGATCTGTCGCGTCGCGTTGACGCCGTCGCAGACCGGCATTTGGAGATCCATGAAGATGAGCTCGATCGGCGGGAGGACGGTTCCGTTGTCGGTGCCGGGAGACTGACGGCGGCGGCGCGTGAACGTCTCGATGGCCTGGACGCCGTCGGTTGCTGTCAGATAGGGGAGGCCGCGCTTCTTGCAGTACATTTCCATGATGCGGAGGTTGACGACGTTGTCGTCGACGATGAGGGTGGTTGGGCGGGAGGATGTACGGGTGGCGAGGGGGGGAGGAACATGTCCGGTCTCTTCTTCGGAGACCGTTTCGGGGGTGAGAATGTTGTTGTCGGGTTGGGAGTCTGAGTCGGAGACTGAATCGTCGTTGGGCCGTTTCAGGTGCATGGGAAGGACTGCTGAGGGAGACGGCTCCGGCGATCGGATCTCCGCTGCGAGCGCGTCGGCTCGTTCGAGGACCCCGGCCAGTCTCTGCGCTGAGAACGGTCCCCGGGTGTGGATGACGTTCTTGGTAGGTGGCTGCTCGAGAGGGACTGGCGGGTCGGAGTCGGCCGGCAGGCCCGAGGCGAGAGAGATACAGACCGTGTCCGTCGGGATCTGGGACAGACGCGTGCGGTGTTCCTCGGTGTCTGGCGAAGGGTCGACGATGACGAAGGAACCTTCGAGAGAGTCGGATGGCGTGAATCCACTGCGCGTGAGTATCGACGCGAAGTGGTCGCATAATGACGTCGATACACCAGAAGGCCTAGGCCTCGACCCAGCGCGAGTCGGAGACTTCAGGATATAGAAACTCCGGGGAAGACTCTTCACCTTCGAGGCCAGCGACGGCGGAGGTCCGTCCGTTTGACACGCACACTCGATGTCCCGGAAGGTAGCCCGAAAGTGTGAGCCCCGACCAATAGCCGACGACATCAACGCCACCGAGCCGTGCAGAAGCGAGGCGAATCTGGATGCCAGCGTCAGACCCAGTCCCGCGCGCGCGGAATGCGCGTCGACCTTCTCGTACGCTTCGAAGATGCGCCGTTGATCGTCTTGCTGAATCCCCGAGCCCGTATCCCGGATGTCGATGGTCAACTGCTTGGATTCGGGATCGACAGTTGAGTGCACGGAGACGATCCCATCCGGCGTGTGTTGGATCGCGTTGTAGACGATGGGGAGGAGACTGTCACGGAGGACATCGATGTCCATCCAGAAGGTCTCGAAGCCGGGAGGGACGTCGTGCGTGAAGAAGAGGGCACAACTATACCGCATGTCGCCGATGGTCAGGGTCGAGATCGCCGTGTGGAGCTCGGTCTCGAGCTTGTCGATGCTGTGCATGGCGTAGTGTCGGTCGCTGAGGGCGATGTCGACCCACCGGTTCAAGGTAATCATGTTATTGACGATTGAGACGAGATCGCGACCGCCCATCTTGATGATGTTGAGATACTTGGAGTATTCAGCGAAATCTATCAATCCGGTCTTCTGGACCATCGTTGCCGTTGGCGCCGCGAGGGCGTCATCAGTCGAGCCGCCCCCCCAAGCGGCCTGAAGCTCCTCAGCGAGGAGATCCGCGGAACCCAGGATTCCATGGATCGGCGTGCGCAGCTGGTGCGAAATCCCGCGGAGGAATTTTTCTTTCGCATTGATGGCCTCGACCAGGAGACGTTTGCGCCACATTTGCGTGATCAGGCCCGCGCAGCTCTGCACGAACCACAAGTCGACGTCGTCAAATATGTGCTGGAAGTCCTTGGTTCCCACCATGAGCAACGAGGGGCCATTGGCGCTCTCGCAGGGGGCGGCCATGACGCGGACGGTCTTTGTCGTAGGGAGAGGCTGGTGGTTCGCCTCCGCGATCAGGGCATCGAGGTACTCGATGTCTTCCCAGAGGCCGCCTTCGAGGTCGGAGATGAGAACCGGGTCGCGTGCTTCCATCTCGACATGCGTTGCTGTCGTGGGCGGCGACTTGATGACGGCCTTGGGATAGATCGTCTTGAGTATCCGAAAGACCGGATCCGCCGAGACCCCCTTTTCGAGTTCCATCCGCGCCGTCGTGAGAAGGTCTGACATGCGCTGCCGTTCGCGCTGGCGTCGTGCTCGGGTACACTGCACCAAATCCGAGACCACCCAGTCGGCTAATCGCACCAGCGCTTGCTGCTGGTCTCTCGTGAGCGGGTCCTCCGCTGTACTCGAGGCCACGCAGAGCGAACCGAGGCCAACGGTGACTCCGGACTCGTGCTGCAGGCGGAGCGGCACCCCGGCGTACGCGTAGAGGCCGCCTTGTTCGAGGTATGGGCATGCGCGGAACCGCCAGTCCTCTTGGAGATCTGGGAGAAGGAAGACACTCTAGATGGGATGTTTAGTGGATATTCCTATGAAGAAGTCTAGCCTACAACCTACCCCAGGAGGTCGAGTGACGGTATGTGCACAGATTGTCTCGCCGCGGGGCAGGATGCCGAGTTGTAGGCCATGGGTCGCCAGGCGAATATAGACATGGATATCGAGAATGCCAATCACCGCGAACTGCCAGCCGGTGCATTCCTTTGCGAGATCGGCTTTCTCCTGGAGCCCGGCGAGCAGTTCGGCTTCTGCCTCTATATCGCGGGTGTAGTACCATAGCATGGACAGTCTAAGTCTCTCATTGTCAGCGAGAAAGGCGCGCAAGTAGCGAGAATCATCGAATCCCGGGGGTTTGTCGGATCTGGTGGCAGTGGCAGTGGAAGTGGGTGCGTTGGGATGCGGAGTAGTGGTAGTAGTACTGCTAGGGTAAACAATCGCTTCTAACTCGGGGGTCAGGACGCTGATTGGCTTATCCAGGTTGTCGGGGTCGAAGATCGGACCAATCGTCGTGGGCCGCGCCTGCTGGAGTGGTGCTGGCTGCCTCAGGTATCTCAGGATGGCCGCATCGGCCTTGGGGAGAAAGCTCGCGGTGGTTCTTGGAGCGGGCATGATTTCCCTCCCGATTTCGTTATCTCATTCTCTCTCGTCTTGACAGAGATTGTGGACTTGAGAGGGGGAACGAAGAGGACATTTGTTCCTGGCTCAGCCGCGGATGCCACTGGGCAAAGAAACAGGTTTTCCTCTCCTGCACGTGATTCTACAAAGAAATGATTGGTGGCATCGGATCCCAGCCCGTTCAGGGTTGCAATTTCCTCGCAAGGTTCTTCAACCTGCTCTCTTCCATCATCCAATTTTGTGCATAAAATATGACAAAGTAATGCATTCCCTTGTTTCAGAACTGACATATTCAGAACACATGTTATTTCTATCTTTTTTGAACCATTAAGAGGTCAAAGTTCTATCGAGAGAGTATAGTAATTGGAAACTAGGTTGATTTAGATGATAACTTTCACGATATTGATGATAAATAAAGACTGTTAGTAGGGACAAGTAGACTGTACTAACCAAGACGTGCCTTTGAACAGGTTATGTTTGTAGAAGTTCTGCTATAGTTATGTGCTAGGCTAGTAGCCTAGTACTAGCCTGTTAATAGTGTCAGTGCCTTAGGCATATATTGGTGCCTGAGGCGGAGATCTCTTTCACATCTTTTCTAATCTTTCACTATTGCAGTTGTATACTGATTTAGATAAACCAAGATCTACAGCCACTACTAAGAATCTGTAGTAGAGAGATTTAGTTATAGAAGTACATAAAACTGCTGATTGCGGCCGATGCTGCGCGGTGAGGATGCGGACCAAGGATGTTGGTTATTGTTCACAGGAATAAGGGAATTAGCTGATGCTAATCATAAGAGAAGAATGTCAATTTTTAGATCAGTTTTCGCCTCCTTGTTTTGCTTTGTTTTGTGGTCTTTCGTTTTCTGGCTTGCGGCCGAGAAGGAGACTTCGTAGCACCGCAAGTTAGGCCCGAGCGTCAGAAAATATACACCCGTGCTGCGCATGCGCATACACCCCCGACATATGAAAGCGGGCGTAAGAATTCTTCGTAGAGCTTGAAAACTCCAACCAATACTGAGATTACTATAACTCCACCTACCACCGAAAAAGGGAGTTTCTGTTGCTCAATCATATCGATTCCTAGGCCAATCTGGGAGCGCCAGCTGCCTGTGCGGAAGCGAGGATCACGTGATAGGATTGACTACCCTCAACCGGCCTTCGAATGTACCTCCAGCGCTTAGGAAAGAACCAAAATAATCTCCGAGCCTCCTTGCAATTTGATACTCAGGAAGAGGCGCTTGGATTCTAACACTCCGTCACAGTAAACCTGTCTTCGAATCCCGTTCCGAGCCTCGCGGCCTCGCGATCAGAGCAGAGCATTCCACTTCCAGGTCACTACCCCCCGGCAGATCCTCGACTGCTACACACGTGCAGACCTAGTAGGAACGGAGTCAACAACAAGCGCATTCCTCAAATAGCCCGAGTATGAACCACCGAACACAAAGGGCAGACTCACTGGCTTGGTGTCCATAAAAGCCGACTCCAACACAGCGTTCGCAGCACCCCAATCCTGCATGTCGGTCAAGAAGATGCTGAGTTTGATCACACAGTCTAGGCTCGAGCCGGCGGCGGTGAGGATTGTATTGAGATTAAGGAGGATTTGCGCCTAGCATGGGGTGAGTGCATCAGTAAGTTGCAGGAGCTGACAAGCAGGGTGCTGGGATCTCCCTTACTGCGCGGGCTTGGATACATCCTGCCACTAGCCTGCCTGTGTTTGGGTCGATGGGGAGTTGGCCCGAGCAGTGGATTACATTGCCGACCACGTGGGCTGGAGATAGGAATTTGGACAGAATCGGGGGTTGGGGAGTGGAAATCTCGGTTGGTTGAGGGGCATTCATGTTGTTGATGTTTGGAATTCGGGGGCTGGTGGAGTTGACGTAGGAGACGGCCATTTATATTTTGATTGCTGGGCAGGTGCCTCACTTTCCTTATGAGGTAAGGATAGTTTGAGCCTGCTTGAGTCACTAGTGAATGATTCTATTCTGATTACTCTTGGTACGGCCTCTATGTCGCTTTTACACATGTTCTATCCACTACATCGTAACTATCCTCAGCTTCCTACGAGTTCAACACGGAGGTTGAACGTGGTCTCTAGACCCATGAACTCTTTGTTGATGGACCGGCCAAAATGCACAATGCGTGTTACAAAACAAATATCCTCATTGCCCACCCACATCATCGTAAATGATCTTTTCCTCACGCTCGGAACAACCAAGAACTTCAAGGTCTAATCAAAAAGACTGATTAACTCAAATCTCCGATAGTAGCAAAAGAGGGGCCATTACTACTTACCCCCATACGGCAATATCTGCGAAGCAATGATGCCACCCACTCCATTCTCCCGGTCTGCAAACCAGAACAAATTAGGCAGCCCTTCCCAGGACCCTGACCCTGCGGCTCTCCCGGTCGAGCTGTTGGTGTGGCTGAGTGCGAAGGATAAACCCCATCCTTCGGTGAGGTCGTCCGCACACGGCACCAGCGGGCACGGATTGGCCAGAAGCGGCTTGCCCGAGGGCGTATACTCGTTGCAGTATCTCGGCATGGTTGGGATTTGATCGGTGAACATGGCTTGCACATAGTCAGTTGCCGATGCAATGTGCAGTGGGAAGAATAAAGCGTACCTTGAACCGTCTCAGACTTCAGAAGCTGGGCCCCAGTGTTGGGACTCGTACCGTGGTTCAGAAGTGTCGCGATAATTCCTGTATAGGTCTCAGCATCAAAGCCAGGATGCTCAGACGGATTCGATGGACATACGACAGTACTCCAGCGGCTTTCCAAAACAGCCCGCCCCTCCCATACAAAACCGCCGACCCTCCTCGTCTGGCCTGCAAGGAAGCAAAGGATATCGGTACAGATGGTCCGTGATACTGAGCGAACCGTCTTTGGCGCGCTGGTGCATATACGCCAGATTACTCTTCATCTCGTCTGTTGGAAAGAAGGTGATATTCTCCACTCCCAAGGGCCGTAGAATAAAGGTCTGGAAGTACTCTTCCAGCGAGATCCCCGTCATGCGCTCCACCAACTGACCCACCCAGTCCATGCCCACCCCATACTGGAACTTGGTCCCGGGCTGGTTGACCAGCGGCCGGTGCAGCACGTCGTGGATGTTTCCCGAGAAGTCGTCCAGGCCGACGGGGCGCGACCATTCCAGCAACTTCAGGTCTTCGAAGGCGTAGCCAAAGCCAGCTGTGCTCCATCAGCATTGTGCACGCTGAACTCTGGCCATGGGATTAGAGATGCTTGACTTACAAGTATGGTTCAACAGCATCCGTAGCGTCAATCGCCTCTCTTTTGCAACCAATTTGATCCCACCATCAGCACCCCGCTCCAACACCTCCACATCCCGGAGCTCGGGGGCTAAAGACTCAAGCTGGTCACTGTCGTCCAGCACCAGCTTCCCCTGCTCGACTAACTGCATACATGCGATACTGGTGAGTAGCTTCGTGCAAGAGGCCATATAGAAGATCGTGTCGAGGGTCATGGGCTCTTCCTGGCCGAGTCCCGTTTTCCCGGACGCATGGCTGAAAATAATCTCACCTGTCCGGTCGACGGCTGCATACACAAGCCCTGGAATTTTGGGCGATGGATCACAGGTCAATGTGTCCATCTCCGCTCGAGCAGCCGTGGTGGCGTGCGCTGAAAGGGGCTTGGTCATGGTGGATGGGCTGTATGTGCGGTGCTAGGAAGAGTGTCTTCACAGTACGGGTGTGATAGAAGCGAAGGACCAGGGTGATGTCCAGTTATCAAGATCTAGCTTTGCAGTCAGTGCGGGGCTTAGATTGGCGTGCATTCTCCATGTGGATCTACTACTATGCAAATTCGAGTAGTAACAATTACCTCATTAGGAAGGAGAGCCAAGACGCATGATGCAACCGGCGAGAATTTAGGGCAAGTCTGAATTGCCTCGGTGAGAAGGACAGACTTTGAATAGTCCACCTCAAATGTAAGTTGTGAAGCCCTAAAGACTTATATACGATCTCCAATATATTGCGCCACGCTTCACCGCAGTCAGCCCGATCCTAAGGATACACACTTACAGTCGCACTTTCAATGGCAACAGAAGCCATCCAAGTCCACCCCTCATGGCGGACCAAACATCCCACCCAACCACACTTAACCACGCTCAAGGACTACCACGCCCTTTACCAAGAATCCATCACCTCGCCAGAGACCTTCTGGAGCAAGCAAGCACACGACCTCCTCACCTTCACCCGTGACTTCCACACTACCCACCTGGGCTCCTTCGCGAGCGGCGACAGTGCCTGGTTCCTGGGCGGCCAGCTGAACGCCTCCTTCAACTGTGTAGACCGCCACGCAATCCGCCACCCGGAACGGATAGCCCTGATCTTCGAGCCCGATGACCCAGCAGACGGCAGCGTCGTCATCACCTACAGCGAACTACTGAAGCAAGTCTGCCGCCTGGCATGGTGTCTGCGGGCGCAGGGGGTCCGCAAGGGCGACATCGTAACGATCTACATGCCCATGATCCCCGAGACGGTGTACGCGGTGCTGGCGTGCGCGCGTCTCGGCGCCGTGCACTCCGTCGTGTTCGCGGGTTTCTCGGCGGAGGCCCTGCGGGACCGCGTGCTTGACGCACGGTCCTCGGTGGTTATCACCGTTGACCAAGGCCGCCGCGGGGGCAAGGTAGTTCCCACGAAGCAGGTCGTGGACGACGCGGTGAAGGACTGTCGGACCGTATCCTCCGTGTTGACGTTCCGCCGAACCGGTGCTCAAATCCCATGGACAAAGGGCCGAGACATCTGGTGCGACGATGCGATGAAGAAATTCCCGAGCTACATCCCGCCTGAGCCAATGGACTCGGAGGACTATCTCTTCCTCCTGTACACATCCGGATCGACGGGGAAGCCAAAGGGGGTACTGCATAGTACGGCGGGGTACCTGCTCGGCGCGGCGATCACGGCGAAATATGTCTTCGATCTGCACGAGCACGACCGGTTCTTCTGTGCCGGGGACATCGGGTGGATCACTGGCCACACGTATGTGGTTTATGCGCCGTTGTTGTTGGGCTGCACCACTGTTATCTTCGAGGGCACGCCCGCGTATCCTTCGTATTCGCGGTACTGGGAGATCCTGGCGAAGCATGCTGTCACCCATTTCTATGCTGCTCCAACAGCACTGAGGTTGTTGAAACGAGAGCAGGCGCAGATTGAGGTCGCTGGATTTGATACAAGTCACTTGCGGGTGCTGGGATCTGTTGGTGAGCCCATCGCGCCGGAGATCTGGAAGTGGTATTACGAGGTGATGGGCAAGGGGGAGGCTTGTGTGACAGATGTATGCCTTTCTTATTGCATTCAGCCTCATCTTGTGATCGGACTTAAGCTTCAGATCGCTGACAGAATTGCTCCCTAGACCTACTGGCAAACGGAAACAGGATCGCACATCATCGCCTCTCTCGCTGGGGTGACCCCCATGAAACCGGGCAGCGCCTCCCTGCCCATGTTCGGGATTGACTTTGCCATCATTGATCCTGTATCCGGAGAGGAGCTGACAGGGAACGAGGTGGAGGGGGTCCTGGCAATCAAACAGCCCTGGCCCAGCATGGCCCGCACCATCCGCAACAGCCATGATCGCTTCACGGAGACATACTTCGATGTGTATCGAGGGTACTACGTAAGTCTGTCGTATGCACTTTCTACCGCTTACCCTTAGACTGATCAGTCTCCAATCGATACAGTTCACCGGAGATGGCGCCTTCCGTGACAAGGACGGATACTACTGGATCCGCGGCCGAGTCGACGACGTGGTCAACGTCTCCGGCCACCGGCTCTCCACCTCGGAGATCGAAGCCGCCCTGATTGAACATCGTGAGCCGTGTTCCTCCTTCCCAAGACAAACAGACCCGCTGACCCGGAACAGCCAACGTGGCCGAAGCCGCCATCATCGGAATCCCGGACAATTTGACCGGCCAAGCTATCAATGCCCTCGTCTCCCTCAAAACAACGTCCAAGCCAGATGATATCGAGAAGGAGTTGATGGTCCAGGTACGCAAGTCTATTGGGCCTTTTGCCGCTCCGAAGAGGATTTTTGTCGTGTCGGATTTGCCCAAGACCCGGAGTGGGAAGATTGTTCGACGAATCTTGAGGAAAGCTTTGACGGGTGAGATGGAGTTTGGGGATACATCTACTGTAGGCTTTCATTGAGGCCCAATGATACTTTGGCTTGCTGACACTGAACTGAACTAGTTGGCTGATCCCGGGGTGGTGGACGAGATTATTCGTGTGGTGAATGCGGGCTAGGTTCGCCTGCTGCGTCAGAGGAGAGCATCAATTGTTCACATAGAGATCTGCTTGCATTGAACGTGATGAGTTTCCACGCTCGGGCAAATTAGCCATGACAGATACGATTTTTAAACTATTGCTACGCGACAAACACCATCATCAAGACATCACCCTCTTCCAAACTAGGATAACACAGCATAGCCAGCCAAGTATCTTGTTGCACATGGCAAATACAACCGTCTAAGACCTGAGTACAAAGCATGCATCCTCACTCCGTAATCTCACAACTCTATACCAGAAATTGTCTCAAGCCTCTCCACAAACCCTGGCAACAATAGGCCTAAGAATCAAACAACGCCGCCTCCGCCGCAATCTCCGCCCGCATCCCCGGAACATTGATCTCCTTAACAATCACCGTGCACCACGTCGGCGTGTGGCCCGGAACCCGCTGCTGGAATACCCGGTGCATCTCGGCTTCGTGGTCTGGGGAGGTCAGATAGCTCACCACCCGGTAGGCTTGGTGCAAGCCCCGCGCCACCCCGGCGTGCTTGAGGGCTGCGCCCAGACAGTCAAAGATGGCGTTGAATTCGGCGGTGACAGTAGTGTTTACCAGGCTCCCTGTGGCGAGGTCGAGGCCGATGTGGCCGGTGGTGAAGACGAGGGAGGTGGTGCGGGAGACGGGGACTGTGGCGGTTGTAGAGAGGGAGGTGGGCTTGAGGCAGTCCCCTACGGGGCCGGGGAGGTTCTGGTAGATGATTGATTTGTTGGACATTTCGAGGTCTTTTGGGGGTTGATTGAGATGGTGGGTATGGAGGGGCAGAACGCGGGTTGGATGGCTTATCAGTCTTCTTTCCTCAGGACATAACACGAATTTCCGGATTGAGGAATGGAGCAACGGCAAATAAAGTACTCATACTACTAGCTTGATCGTACCATGTTCTCGGTTGCCTTTTTGAGTCAAATAGATACGGGGTAGTGGGACCTCGGACGCTCCCCGGACTTTCCAGCGGTACCGCCACACGGCCCCCTCCATATACATATGTAACCCTAATCTCCCGCGATGGTTTGACCCACCACAGCTATCCCCGCCCCCCTCAAGGCTTCTGGTTGATCATCCATTGGAGCGTACTACATACATGGTCTTTTAGCCTGCGAGTACAGGATGTCTCCCTCAACCACCCGAACAGCCAGGACTCAAGATGGCTACACCTGGACTCGCGCAACGGGGGTAGTCAAAGGCAACCTCCGTTGCAGAGGGGTCATCGAGCCCTGCGACAACCGCACCGCTCCGGCAGGCCATCTCTACGATGTAATTGTCATTGGAGCGGGCTATGCGGGTCTAATCGCCGCCCGCGATCTGGCAGAGCAGGGTGAGTGCCTCATGACCTCTCAGCGAGCTGTCTGACATCCGAATTCTAGGTCGATCGGTGTTGCTGCTGGAAGCGCGTGATCGTATCGGTGGACGGACCTATACGGTCGAGGAAGATGGTATGACTCTATCAACAACAAAATGAACCGAATACGCGATACAATCACTGACGCAAGGACTAGGCCTCCTCTACGAAATGGGCGGAACATGGGTAACCCACCACATGGCCTACCTCTTCAAGGAGATGATCCGCTACAAGATGGACCGCGACCTCACACTCACCCACAGCCGGGAGTACGAGCACGACTACTACACCATGAACGTCCCCGGCGCCACGCCGCGCAAGCTCACTCACGAAGAAAGCGGCCAGATCGTCGCCAGGGCGTGGGACCTGTTCGTCAACGTCGATGGCCAGAACTGCCGCCGCGTCTGCCCACTCCCGCACGCCCAGCTGGGCAACATCCTCGTGCAGCGCGAGGAGGTGGAGCGGCTGGACCGCGTCTCCTGCCGGGAGCGGTTCGAAGAAATCAAGCACCTGCTGACGGCCGAAGAGGCGGGGATGCTCGTCGCCCTCCTGCTGCACATCTCGGGCGGCAGCCTGGAGAACTCGAGTCTGTGGGATATGATCCGCTCGCATGCACTCATGTCCTACAGCTCGGAGAACTTCACCCCGATCTGGACGACCTTCAAGCTGCGCGAGGGCCAGTCCGAGCTGGCGCGACGGATGTTCGACGATGCAGTGGACCACGGCCTGCAGTACTGCTTCCGTACGGCGGTGCGGGCGATCACTGACCGCGGCAATTCGGTGCAAGTCACTACTACGTCGGGCACGATCCATCAAGCCCGTCGAGTCATCAGTACGATTCCCCTCAATGTCCTCCGACATGTCGAGTTCAGCCCCCCGCTTTCCCCAACCCGCAAGGAAGCAATCAACCTCGGCCATGTCAACTTTATGACCAAGATTCATGCTGAGGTGGCTGGCCCCGGCCTGGCCTCGTGGAATGGCATGCGGTTTCCCAACTTGTTGATGTTTGGGTACGGGGACGGGCTCACGGAGAGAGGGAATGCCCACATCGTGGGGTTCGGGAAGGATGAGCGGGGAGAGTACATCCCCGAGCGCGATCCAGAGAAGACGATTGATGCTTTTCAGAAGTTGCATCCGATGGAGGTGAAGAAGATGGTAAGAGCCTTCTGGCTTTGGTATTTGTGTTGTAGGATTCGTCTGACGACTTTTATGAACTGATAGGTCTTTCACAACTGGTGTACCGATCCGTGGTCGCAGGGCGGCCCCGCCTGGTGGCGTCCGCAGTACATGTCCAAGTATCAGGATGAGCTGCAGTCTCGCCATGGCAACGTGTTCTTCGCTTCAGCGGATTGGGCGCATGGATGGAGAGCGGCGATTGATGGGGCTTTGGAGCAGGGGTCGTTGGCGGCGCAGGAGGCGGGTAAAGAGGTCAAGCAGTTGCTTCCACCGGTGGTCAGAGGGAGGATCTAGTGTTTGATCGGAAAGTTATATAGCCACTTTTTATCGAGCTTTGTTTCGTAAAATTGTTGCGTTGCTGTAGAGAGATTCCCTAGACACAGTAACTACTGTCATCGAGAGAAGTCCGGAGTATAAAGGGTTGATGGGTTGTTAAATTGACTTGATGAGCATGTCAAACACGACCTGTCGAGTTCTATTTCTCAGATGCAGTAGTTATACACAGCAGTCTATACAGAGTTGGATCAAAATATTCTATATCCAATCACTTACCCACCCACCGAAGCCACAGGTGAAGAGTCACTAGCTCAGAGCTCCTCACCACCCCAGTCCAGCCAATTTATCACCCTCCTCCAGCCTCTGCACATTAATTCCGACCATCGCCTCCCCAAGACCCTCACTCACCTCCGCAAGGACCTTCGCATCCTCGTAATGCGTAACAGCCTGCACAATCGCTCGCGCGCGCTTCTTCGCATCCCCAGATTTGAAAATCCCCGAGCCGACAAACACCCCGTCGCAGCCCAACTGCATCATCAGCGCCGCATCCGCCGGCGTCGCCACCCCGCCAGCCGCAAAGTTGACGATCGGTAGACGACCCCGCTCGGCCGTCTCCCGGAGCAGCTCGTAGGGGGCCTCGATCTCCCTCGCCATCGCGCGCAACTTGGGCTGCGGATCCGGCCGCGACTGGAGGATCGCCCGCGCGCGCATGATCTGGGCGTTCAGCGTCCGCATGTGTGTGACTGCCTCCACGACGTCGCCAGTGCCGGCTTCGCCCTTCGTACGGATCATGGCCGCCCCTTCGGCAATGCGACGCAGGGCCTCGCCGAGATTGCGACTGCCGCAGACGAAGGGGACCCTGAAGTTGTGCTTGGTGACGTGGTAGCGATTATCGGCTGGGGTGAGGACTTCGGACTCGTCGATGTAGTCTACGCCGATTGCTTCGAGGATCTGCGACAGATTGTCCGGTTAGACTTTGAGTCTGCGGTGCAAAGTATTGTATCGCTGGTGACATAATATTGAGAGCCGTTGACATACCTGACACTCCACAAAGTGACCGATGCGCGCCTTTGCCATTACCGGAATCGTCACCGCGTCCATGATCTCCTTGATCATCCCTGGGTCGGACATGCGCGCGACACCTCCTTGGGCGCGGATGTCGGCTGGAACTCGCTCAAGGGCCATTACAGCCGCGGCGCCAGCTTCTTCTGCGATGCGGGCCTACATTTAGGTACATCCAATCAGCTATTGGCCTCAGGTGGCGACTCACTCATCGAGCACACTGCCGCCACTTCGGAGGAACGTACCTGCTCGGCATTCACGACGTCCATAATGACCCCGCCTTTGAGCATCTGCGCCAGACCGGCCTTGACCGTGAAATCATTGCCGAGGGTACTCGTCTCTTGCGTCATGGTGCGTGATGTGGTTGGTGTTCGGAGCCAGGAAGTTGGTGCGGAAAGTCAAAGCTGACAATTGTGTCCACGTGCCAGGTTTATACCTCAGTATGAAGTCTGGAAAAAGGGGGCCAAAAGCTGAAAACGGAAGTAATTCCAACAGGGTTCAAATTTGGCCCACCATATACTTAGGATGTGGATGGATGGAGCAGTGGATGCAGCTATAGCGAGCATTGAGCGCATGAGCAACACTGCGGTCACAGCCTGTATCATCTTCCGTACCGTCATTGGTTTACTCTATCTACCCCCTGCAATAGCGGTTCTTGCCAAGCCTTCTAGGAAGTGTAAGGGTCAGATAGTGGGCTTCATTCTTGTGACTTGGCAATGCAGATGTGCTGAATTAGGGTTAATGCGGGGGATGGACCCGCCGCGCGCCTGTTGGGTCTGGAAATGGTTAGTTCGGGATGGACTCGGGAGACAAACTCAGTTGCCTAATCCGATAATCGACGCAGCCTCCCGGCCAAGTAACAGTATTACCTGCAATGGACTGTGAAACTGCGTGCATGTCGTAGATACTTGCAGATTACTGTCTCTGGTACTATCTCGAGCTATGACACATTATCTACAAACCGAATTTCGATCTCAACCCCTCAATCAGAGCCCCGCTTTGTATCTATCACAAACTATAAGTTGACGAGAAAGTTGTACAGAACAATGAGATCAAGTGATAATCCTGCAACCAAGAATAACAACCTCACTTTACTTTCTTCAGTTACGACTCTCTCTCCTCTTCCCACGATCTATACTGCATCATGTCTGATTTCTCGGGTCTCTCGTTGAAGGGCAAGACCGCCATTGTCACGGGTGCTTCGAGGTAAAACTCACCAACTTGAACAGCGGGGTGAAGAACGCATGCTTACACTTCTGCAAAACAGGAGCCTCGGTGCCGGCATCGCCCTCCTCTTGGCCAAGCGCGGGGCCAATGTGGTGGTCAACTACGTCTCCGAAGGCAGCAAGCAGCGCGCCCAGGAAGTCGTGGACAAGATCACCCAGATCGGCACGAAGGCCATCTTGTGTCAGGCCGATGTCAGCAAGCTGGACGAGATTCCCAAGCTCGTCGACGCTGCACTGCAGATCAGTGAGACAGGCAAGATTGAGATTCTCATTCACAAGTAAGCTCCGTTCGTCTACCCGTTCAGCATGAAACACAATCTAATATTTCTGTAGTGCTGCGCAAGGTCTCGAGGCCAACCTGGTAGACACCACACCCGAGTTCTACACCACGCACTTCGACTGCAATGTTCGTGGCCCGATCTTCCTCACTCAGGCTGTTGTCCCCCATCTGCCCCGCGGAGGTCGCATTGTCTTCATCTCCTCGGCTGGTGCTCGCCTCGGTGTCGCGGGTCAGACGGTCTATGCTGCTACGAAGGCGGCGGACGAGGCGCTGGTGCGGGTGTGGGCGAAGGAGCTGGGCCACTCGCACGGCATCACAGTCAACTGCGTCAACCCCGGACCGATTGCAACTGGTAAGTGTCTCTGCGCGCATATGGCTGAAGAGCGTTTCCTAACCCTGCTTCCCACGTAGATCAATGGTTCCAGAGCGACGAGCAGTTCCTGAAGGATATGGAGCCGCTCATTGAGTCGACCCCTGCGGCTCCCAGAGTGGGCGAGGTCGATGATATCGCCCCCTTGGTCGCCTTCCTCTGCAGTGATGATGCCAGATGGACTACTGGTGCTTGTTTGTCGGCCAATGGTGGGCTTTACAACTAGGCGGGGTCGCATGTATATAGCATTAAGCAAGTTTGTAAGACGATCTTTCATCCCTAAGCAGACAGTATAGATAGAGATAGTCCTCCAGTCATACTGCATTGAGTAAGAACGGGCACCATGTGTCCTTCTCACGGTGGCTCAATTGCCTTTGGTCAGTCTTCTCTAGTTGCGAGGACTAAGATGTCAATCAAAGAGATTAGCTCATGATTCTTGTCCGCACACCGAAAGCAGTATATATTCTGTGTCCCCCCTTCGCCTTTTGGAACTGATTTCTGTCTTTTCTTTCCCTCACAACAACAGCTCAACAAGCTTTCCTCGTGAGCCCGCTCGCCTCCCATCAACCAAGATGGCTCCAAGTCCGTTCTTCGATCTGATGAATGCCCTGACAGCGCTCGATGTCGATAAATTCAAGTCATTTAATACCATCACCACGCCATACAAAAAACTAAATGGAACCAATCAGTCAATCTCCACCGATATCTTTATTCCCAGGTCTATACTGCAGCAGCAACAACCCAGACAATGCCCCATTATCGTGCGGATCCACGGTGGATTCCTGGTAAGTAATCTCTAGTATCCCATGCAAGTCCTTCTCATCATTCGAATCACTCATTCAAACTGCCCAGATCACTGGTTCTAGCCAATACGCACCTTGGTTCTCGAGCTGGACTTTCGAGTACGCTCTTGCAAGCCAGTCAATCATTGTCTCGCCAAACTACCGCCTTCTACCCGAAGCATCAGGGCAAGATATTATAGACGATATGGAGGACTTCTGGCGATGGCTGCACAGCGAGCAGTTCATGCAGTCTGTCGCCAAGGCTGCAGGCCAGTCGTACCTTGTACCGGATCGTGACCGGGTGCTTGTTTTGGGTGAAAGTGCAGGTCCGACTCCCTATCTGAGCATTCCAGCCTTCCTTCTCCAAGGTCGTACTGACAGTATGTGAATCAAAGGAGGCTACCTAGCAATCCAGCTCGCCATCAGCCACCCGTCCGAGATCCGCGCCGTCATCGGCGCCTACCCCATGCTCGACTTCAAGGTCCCCTTCTACACGGACAACTACCCCAAACCTATCGTCGGGGTGCCCAACGTGCCAAACCGGGTTGTTGACGACCACCTTCTCAGTACCCGTGAAACCCCTGCGGTAATCACCGCGGCCGACCCGCCCGATAGACTACGGCTTGCGTTCGCGATCGTTCAGAATGGGCGGTTTCTGGAATTCTTCGGCTCGCCTGACGATTATGGTCTCTTTCCAATGGAGAGGATTGAGCGTCTTGCCGCCGCGGGGAGACTGGAACTCCCACCTCTGTTTGTATTCCACGGGGAGCAGGATTCGGCTGTCCCCGTTGACGGTACCCGGCGTTTTGTTGCCTTACTGCGCCAACTCTCGCCTACGGCGCAGGTGGATTCTATACCCAGGATGGAGACCATGGGTTTGATGTGGAGGCTACGCTGGAGACTCCTTGGCTTAGGGACGGGCTGCGGAGCATCTCCAAAGCGTGGTTGGACCGTGGTAATGTCCGGGGTGAACGTTTGTGATTCTAGGTATAGCTGCACTTATCTGTGAGGCGGAAATGTCTTAGAAATCGGAGGTTAGATGTGGGCAATATGGAACGATTTGATGGATTATTGGGGGTTGGAACAACTTGCGTCCTCTGCGCGTGAGCTCGCTGGATGAATCGCGTTGGCGGGAATACCAGCTTCGCCGACAGTATCCGAATTCGAGGAAGGGCGATATCGGGGTCGACATACGCCATGTGAATTCACTGTTTTTCTCTTCCTATAATAAGAATGCGAATTGATTGGTTATATGGTAGTTCGTGCGAGAAATACATCTAAAGGTGCTCTGATGGCTGTGATTCTTGTCGTACGGGATAGATATACTCCCGAGATATATCTGCAAACTTCCGGGAGGCAAGCGGGAGAGATCAGTAAGACATAAGTCGAGCTAGGTATTTTCGGTATTACCCAAGGCAACTCATCTTGAATTTTCTAGTCCAGCTGATGGCTTCTGCTCACCCAAGACACCCGAGCGCGCCTTGAGCGCGGAGATATCGAAGCAGCAAGGACGTCATTTGTCATTGGAATTTGTGACGGAAAATCCGTCGCAGGAACGGAATACCCGCATTTTAGTCATTCCGCTCAAGCATTCCGCAGGGAGGAGGCGGAGGGTGTCAGACCCGTGTTCAGAAATACCATTTTATCTGCTTATGACCATTGAGATAATCTGTCAAAAAGATAGAATGTCCACTTTTCTCAAATAGACCAAAGATTGCCCAATGTAATCGGAAGGATTTTCCAGTGCAGAATCCAAATACCAGAAGCTTTGGGCTCTCATACCCCTGGGAACTCTGATGTGAAAAAGGGCCTCAAAATGCCACTCCAAGGAGTCAGGGAGTCCTGTAAGGTAATTGACCTGTAAAGCTGGAATCCTGAGGCGGAGGCAACGAGGTATAAGATTTACCCCGCATACCTACCGTTAGGTAACTTTCGCTGACTCAGGTTCTCCGAGTGCCCACCACTTCGGACATGATCCGTGTTATGTCGGCTGGTCCGTCTTTCTTTCTCCTCCTAGACTAAACAGCCACGATGAAGACGTCGGACAAGGACATGGAAAATAGGCCCGCACCCTCAGCCGCACAGCAAGGTCAGAGACCACGAAAGATTCGGACGCGAATAAGCACCGCGTGCACACGGTGTCAGAAACGGAAAATCCGAGTAGGCTTTCCCCCGCCAGCTCCTCTCCAAGTGCCTGTCTGGCAGAGGCAAATGGAAATGGAACCCTTCGGTGAGTGCATGCTGACAATCCCATAGTGTGATGCTTTGTCACCAGCTTGCAGTGCCTGTAAGCGAGCAGGCGTGCCATGCATCGGCGGAGGAGCGTCACGTGAGTTTCCTCAGAGGTACGGCATGATTGCATCTGCATCTCTAAGAACAGCAACTGATCATGTCCTGAAGCTACGTTGCCAACCTACAGGCTCGAATCAAATGGCTCGAATCTATCATCCGAGACCACGTACCTAGCATCGACCTGACTGCCGGACCAGGCCAATCGTCTAGCATTGAGGGAGGTATTCCACATGGAGACTGGAACTCACCGCAGCAAAGCCGCGAAAACAGAGATTTTGAGTCTCCCACCGAGATAACTGATCAGATTGGACTTATCTCCATCACTAACGGGACCGATCTGCGCTATCTGGGCCCGTCTAGTGGACTATTTTTCACCAAGTTCGTCTTGGCTGGGCTTGGAAAGCGACTTCACGCCAATAAAAACACCACCCCGGATGCGAAAGCCGACAGTCTGGCCGTCCCATCGGATCTTCTGGTTCCTCAACCGAAAGAGCTGCCTCCCGATTCCAGGCATACGCGATGGCTTTCCCAGGCCTACTTCGACATTGTTCACCTTCAATTTCCCATTTTACACGAACCTTCGCATTGGGAAACCATCGAAAGGATCTACGCCGACGCCGAGGTTACCGCAGTGCACGAGTTCCAGGCTTTAATGGTCATTGCAATAGGTGCATCCATACTCTCGCGCCGGACAAGGGTCGTGCTATCAGCTGAAGGCTACTTCGCTTCTGCCATGAAGCTCGTGGATGACGTCATAAAGACTTCCTCAGTTGGTGCCACGCAATGTATCTTACTGCTTCAGATGTATGCGCTCAACAACCCAACATCAGGGCTAAGCCTATGGACCCTCCATCACCATGGACTGGCGTTGGCAATAGAGCTAGGGCTGCACCGAAATGTGCCGGCGAGCTATTTACGCCCGTCGAAAGGGAGATCCGCCGCCGCATTTTTTGGTGCACGTATACCATCGATCGGCTTCTGAGCACTCTGATGGGACGACCAATGGGTGTGGTGGATGAGCAGTGCGATCTTGATGTAATGTACTGCTAGTCCCTCCGATCTGAACCTCAAGCTGACTTGCTTAGTACCCGTTGGACGTCGAGGATGATCAGCTCAAGACGGAGCATCCGAGACCTCGACAAAGCAACGAGCCACTAACCAATATGACCAGCGCCGTTCATCTCTTCAAACTTGCCCGGTTCAACAGCGAGATTAAGTGTGTTCTGTACTGCGTCGATCGACAATATCCCCCATACACACAGCCGGCTGTCACCGACGCAGAGACCTGGAGAGTCGATATTCTGGCCCGCTTGCGACAGTGGAGGGAGGATATTCCGAGACATTCGGAAGGAAGTACACGGCATCACGTCAATCTGCTGACTGAAATTAAGTACCATGAATTGGTCATGCTGGTGCTCCGACCAAACCCTAGGATCCAGAACCCGGACAAGGCGTCTCTTCGAGAGTGCTTTTCCAGCGCCATTACCTGCAGCGCTCTGTACCACCAGCTATACGTTGCCAATTCGCTTCACTATGGCTGGATTAGTGTCCATTCCATTTTCTTGTGCGTGATGGTCATGTTCTACTGTGTTTGGAGCCCCCAGGACATTGCCGAGGACGCCGATCTTGACTCTTTGATGCGGGCATTGAAGGCTTCATCGGACGTCCTCAGCGCGATGGGCGAGTATTGGCCAGAGGCAAGAAGGAGTCGCGATGTTCTCGACCGTGTTTCAATAGCAACAATACGACGATTCACTCACCACGCGAACATCGTAAAAAGCAGCCCTGTATCCTCAGGCTCACAGGGCTCCACGACTGTTTCATCGTTTCTCCCCTCTGATCGCACCACCGATGGCAGCTACGTAGACCTGCCTTCAGACAGTGCCCCGCCACTTCAGCATGAGAATGCGGGCGTGGGTGATGATCTTTTTGGGTTCAACTACGGAGGCCCCGAGACTTCCTTCATGTCTGCAGATGTACTCTCCCAGTTCTTGGGCTCTGGTACAGATGTTATAATGGGCGACTCTTACGACTTCGATCAAATCGGGGATAGAGAGACTCTGGGGTGGCTCGGCGGAAATCTGCTTGATTTTGGGGGTTCACAATAGTTTCAGACCATGGATTAGAGGCCGTTCAAGTCACTCAATTGAACATCATAACATGGACCGGTCACAAAACTCTCATCTACCAATATGCTTGCCTCGAACAACGGAAGCACTCATGTCAGCGTCAAGCCCAACTTCGCATGCAAAGAGGATCTACACTGATCGGTTGTTGCCGCCTCTATCTTGCTATTCCTTCTTTTTCCTCTTGTTGTTCTCCTCTGAGGTATTCTTCAATCTCTCATCGAGAGATGAAGGTAGTCATCCAGTATTAACTTTTCCAATCAAAGTTGATAGCTAAATTAACCTTTTCATGCAAAAAAAAAAAACCCTTAGATAGGACGATACCATCGAGGCACTATCATACATGCATCGACGACTTTTCCTGGTCAGGTTTAGCCGACCACTGATTGTACCCCTGTGATATGCAGAGCGCAATTCTGATATCTTGGCAGGAATATTGCGGATGCTGCTGATATGCTTGAAGAACGAAACTTCTTTCCTTAGAACTTGGTCGATACCGCAGTCGCTCTCCACAGAACTCTGCAAGACGGGATATCCGATGGGCTGCCTACGTCCAAGGGTGTGGCCTGAAGTGAGTCTTATTTTCTCTACTTTCTTCTCTACTTTCCTCTCGTTGAATCCCTTTTTGCTTGGGCACTGCATCTGTTGCGCCATACAGTATGTCTAGCTCCCTACGTAACTCTTGTGCTACCGTCTCAAGCAGTATGAAAGAGAATATCTAGCTTATTTCAATTGAGCCACCGAGACACTAACAAAGACTCCCACCATTGTATAGATTCGACGTCCTCCTGTTCGACTGTGTTGGGTAGAGCTGCCCTCGTCAACTTGACACTCTTGAGACGCTCCGGTGTGCAGGGTCACACTCGGCTGTACTATAGGCCTATACCTATTGAGTCAGTATGCATGCAGCGAAAATCAGAGGTCGTACTAACCGACGGCGGTGGCCAACGCAGCGCCGACACCCTGAGCAGATGCGGGGTTCTGGCCAGTGATAATCTGCCCATCCACAACCACCATCTCCTTCCAGAGCGCCTCGGCCTTGACATAATCACCACCGACTCGCTTGACTTCGTCCTCGAGCAGAACAGGCATAGCCCCAGTTAGACCAACAGCTTCTTCCTCTGCGTTACTGAATCCGGCTGCCCTCCGGCCCTCGAGAAGTGGCTTGCCGTCCACAGTGGCATTGACGAAAACGATAGGGCCGTGACAGACAGCTGCAACAGTCTTGCCGGCCTTGTAAAACTCCTCAATCAACTTGAGAGAGTCCTCGTCCTTGACGAGGTCAAACATGGGCCCGTGGCCGCCAGGATAAAAGATGGCGTCGAACTCGGATGCCTTCCCAAGGAAGTCCTCCAGGGGCTTCGTGTTCTCCCAAAGCGCCTTCTTGGAATCGAAGAACTTGACCGAGATTGGATCGTTCGAGAAGTTCCTGACGGAACCTTGATCAATGGGCGCCACACCCCCAGCAGGAGAGGCCACGACGATTTCAGCCTTCGGATTGGCCTCATCATCCCCTATGAGGCGGTAGTAGGGTCGAGCGAACTCGGGCTAATGGATTCGGTCAGTGATCCTGTTTCCTGCGCACGTGAAAGAATGGAGAAGCTAACCAAATACCAACCAGTGGGTTTACCATTGTTCATCTCACCACAGCTGGTCAGGACAAACAGAATCTTGGGAGCCATGATTTATGGATGCTGAGTAGAATGACGGTTGAGCAATCTGGTAAGGGAGTAGATAAATTTGGGTGCAAGAAGTTCGATTCCCTGGCCAGCGTGAAGTCTTTATAGTGAACAAATTGCAACAGAACAATAGTATTGAAATTTGTCAGGCCGTAATCCATGCTGCTGCTCGGCAAGGAGCCTCCTCCGTTGGCGTCTTGAACAGAAGATTCCATGAGACGGTCGATGACAAATGTGATGTCTGATGAAGACCGTGTTCTTTTGGGATCTTGTCAAGAGTCGAGCGGGATATCCGCGTTCTCCACGCTGCGACGACGGAACCTCCCGTTCCATCACGTGATAAATCGCAATATAACACCCAGCAAAGAATTAGGTTCTGACAAGCGGACCATCGGCTGGATTATCGTCATAGTGATTCGGTGGGTCGAGCGATGAGATGGTCTGACAAATTTACAAGCCCGAAGGCCGAACGCGCACAATCGAGCGTCAGCCTCCAGCTCTATGGTGATTACCAATCGTTAGAGCAATTTCCTCGACCGCAGGTGGTGGGGCGGCCGCAGCGATGAGTACCGTGCTTGTAGTCTGGAGGTTCTCTGGAAGATCCACTACTTCACCTGGCTTGGCATGGAATATTATAGCAAAGTTTGTGATGGTTCGTCATCCAGCAGGTCGTGGACGACAGGAGAGGAATGGCTACGTAGGAACCACGCTGTAGAAATGGTGAGATCTACAAGAGCAAGCACAGTCATCGCAACTCCTCGGCTACCTGATCAGTTCATCATTCCGAAAGCCTACCTCCTTAGCATTTTACAACTATAATTCCACAATGTCTACTCAGGAGACTGCAAAGACGATGCCCTTGTCACCAATGGCGATAATGACCTAATCGTCCCTACCAAGAACTCGTATATTCTTGCCAGGCAATTGCCCCGAGCAGACTTTGCCATATTCCCCAGCAGCCACCACGGTCACCTATTCCAGTATGCTGCATACTATGCCAAGCTTGTCGGCGAATTTCCGGATGGAAAGCTGCCTACCGCACCATTTTCCGCCGCCAGCGCTCCCGCATTCGGAACCTACGGCCGATATAACCAGTAGCGCGAAAGCTGCATTGGACTGGATTACTTCTCTTCACTACTGCCCCAGGTATCTTCCTCCTACTGCTGGAGTTTCTCGCCTCCTCTGGTAGGTGGGCAGCTCACCGCCCCAGTCTCGCGTAGATACTACCTAGATAGCTGTCGGAGTCACCTACGCAGTACTTACTGAATACATATTTCACTGCAGGAATTTCTGGCAAGAAAGTGTGCTGGAATGATAGCTTATTTGAGTCTGTGTAGGAAGAGCGAGATCATATACTCCTTCTTAATTGAATACCAAAACACTGCGGAATCGAACAGAGCCTGATGTCATGCAGTCCACGGCCTTCGGAGCATCCCTAAATGCGAACCGCTCGATCATGCACCTGATGTCAAAAGTCTTGGCAAAGTCGATGCTATCCTCAGCGTCCAAGGCGTTACCCGTGAGCCACCCTTGAATCGCGGAAGTCCCCATGATGAGATCGTTGGTATTGAACTCCATGGTACCGGATGGGGATAGGAGGAGCATCTTCCCGGATGGTTGCAGTGCTGCTGTCAGAGACGTAACCGCCTTGCCATGGGAAGTAGTGGCGAGAATGAGCGCTGCACCGCCCAGCGCTTGGAGCTTCTTGACCGGATCCTCCGACCCGGTGTCAATGTACTCGTGGCCGCCGAGCTCCAGCGCCAGCTCCTTCTTTGCAGCGTTGGAGCTGAGAACGGCAACCTTGTAGCCCATCTTCCGAGCGTACTGAATAGCCATATGACCCAGACCACCAATACCCTGAATCGCTACTAGGTTCCCTTGCTCGATGTGCATCTTCCGGATCGCATTGAAGACGGTCAGCCCCGCGCAAAGCAGTGGGGCGGCCTCGGCAGGGTCCATGTCTTTGGGGACAGGGACCGCCGCTTCTGAGCGAAGCAAGACGTACTCCGCGTAGCCACCGTCGCGGCTGGCTCCGTTGTATACAGCATTGCTGCATGCTTGAAAGAGGCCGCGGCGGCATGACCGACAGACGTTATCGTGACCTACCCTATGTCTTTAGCATTGTGATAATACCCTGATACAGGTAGAATTGTCAGTGAAGAGGGTGGACCTATGCTCACCTCCAAGCCATGCCCCACCAACTCGTTGGTCGAGAGAGAACCCTTGGACTCCCTCGCCAATGGCAACAATGTCGCCAACGATCTCATGACCAGGAACGCGGGGGAAGAGGTTGTCGCCAAGTTCACCCTTCTGGACCGCAACGTCCGTGAAACAAACACCACATGCGCGAACCCGGACAAGTATTTCTCCCGCTGTGGGTAGCTTCAGCTCAACGTCGCGGAGCTCAAGTGGTGCGCCGACCGACGCGATCACCCAAGCTTTGTATGTTTTTGGCAGAGTCGGCATTGTGGAACAATTGATGATTCTGTGTTTTCTGTATGTGATAAGAACACCACCCTCACGAAGACCTGAGGCACTCCCAACTTAATATATGGCACTGAATCCGAGTGTCCGCAAGCATATCGTTTCCACCGCCGCAAGCACTTTGTTCGGACATTCCGCTCCGCCTCAGGACTCTCGCCGACAACCCCGTCGGTCTTTGCCCCCGGTCTTTTTCTTACAAAGCACCGCTGAATTACTATCGAAAATGATGTAGTGCTGTTCGCTTCGACTGCTTAAAAACCACCATTCTAGACATCATGGCTAAAGGCTGCTATGTGTTCGGTCCGGAGTTCCCGTGAGGTACCAGCATCCGACACGGAACACCCGTTAAAACAGCGACGGCCCGCTCGGTGCGCAAAACATCGCCTCGTCATCCCTCGAATTGTTTGGGAATTGAAACAGCAAAGGTTGTCAGCCCTTTCCCTTGCAGTCTATTCCTTTCGATGCGTGTAGTTTCCTCTAAAGCAATATCTTCTGAAGGGTAATTGATTGCTTTTGCACACGCAGCGCCCTGACTTGCTGGAGGAGCTGATGACAGAATGTGTGAGAGTCCCAGTCGTCCAGAATTCTCCAGGGCCTTCCTCGATGGAGCTTAATATGCTGCCCATAAAGAATTGAACAAACAAGCGACCAACTCCGGCGATGTCGACTTTCCCCGGGCGGACATTAATCTATACTTGCCTGGCTCATGATCTCATCATAGCTTAACTCCGATGCCTGATCGTCGTGCCGATATGCAAAGTATATACAAAAGTACAAGTATAGAAAGTATTATTGCAGGAAGAGGTTAGTGTACAAAAAACAAATGTTCTTTTGAGACTCGTTATCTCAGAGAAAACTTATTTATATTATTCGTAGGCGGTTTTCAATACTACTATTAGCCCGTTACTATGAGGGATTCTACTTTTACACAGTGGCAGCTACATATATCCTTCTATACATCAGCGCCTCTAAGGCCTCAGAAGCCAGGCTGCTCACCGCTTGCATGGTGAAACAAGCCCGACTCAGACTAGAGGTTCTATTCACCTCGCGCCCTGGTGGAGCCCAGCCCGGAGTCCTATCTCACTTTCCTGATGAGGGTAAAGGGGGGTAGCTCCACCTCATCGCGGCAAATCCGTCCGCTTTTGGCCTTAGTGCCTGGCCCCAACCCTACCTAATCTGCTTTGCTTCTCTCCTTGCTTCCACCATACCTATTCACCTCACACGGTTTGTTCGCAATAGTGCGGCGTCATACTTATCTCTACAGAGCTTACCTGGAAGGACTCGGCTATCTATTTCGCCCGCCTATCGACTTCTTCCCCAATGTTTTGCCACCGCAGTGGCGGGCCGACGTCGGAGAAACGAACCCCGCAGCAAACTCCCAGAATGTCTTATCTGCATATCGTACAGTGCAGTACGTACGTAGCCGTCCGTAGCTTTGGCGCCTTTGACGGCAATCATCAGCCACTCTTAACTAGATCAGCGTCTGACTACCGACATCTTTCGCCTCCTCAATCTCGTATTCCCCACAAGCGTCTCCTTCCCCGCTCATTTTTGGGGTGGCGGGGAAGGGCATTTCTACCAACTGAACACTCAATACAGAAAGAGAATCTGCTCCCACGCACTGGTTACCATGTTGAGTAGTCGGCTCTCCCCTCCAGCCTGAACCCACAATGAGCACAGCGAACCCAGACAGCACGACCACTACCAAAGGCAAGCGGACGAACTCCTTAGCCTTCGCGCAGACTGACTGCCACACGTGCGCCTCGTCCGGCGAACACTGTGACCGTCGTCGCCCGAAGTGCTCGACGTGCCTTCGCCAGGGACGGCGGTGCGATGGCTTTGTGACACCGCTGTCCTGGGATCCGCGGAGGATGAAGACGGACGACAGTGCTGTCCACCCTCTCCCCGCAGACCCGTCCATCATGAGCAACAGTACCCCACCCCAGCGCTTCCAGTTCGTGACTGGGGCGCGGGTGCGGAAGCGTCGCCGGACAGGGCCCGCTACGGCGAGAGCACGGCCAGCCAGACGGAGTGCAACGCCTGAGGCTTTGCCGAGAGAGGCAGGCGAGCAGACCGCCGGCGGGCTCTCGTTACAGCCCGATCTAATGGGAACTACTTTGATCGACCCTGGTACGCATTGTCAACGACGAGTTGCCCTTTTTGTATCCTTGGAAGAAGATACTGATCGTAGCAGATCTTACACTGTCCGGCTTTGGGACCCTCGGCGAACTATGTCTGGACGATTTCAGCATCTTCGAATCCTTGATGCCGGATATCTTCGGGTCGACCCCACCACTCCATGCCCCGACTGATAGCATTGGCGTCGAGGACCCATTCATGACAGAGGCATCAGACACGACAGCCTCCGCGGTACTGCCCCGCACACCTCCGGCCCTCCTCACTGGAGACGACTCCGTCCACCCCGTTGATCCCCTCCCGCAAGACGAGGCACACAATGACGCCCTGATGTCATCTGCGGAGGCATTCCCACCGGGTCCGGTGGATCAGAGCTGTCAGCTCGCGGGCCAAAACACGGCCATCCACATCCTCTCACCCCGGATTGCGGCCCCGCGCCCCGCGACTCTAGATACGAGCATCCCCAACCAGCACGAGTGGCTCCTTGAACTGTGTACGCATGTTCCCTATCTGTAGACCCGGCTCTCCATGACCGAAGAAAGATTGGAAGCATACTAAGAAATTCCATCCCAGATGACTCGAAATTCTGCATTCTGCCACTGACAGGAGATACCACCCTGAACCCCTTCCGGTGCAAGCGCCAAACCTCGCAGGGCTCGCGTCTGCTCTTCCATTCGATCCTGGCACTATGCTGCCAGCACCTGAAGCGGTTGACGGGCAGCAGCTGGTCGAGCGAAGCGGCCGAACATCGCCGGAAGGCCGCCCAGTTGCTCGATGCGGCGTTGCAGCAGGGACGCCAGCACGCAGGAGGCGTCAGTAATCTACATCTGCTGGAGCCGATTCTGATTCTGTTTACCTTGGATGTATGTACCCTTTCTCGTTACCCTTTCTCGTTACCCTTTCTCGTTACCCGTCTCCCTAACCCCCCCGGTTAAAGAAAAGCAGCTAACAGAATGAGCAGTGCACCCTCTCCGCGTCCGGAACATGGGCCACGCACCTCCATCGCGCCCACTCAATGCTCGAGGCCGCCGGCGGCCCTGGCGCGCTCATCAGCCCGCGGATCCGATCGCAGGTCGGAATGTTGATCTGGTATGCCATCCCTCATTCCCTTGCATTTCTGACCGGAGTCGATCGCGATCTAACATAGACAAGGTGGGACGTGACCCTCGCCCTAATCTCGCGGCAACGCCCGATCATGCGCCAAGCGTATGTGGACCACCTCATCCGGTGGGAAAAGCAAGACGCGTGGTCGTTCTTCGACCTCACAGGGTGTCCAGGCTACCTGATCGCGCGGCTGTACCACCTGGCCGAGCTGGCGCAGCAGAGCGAGATCGCCGCGTCGATGAAGTGGCTCAGCTTCGATCGGACGCCGGTGCTTGCGATGGAGCGGGAGATACGGGAGTGGACGAACGAGCACGACCCCTCCTCAGGTTCCGCGGACGACGAGGCAAGAAGTCCCGAGGAGGCGGAAAGCCCCGCTGACGATGTCGACGGGGAGCAGGAGTTCAACCGGCGGCAGGATGCCTTCCACTGTGCCGAGGCGTGGCGCTGGACCTTGCTTCTGTACATCGAGTCGGTGTTCCGGCGGGATCGGACGAAGATTACGCAGATGCACAGGCAGCAAGGCCGCGCGGGGCTGCGTCGATTGGTCCGCAAGATCGTCGACCACACGCGGTGTTGTCGAAGGTCGTCACAGACGCAGAAACAGTTGCTGCTTCCGGTGTTTCTGGCCGGGAGTGAGACGTTGGATCCCGATCTGCGGGAGTTCGTGACGGATTATTGTGCATATTGGAGCGAGAAAAGCCAGTATAGCATGTTCGATAGTGTGCCGGTGCTGTTGAAGGAGATCTGGGCGTCTGGGACGTGGTGGGGGGCGGTTGTGGATGGTAAGACGAAAGGTGGGCTGGAGGAGGCGCGACAGGGGCAACCAGGGGTTACGCCTACGCAATTCTTATTTGGGTAGGGTGGATGCAACTTTATGTCAGAACATGAAGCGAGATCTTCCTTGCATCGTAGTTAATATTTTCATTGCATTACCAGTGTGAGGTTTGGAGACATGAATAGCACTATTGTTCGTTTCGACCATCTATCCGCCGCATGAGGTGAGGTCTCAGCCAGAATGATGTCTACATGTCTCTCAAAGTGGGCATCAATTCATTCCCTGCGTTGCATTCAGCGCATCCCAGTTGATATTCGGCCCGGAAAACTTCCCCCGCCGCTCGAACCAGCACAGCATGACGATGCCAAAAATCCCAGTCAGAACCACTGAGTTACTGCATCCAACCCGCCTTAGTACCCATTCAAGTACACTTAAGGAGGACAGGAGCACTCACTAGTTCATGTTCTCCAGCGTCGGCGGATTACTCGTCGGGAAACAGAAGAATATCCCACTGAGAATCACCCAGAGCACAGAAAAGACGTTGACTCCGTACCCCCAGGGGCCAAGATCGTAGTATCGCGCCGGCAGCCTAGTCCGACCGCGAATTGCTAGGATCCCCTGCGGGACCACGTAGGTGATGTTGAGCATCAGGACTGCGGTGTTGATGATCGAGTTGAAGGCTTGCGTGCTGGCGATGTAGAGGAGTCCGTAAATGGCGCAGAAGCCGGCGGAGAGCAGGGTGGTTCGGATGGGGATGCCGAGTTTCTCGTCCACCACCGACCAGTATTTCGAGAAGGGGAGTCCATTCTGAATTAGAGTGTTAGTTGTTGTGAAGTAGAGCTGGGGTGGGTCGTCTCACGTCACGCGAGAATGCCCATGTCATGCGGCTGCTTGTGATCCATTGACTAGGAACGCATGCTGGAGTCGAGTCAGCACTGGTGAAGCTAGCATATCAAAGAAGGAGAGGCGCAGCGTACAGTAATACAGGATCGTCAGGTAGATCTGCAGAAAGGCGGCAGCAGCTTTGCTCCCAGTCGCTTGATAGAATAATTCCAGACTCGGGAGGGAGGAATTCTGGACCGCGTCCATATCCTGGATGACACAAGTCATTGCGATGATCCAGGGCACAAGTGTCAATAGACCGATGAGGATGGTGAGATTGCTGGGGTTGAGTCAGTCACGCCAGGTTCTGCATACGGCGAAGAGGGAATTAGACCAACATCACCAGCGGAATCTTCCTGTTTGGTTGCGCGATCTCCTCTGCAATATGCACGCAGGCCCCGGCAGCTGCAAAGGCATATTCACCATTGCCTATCCCGAGCAGCCACCCGGGTCCGGCCCCCCAGCCGCTGGTAGACCGGTACTCATTGAGCCTTTCGGGGTGGTATGACCCTCTTCCCATGACGAGACAGACGATGACCACCATCAAGAACCCAGCTAAGGAAAGGAACATGGAAGATTCGGTCAAGCGGTCGATCTGGCGTTGAGGCACCAGGAATACCGGGAGCACTATATTTATTCAGATAAGCCGGTTCGTCCTTATCCAGCTGAAGAATCCACGCCGACTTACATGTCAGTAATATCACCAACAGGTAGCAGAGATAGACCTGCCACTGCGTTCCCGAGAATTCTGGCACCAAAAAGGTACAAACCCCAAAGGCAGATATGGCTGTATAGATCGCGCCCGATGCCGTGTTCACCCACCAGGCTACAACATTGATCATCCCGACAGTGTATGCGACGAAGTTGCGGCAGGACTCCGGGGCAATAATGTAGGTGAAATGATATTGGCCCTGCAGTGAAAAGGTAATTGTCAGGGTACCTCGTATTGCAATTGTAGCAGCTACTTACCCCCGAGGATGGGAAAGCTGAGGCCAACTCCGAGACCCCAGTAAGGACAATCCACTGTACAACACCCGACAATAACGGACTGAACACAGCGACAGAGCCTCCGCCATATGTAAACGCCACTCCAAAGCAGGCGGCGTAGGTCAACCAGGAATTCACAATACTATCAACCGAATTAAGAGCGGCTCAAGATGGAGGAGGGAGAAAGGACTATACCTGAAAGCGAGACCCAGAGCACCAACCCAGGAGAACGAACGCTGGAGTTCGGATGTGCAGCCTTGAGCACGAAGAATGGCATCATCAATATCAATGACCTCGCCTAAATCCTTCGCATCAACCCCTTGCGGTGGCCTGGATGTGTTTTTAATAGTCTCTTCCATGATGTCGATGAGGGCACACAGCGACAGATGGGTAGATGGAAAGACGATGGAAAGGTCCAAGACAGCGAGTCAATTTAACCTCACGCCGGCGTGCGAGGAGAATGGCGGGGGTTGCTTGCAATAGCCGATCCCTACGTAGTCTTCACCCCCATGCGTCCATCTAGCCCCAATTCTATCCTCCCTTCCCCCGCCTTGCGGCAAGCCAGTCAGGACGCCTGAAAGATAGCGTTCCACTCCTGTATGGAGCTAAAAGTCTTGAAGATACCATTGATACCCGGAGATAAGGGGCTTTGATTGGGGTCCGGCCTCTCCCGGACATGATGGCTCCGGTGGCGGCGTATCAAACCGCTCAGCACAGAACGTAATAGGGTCGAATTACCCCGGAATGCGGAGAGATAGGCAGCAAGCCTCCCCCTCCCCTACCTTGGGGCTTGACTTTGGCACTTTTCCCTCGGATTTGCTTCCCATCTTCGCAGTGGTGGGCTAGTCTGGATTGCTGATTGCTCATATCAGGCCTCGGATGTGCATCCACCTGCCTAACTAGGAAGCTCGATGTCAACGATCGATGCAGATAATCCGTGCTCAGTAGATTTCTGATGTTAGAAGACAATCTTTCCCCATGCCTGGGTCTGAAGACGTCTTTTTGTGCAGCAATCCCATGAAGACGGCATAAATATATTCACATATGGCCCCTGTCAGGAGTGGTTATTGCCTCATGAAACTGTGCCCCAAGGCCGTCAGCTCTATTCTCTGATTAATATGGAGGCCTCTGTGGATACTTGTCTTCTCTGGCTTAGCCAAGACTTTCTGCTTGTTTTCAAGTAAGACAACTGCCAGTTTCTCTGTGATACTCGTTAGAGAGCTCGGTGCACTTTCTAAAGAATAGCCCGGATCAGTTTGCAGGTACGTCGGCTTGGGTCTGCATGCAGAATATAAGTAACCTTAATACTACACTCAAATCTATCTCAGCTATAGTCTCGCACGCACATCACGGCACGCCTCCTCAATCAGATCCACCGTAGCCTGTGCGCAACCATAGGAGCACTGATATCCAGCCCCTCCAGCACCATAGTTGTGGACGACCCAAATGCCCTCGATTCGCTCCTTCGCAATTCGCACTCCACCCTCACGCACAGGTCTCAGTCCCACTCCATATCTAATAATATCGAGATGCTCGATTCCCTTCCCGTTTGTCAGCGCTGGCACCATCTTAACGGCTCGCTTCATAATCCGGACAGCCAGGTTAGGGTCGGGCTGTGATTCCCAGCTCCCCAGCTGGTAGCAACCCCCAAGAATAGTGCCTCCCCCCGCGGCTCTCGTCATAATATAGCACGCTTCTCCGTCTCCGTCGTCCGTGCCTGACACGTCGAGCATTTTTCCTGCGTCGTTCCGCACAATCACAATCTGCCCGCGCGCGGGTACGACAGTCTTGTCCTCGACGCCGCCCAGCTTCGACGCCATTAACCCTGTGCAATTGACCACCACGTCAACTTTCCCGTCGGGATGGACCCCAGACGCAGCAGCGTCCGAGACGTGGGGAAAGACAGCTCGCTTAAAGGTCACTCCGTTCTTGAGGCACTGAGACACGAGCCAGGGAAGGTAAATGGCGGTGTTGATGCAGACCGAGGTGAAAGCCGTGGCAGAGTCGATTCCGGGTCCTAGCGATTCTTTGGGCAGTGTTCGAAACTTTGCATCCCCGGTTGTCAGAATTGAGACTTATAAGCCAGGGGAGGCAGGATTGCGATATACAGGACTTACATTCGGAACAATCTTTGCAAACCATGGGCTAGGCGACAGCAGCTCCGCGAACCAGTTGGCCGTCGCGGTGCCTACGTCTTTTGCGCGGCTGTGAATCTCGCAGTCTGCGTTGGTATCAATATACTTTGAACGCAAGACCAAGGTTGTTCGCAATATGTATTACCTTGAAAGTGCACACCGGCTTCGGGGTGGTTTTGGGCCAGATCCTCCAGTGGTCCCCAGGTGTTTTTGTCCCATTCGGCGGCTTCTGTATTGCGGATCGAAACACTAACAACTTCAGTTACTCTGAAAGAACGGGACGAAGGTTGATGCTAGGTCTTACGGCATGTAATTTGCGCCGGCCCAAGGCGATGCGTATTCGATATCATAGTCTCCAGGCATATGTTTGGCGGCGACCACAATCTTGTAACCGGGTTTCTTGGACAGTAGAAGGGCCGTGGTCAGGCCCGCCACGCCAGCCCTAAGTCAAGTTAAGTTTCTTTCCAACAATGGAGAGGATAGACAACCGATGATGTGAGAACAAAAGAACGTACCCAATGACTACCACATTCTTCTCGGACATTGAACACAGGAGATGCCTTCACGGGCTAATGGAAAAGCTCAGATTCGTACTATAGTGGGTCGGTTATTCACCGTTGGTAAGAAGCTCTGCTTGGTGAGAACTCAAGTCTAAATTACATTCAAAGTGTTGGGGGAAATGCATCGGCTGTGACACAATATTTCAATGACCCAGAGAGCTCTGGTTGGGATATGGTCTGATGAGATTTTACTTACTCTCATCGCTGACATCCACCCATCAGCTAACCTCCCCAGGTATTACCGGATAAAACTGTGCCTATCTTGGATACACAATCTTCTGGAGGATACGGAGCGCTTTCTGAGCCGAGGCTGCCAGGGGTACTTCCACGGGCCCCATGCTGGTATTACCCAAATAGGCAGGTGAGAAGCACGGCCACCTCACCGATTGCCACACCAAACCCTAACCACCTGCGAAGCGACTTCTGCAATTCCATGATAAAGCTCTATCTCTTGCCTCCAGAGGTATACTTAAAGCCTCTTACAACTCTGTACACTCAAGCATCATTCAGACAAACCACATTCAAAACCCTCATACCCCTCCACCACCATGGCCGCCATGCAAAAAGTCTTCGCCGCCTATGAGGCCCGCCAAGCAGTCCTCGCAGCGAGCACCCACCCCTTCGCCAAGGGCGTCGCCTGGGTCGACGGCGAGCTCACCCCCTTACACGAGGCGCGCATCCCGCTGCTGGACCAGGGCTTCATGCACAGCGACCTGACCTACGACGTGCCCTCCGTCTGGGACGGGCGATTCTTCCGACTCGACGACCACATCACGCGGCTGGAGAGCAGTTGCCAGAAGCTGCGGCTGCAGCTGCCTCTCCCCCGGGAGGAGGTGAAGCGGATCCTCGTCGACATGGTGGCGCAGAGCGGCATCCGCGACGCCTTCGTCGAGATCATCGTGACGCGCGGGCTGAAGGGGGTGCGCGGCACCGACCCCAAGGACATCCACAACCGCATCTACATGTTCATCCAGCCGTACGTCTGGGTCATGGAGCCCGAGGTCCAGCCCGTCGGCGGCAGCGCCATCATCGCCCGCACGGTGCGCCGCGTCCCGCCGGGCTCGATCGATCCCACTGTCAAGAACCTGCAGTGGGGAGATCTGGTCAGAGGACTGCACGAGGCTGCTGATCGCGGCGCGACGTACCCCTTCCTCACGGACGGGGATACCAACCTGACGGAAGGTTCGGGGTTTAATGTTGTGATTGTGAAGGATGGGGTCTTGTTCACGCCGCAGCGCGGGGTGCTGGAGGGCGTGACGCGGAAAAGTGTGATCGACGTCGCCCGCGCCAACAGCCTTGACATCCGCGTCGAGTTGGTGCCTGTCGAGAATGTCTACACGGCCGATGAGATCTTCATGTGCACGACGGCGGGAGGCATCATGCCGATTACCACCCTGGATGGCCAGCCGGTGAAAGATGGCAAGGTCGGACCCATCACGAAGAAGATCTGGGACGGCTACTGGGCCATTCACTACGATCCGGCCTTCAGCTTTGCCATCGCTTACGAAGACGAGAAGAGGAAGTCATCGCTGTGAGCGGTCGACCTTCGCTGCAAACCAAGTTCATGTGTCTATGGCGAATGCTTGACCATTCAATCTTGTGCATTCGTGTTTTTCTTTGCTAGTAATATCATCATCTCCTTCTAGACAAGTGTGAATCCTGTTTGTAGACTGACAAAATGTTCCTTGATCCGATCAGGCACACCTTCTGAATTATATATAACGTATGGCTTGACAATCCAGTGAATTAGATATCTAAAATCCGGTCGCAGAACTTAGGTCTCTATGTAACTATGATATGAGTGTAAGGTCGTGTTTGATCAAGTCTATCTGTTACCGAACGACTCGATTCAACTCAGCTACCCTTACTCAATCGCCCAAAAGAGCAGAAAAAAAAAGAAGAAAAAAAGAATGTTCAATTTAGCATGTCCTGGTTTCGATCCAGGGTCCTCCGGGTTATGAGCCCGGCGCTCTTCCCCTGAGCTAACATGCTGATTTGGTGATTTGTCATTTCGGCTTTGTCTCCATAAAGCACCACTAAAGAAAGGGTAAATAATGCAGGCGACCAGGGATTAGATCCGGTAGAATCAATCTACCGTGGACACCCATCGCGATATCTCAATGAAGACGGCGAAGATTTAATACGGCCGGCCCACCACCCACAATAAATTCACTCGCCCTAATAGAATCCCTCAAAAATAGCGATCGATTAGTACGGAGTTACCTTTGGACTGTCAATATCAGATGATATTCCCTTAGCAGGCAGGAAAGCTTTGGATGGGGTGGGCTAGTAAACCAAAGGTATTCACTTTATACTCAATAAGGAAACCGAGATTAGGGCATCGCCACCCCCCGCATCAGCAATTTATCCAGGCAAAGCGTACAATATCATAAACACACGAGACCCTCACGAAACCACAAGCACCTAAGATCTAATACCTACTCATTCCTCCTTACCAAGCCTCCCCATCTCCCCCTCTCAAACCCCCCAAAGTCCCCCACAATGGCAGCACCATCCAAACGCCCCGAAATCATCGCCCTCTCGCAGGACCTACGAGGCATCCCGCAATGCGAAGAATACGAGCGCATGATCTTCGGCATGATGTACACACCCTCCTCCCCCAGCCCCCTCACATCGACCCAACCATCTCAGCCATAACGAACCCGAACCTAACCCCAAAGCACGGTCCAACCCCAACACCCCCAAGCTCCTGGACGCGCGCCACCGCTGCCGCAGGCTGGCCCGCGCCTACAACGGCTTCGACACGACGACCATCCCATCTTCCCAGATTTTCGAGGCCCGACTCGCGCTCCTCCGCTAGCTGGTCGGGAAAGTCGGCGAGGGCACGTTCATCGAGCCGCCCTTCAAGCCGGGCTATGGATGCAATGTTATCATTGGGAGTCATTGCTTTATTAACTGGGAGTGGGATACCCCCTTTCCTTTCTTTTCTTCCCGCAATAGCGGAAGGTGGGTAGGAAATGCTAGGGGTATGCCGCTGACCGTGTAATGCGAGCCGCAGTGTGACGGTTCTGGACACCAGTCTGGTGGTGATCGGGGACCGGGTGCAGATTGGCACCGGGGTGAGTATTTTCACGGCGGGCCATGACACCAGTGTGCTATCGCGGCAGAAGTTCGTGGAGTTCGGGCACCCGGTCTTCATTGAGGATGATTGCTGGATTGGAGGGAATGTGATCATCCTGCCGGGGGTGCGGATTGGAAAGGGGTCGACTATCGGGGCTGGTTCGATTGTCACCAAGGATATCCCGCCCTTCTCGGTGGCCGTGGGCTCGCCCTGCCGCGTCAGAAAGACGATTCAGTCGCCGGAAGAGGAGGGGCAAGACCCGAACAATCCGTATCGTCGGCTAGTTCGTGAGGATTGGTAGAGGTTACATGGATGCATTTCTCTGAAGAATTCATTATGCATGTCATTCATGACAAGGCTAACACTCAATGCTATCTATGGTTCATCCAAGCGAGTCAAAATATAAACAACCGATATATACAATCCATCATTACCCAACAGCCCATTGCTTCACTCCCCTAGATCGCATTGCTGGCACAGGAGAAGCTCGACTTGGACGAATCGTCGTGGATGGCCTTGCCGGAGACATACAATCCCAGACCGCACTAGCATGGGTTAGTATACAAGATGAATGCGACGAATCGAATCGGAATACTCACAATGATGGCACCAATGCAGAAGATCAGCATGTTGATGATGGTCAACGCAATCTTGCGCGGAGAAGACCACCACTGGCCCCAGTTCATGTGCAACCAGTACACACCCGACAGTCCGTAGGTGAACCAACTGGCAAACAAGGAGCTGATCAAACTGACAATGTTGCTGAAGGAAGGGATACCCTCGGCGATGATCCAGGCGATGACCCAGCAGGTGACGCCAATGCCAATCCAGGAACCAACAGCGACAAAGTCCCGCTTGCCCATGCGGTCGGAGTGACGGAAGATGCGCACGTAGATATATTTCAAGCCAACGTGACCGTTCACAACACCAGCTCCGACAATCTAGAGCTTTGGTCAGTACGAGTGATAATAGGTAGACAAACTTGCTAGGTCATACCGTCGGGATGGCAACGCCATAAGCAACCTTCTTCAACACCGGACCAGCGGAGCCAAGAGCCGGCGAGTCAACCCCGTTACCGACGAAGTAGTAGATGACAATAGCCGCGGTGATGTAGAGAGCGATCTCAAAACCCTGGAGCAGACACAAAGCCTTGGGGAAGTCCTTGGGCTCCTCCATTTCGGCAATCAGACCGAAGAAGGCCACGTGGGCGCAGTAGGCGAACACGATCTGGGTGACGCCGTTGAACGCGTGGTACAAGTTCGTATCGGTGGTGACACTGATGTTTTGGCCTCCCTTGTACTGCACACCCACACCAATCATGGTGATCATGACCGCAGTGAAGATACTCAGGAAAGCTAATCAAATCAGTTTGATTCAATTGATGTTCAGTCGGAGTACTCACAAGCGCAAGAAATGTAGGTCAAGTTCTTGATAGTCCGGGGCAGCGACAAAACCAGACAGATCACGAAAGCCACAACACTGAACACCATCGAGCAGGTACCGTGATCCGTAATCGTGTTCATCATCACAGTGAAAGTGACAATGTGACTGCCCATGATGAAGATCGAGAACAGGATCTGACCGAGACCGAAGAGCTCGCGACCGAACCGACCCATGAGGATCTCACCCGCATCAGCCAAGTTGTGGATCGAGGGGTGGCGTTCGCGGAATTGGCCGATGACATAGCCGGTGTAGAGCGCAAGGATACCGAGTCCGATGATGAGGATGATCGCGCTGTGTCTGTGAGTGGGATGCGGAGAAGCAGCCATGACAGCAAGACTTACGGCACCAGGCCCAGCGCAGTCAGCGTCGCGGGCAGGGACAAAACACCCAGCGAGACGGACTCGGCGATCATGACTGTTGTGATTAGTATTTATCTAGCCATGGATCTGTCGCATGCCACATACACATTCCACATTGCCTGCATGATTTGTTAGCTTACATCGTCGACGGCGGATAGCGCAACAATACATACCACCACTTGAGCGTCTTGTACTTGACCTCCGCATTGGCCTCGTCACCGAATGCATCGGGCTCCTTCCCCTCATCGACCGCCTTCAAATCCTCGAGATCGTAGGGAGGAAGATCATTCTTCTTGATCTCTTCGCCGTGGGCCGGAGTCGCCATGTCGTCTGCACGTTGTCGATATGTCACGGGCAAAGGTCGAGAAAGGACAGGCACACGTCGCGCAGTAGAATCACAATCGCAAACAAACGAAGAGTCGAACGTTGGCGCGCCGACAGCTGCAGGACAGAAAATTTCTGGCGGGTTGGTGGGTCAGACAGTGAAACCTCCGCTCCTCCGCTGCTGTTGAGGTTGATGCAGACTTGAAACTGAGTTCAACGGGTGAACTAGATAGTCTCTGCAGTAGCACTGACACCAGAACACAACAACAGAGAAGAAGAGATGGAGGAGAGAAGGGAGCAAGACACAGACAGATAGACAGACAGATAAGAGCCCTGGTGGTTTTCCACGGGAAATTGAGATCTGGACTCCGTCGTAGCTACCCTGTTTGGAGATCAGCCCTGGCTGCTGCTGCTTGCGGCCATAGCGGAAGTAACGCGGTGATGGTTGCCATTGGTGCGTTGTGCTCCACCCCGCTAGACGCGGGTGGGGCGGAGGAAAAGCGTAGTCCAATTGTGGCTGTCCGCGGTTAAAATTAAGTAATGGATTGGCCCCGCCGACCGCACTGTGCGCGGCTTGCCGACAGTAACCGCTCCTCCGCCGGCCACTGATTGGTGCGGCCCTGGCTAGGTTTATGAGGCTCGGTGGGATTCCGTTCCCGCTTCTAGAATTTTTTTGTCCGGTTTATAAAAAGCTGCCGACTGCTGATAAGTTGCCTGCCACGGCAGTTGACTGTTTTCCATGACCATCCATTAGCTGATGGAAACTGGGCAAGGGGCGATGATTTGTCGCTGCAGCGCTTCTTATCGCAGACGCACGTTTGTTGCGGCTCACTACTCCAGGTTTGGGGCCGGTGGACGGCTGTGCCGGCATCCGAGCCATTCTTGGGTGTTTCGGCCTTGGCAAGAAAAGCTTTGGTTCGCCTTCCAGATTTTTTCGGCTTGGCAATGGTGGCTGTCGGCCTTATCGGTGTTTTAGACGAGAATGTTGGGCCATGCAATGAGATTAGCTGCTCAACACTGTAGAGGTAGAGTGTAGGCATCCTTTTTATCTGCTGGCTACAGGCTCAGTACAGTACATCGATTCGATTCTCTTCTTGTCTCCACAAGTCAACACCATCTACTGTACATTTATCTAGTATTTCGCTCTAATTATCTGCTGCGGTTTGTCCGAGTGTAATTAAAGCTATCGAAGTATACCCCGGTCGACGAAGGTCCCCACTTCGGCAGAAATTTTGCCGATGCTGTGATTCCAGGAATCTTAAGGATCGGAACGCAGTGATCATAACATGAAGCCGAACTTGAACATTGAAAGCACCATCTTCCCTAATCCGTTCTTCGTCTCGATCTCACAACAACTTATTTTTCTTCCTTATCTAAAAGAATAGCTTGGGCCAACACCGCTATGAAACGTTACCCTATGCATCTCGTTGAAGCTTCAGATCCGTTCAATCATAGTCGGTAGAAAATTCCAGATGTGTCTAATGACTGAAGAAATTGCCGAGTCCATTGTATCGATTTCTCTCCTTTTCCGCACCTTTCATTTCCTTGCTGTGAATTGTCCTGGACGTCTCCTCCGCAAGCATGTGGTGATGGAATTGATCGCAGAGAACAATGCCCTCAAAATCTGTATAGCCTTGACTGCTGTGAATATACAGCCCACGTGATCTGTCCTCGGTCAAAAAGTGGACGTGAAAACTGTACACTTTCATTAGCAACAAATGGAAACGTCGAGTGTCTGTTTCAAGATACACTGAGCAGTCTGGATATCCACAGGGAACGAGCCAGGGCCTTGTATCATCAGCATGCAGCGCAAAACCATTGATGTAAAACCACTCATAAGATTCCAGCCTCACTGAACAACAACCTTGAACAAAGGCAAACGCACGATGATCATCACATAACCCTCTCATGCAGACCCCAGTTCTGATATGGAAAGCACAGATAAACTCCACTCACGATCCAACATAAACACCATAGACTCCAGATCAAACCTTCTCCCCACAAAACCTCACTCAACCCTAGCATAAGGATACTCCCGAATCACCTTCCAGGTAACCCCCTGAATCACAATCGGCAGATCCAACGCCGCCTTAAGATCATACCCCTTAGGATTCCTCCACCCATCAATCTTCTTAATCAGCCCGCGATAGCTCTCCCCAACGTACGGCTCTTCTTTCTCGTCCTCGTCCCCGTCCTCAAACTCCTCCCTCAACCGAATCCGTCCCCTATGGCAATTAATCTCCAACGCCCCCAGCCGCGTCGCATTCTTATCAAACCGCTCGTGGCGCGCATCCGCAATAAACCCCCTCCTCATATGTTTCACCGCCTCCCGCACGCGGAAAATCGCCCTACAGCGCCAGCGGTTGATACTCTCTGTTCCCCGACCCGAAAGTCAGCACCATCCCCAGCAAACTAAATCACACGTCCGCAAAGGAAACTGGAAAAAAAGGGGAGGGCGGGTACTGTACTGATAATCATCTCACAAACCCGCAACTGATACACATCCGCCCGGACCTCGTCGGTGGCATTCTCGATCGCCATGCGCGTGCAGCACCGCAGCACGTTCTGGCGGCCGTACACCCAGGCCACGAAGATCCACTTCACCACCACCTCCTCGGAGTAGCGGCGGGGCAGCCGGCGCTCCAGCCGGTCCAGCCACCCGCCCACGTAGAACTTGACGACGTGCACGCACCCGTAGTAGTCGGCCATGATGGTGAGGTCGACTAGGGTCTGGAAGTCGATCTTGTCGGGCCACGGGTGGGTTTGGTGGTGGATGATCCGCATGAGGAGGAGGAAGGGGGCCAGGGGCCATTCGGCGGTTAGGGTCAGGTGGCCGGTTTCAGTGAGGGTTTGGCCTTCGGTGAAGTTGGGGCGGGTGAACATGCGGGAGAAGAAGGGGGATGCGCTTGCTAGGTGGGTTTTGGAGGCGTGGATTTTGTGGATAGTGGGTTGCGGGGTGGGGGTGGGTTGTTTGTGTTTGAGTTGGTGGTGCTGGTCTTTGGTCTGGGGATGGGGATGGGGATGCGGACGGGGTTTTAAGTGCTGGTCGGCACTGGCCTGCTCCTGGGTAGTATGCGAGTACTTGGTTCTCTTCCGGGGTGGGCACTCGGAGATGGCGACGCTGGAGAGTTGCATGGCGAGGGTGTCGGAATTATCAGGTTCGGCTTTGATGGCTGGGGCGAGGGTTGATGTAGTGGACGATACGCCGGCGGGCTCCTCTTGGAGGAGGAAGGTTATTTCTCCACCTTCGTAGATGTGGTGCTCTGTCTTCTCGCACATTGTGGGATGTATTGCGTGTGTCGTTTGGGGGTGCTATGTTGTGGATGGATGAGGATGCTGGGAGAATGCTGGTAGGGGCATAAGGATGGCGAGGGATGCAGGAGAAGGAAAGAAGTTCTCTTTGTCGACAGAGGAGATTCTATTTATGCCTCCGATGTTCGCTGCCTGAACACTGTTGCACGATGCGGCGATGCCATAGTTCCTGTCATTCCTTTCTGTAGTTGGACAGAGCATGGGCATCAGGGATTTTCTTGTGGCTTTACGACCTGCAATCACCACTCGTCAGAGCCGAACTTGTGCACTTTTACTAGAGACTCTTTCAAACGTCTATCTCCGACTGTAGCCCACAAGAAGCATACCTTCATGGAGATAGGTGCTAGGGCGTCAGGTAGGGCTCGATGTTTCGGTAAGCGGCCGTTCAAACACCATTCACTCAGTTCCAAGCAACTGCCCGGACCGACAGCTCGAGCTCAGCAGCAAGCAGCATTACTCATACGGAAAACCATTATCAATAACTCAGCAGCATTATGAAAATACCATGGAACAAACGTACAAATGCTCTGTAAATAAAACATTCCATTCAAGCTTGCAGCGAGGGGAAGGGTTAAAGGCTAAGTCGCAGAAGAAGAGCGTGATCGCAGGAGCTCCAGCAAAGTTATAGTAAGAACAGTTAAGTTACAGTTTCCTTTTGAAAAAAATCCGCAAAATTCATTCACATGCTATGCCGACCGACCATTGTCCGAAAAAAAAGACGTCAAATCATAATGCTAGCAACAAGAAAAAGTATGTCAAGCAATATATACAAGAAGCGAAAATTAAATCATCTGTACAAGGGTTCGTCACCAAATGGCGACCACCAGAAAGTGCTGCTGCACCCATCTAATCCTTTTTCTTGTCCTTCCCCTTGCCCGGGCGTCTATAATTATACCGCATCCAGTTCTCCGTAACCCACCACTCGGCGACATGGGCCGCATCCCGCACCCAGCTGACCACGTCGGGACTGTATTCCGCCTCCAACGTCTTGGCCAAGTCGACCAGGTTGAAGTTCTTGACGGGGTGCAGCTCGATCGGGTCCTGCGAGAGATCGGTGAAGCGCCACTCAACGTCGTCGACGAGCGGGATGACCAGTCGGTAGGCCGGGCGGGCGGCAGAGCGCACGGCCAGCCATGATCCGCCGGTGTTCATGACCGTGAACTGCCAGTTCTGCCGGCCGTCCTTTTCGGGAATCTGCGGGCGGATCATCGACTGGCCCTCGTACATCGACAGGAGGTCCTGCGCGGCGTGGCCACTATCGGGACCGAGGGAGTGGGACTGGATGAGGAGGTCGAGAATGGTGGGGATGATTTGTTGCGAGATTACGGGGGTGGTGACTTCGATTTGGGGGAGGTGGGGGTGAGCGAAAAGCAGCGGGACGTGGAAGCTGCCGACGTGGGGGTTGTCGTAAGGAGTGACGCCGCCGTCGTTGGGAAGGGAGAGGCCACTAAATTTGTTAGCAGATTGTCAGATAGTACGATGTTCGATCTGGACATACTGATCACCAGCCATCACGATCAAGGTCTCGTTGATGATCTTCTTCTCGTTCAAGATGCCGATAATCTCCTCCAACCACTCGTCGATGTATCCAATGGTATTGAGGTAGCGGTTGAGATCATTGTTAGATCCTGAGCTGGTCGAGCCCACGATCGACTCGTAAGTGTCGTTGGGCATGCCCCAGTGGTGATGCGTGGTGCCGGTTAGGTGGGTCAGGAATAGACGGGTGTGGTTCTTCTCCGCAGCGTCGATGGCGTCCCGGACGTAGTCTCCGAGAACCTTATCCGGATAGCCGTAGTAGTTGACCTCCTTTTCCTTAACGGGATAGTGCTTCGCTTTGGGGTTCTCCAGCGTCTCCTTGGTGATGACATCATAGTAGCCCAATTTCGGAGTCAGCTTGTCCTGGTTATCGTAGGTTTCAGTGACGGACTGCATCCAGACGGAGTGCCAAGGCCAGGTGCGGTAGTCATTGGAAGCGGGGATGGTGTTGTTCTCGCGCACATCCGGCAGTTGGTTCAAGGCGGTCAGCACATGCGGCATGCACGGCTGGTAGATGTGATGCTCGTACTCGCGGTTGAAGTCCGCCACCAGGGGCGTCACCCCACACAGGGTGCCAACCAGACTCTTCAGAGTGTAGGTCCCCGTGGTGAAGGCATTGCTGGCACTGATGCCACCGTACGACCGACGTCCGTAGTCCTTGACCATGTCGTGCTTGTACCCGGCATCGAAGCCAGTCAGCCACTCCGCTGTCCTAGTAAGGTTGGCAATCCGCTTCTGGACGTCCTTAGGAATCTTCTTGTCGGGGTAGGTCTCCGCAATGCGGTCCCACATGAAGGTGCCGTTTTTCAGCGGAAAGACGTCGCCACGAGTACTTTCGAGCTTGAGCAAGATGACGTGTTTGATGTTGACATTACCGCCAGAAAGAGCGTCATGCAAGGGATCGAGAAGTGGGCTCCGAAGATTGGAGATGTGGAGAGGGTCTCGGTTGGGATCGTAGTGTCGTGGGGGTGGGTGGATTTTGTCGGATTGATTCCAGTCACCAAAGCCGGGGAGGGGCTCCTTCGGCAGCCACGACCATTGTGGAGGCCGCTCCAACGCCGTCTGTCCTTCCAACCAGCCATAATCCCCCGGCAGCCCTTCTGCTCGAACCGGAGACACCCGGTGGTGTCCCAAGAAGGGAGCCACGGGCAGCGCTTCGGAGAGGAACATGTATGCCGGATCCCACGGACGGACCACGCGCAACAGGAAGAGGCCGACAAAAGGTATCCAGACGGCCAAGCGACGTGCCAGCGAGTGACCCCGCGGCCTGGGCGGGGCGACAGCTCCGTAGGGCTCCAGCAGGTGAATGGACGATCCGTCGTCACTCTTGTCGTCCAGATAGTCGTCCTCGGAGAGATGGTCGTAACGCTCCGGGTCGGACAGTGAAGTCGTCTTGGGGATGAACCCGCGCACACAGCCCACACAGCATTTGAAGGGTTGTGCCAAGATATTCAGGATCCCCCCAACGGCGCGATGCAACGGGGCAGCGACAAACCAAGCGACAGTGAGCATAATACCCTCGACAATCAAGAAGCCGGTCAGACCGGTCAGGAGGGTGCGCATGGCGGCAGCATCGTGGTGGAAGGTGGTGGCTTGTCTCCAGTGGATTTCGGCTCCGGTGAAGACATAGAATGAGGTATTGGCGGCGGTCATTCCCGACATGATTAGACTATGACCACAGAATTAGTGATGTGGCGTTTTCCCAACCCGGGGGACGTCAGTGAGGGGGAGAGAGAGGGATCATCTTTACCTGAACGGAACAACGATCACCGCGGAGATGGCGGCGACCGACCGCCACGGCAGTTTCTGGGTCAGGATGCGCACCAGCAGCACGAGAACCACATCTTGGCAAAAGAAGGTGACTCCCCACAGGAGGAATTTGGACGGAGGTAAGGAATGGATATGAGCGTAAAGATGCAGGAGCTTAGCACCAAACATGGCCATCAAGGTGAGAGCGAAGAAATAGCGGCGTGTGAAGTCCCAGAAGTGATCGAAAGCCTCCAAAGGCGAGGCGCGCAGCCGCACCCAGGCGGCCAGGCAGCAACGAGCCGGATTGAGGTTGACGAGCTTCATCTTAACGGAATCCACAAGAATCAAATCACATGGCACACCAGAAGGAAGACGAAATCATCAAATCACTCCATGAGCCAGCTGGAATGAATCACCGGGATAGAAGGCCGGACGAGAGAGAGATAGAAGGGAGAAGATGGGAAGAGGGAAAAAAGATGAAGAAGGAGAGAGTGTGAGTGTGGGTGTATAGTAATCAACCAAAGAGGGGAAAGGGGAGAGACAGTGGTTTAATGTACAAAGAACGAAAGAAACACGGCTAGCGCATCATAATGAGATGATGGCCGCCTGGCAGCTCCCAAGTGGAACAAACTGAGAAAAAAAAGAAGAGAAAAAGGGCTGAGTTTAGGAGACTTAGATCGGAGCCGCAATCCATTGACTAGACCAACTAGTTCATTAGAAACTCACAGCTAAGAAAAAACTGGGGCCGAATTATTGACCGGGTTGGAGCTGCTTAGGAGGCTTAGTGCGTGTGGTTGACTCCATCATGTCCAGAATGTCCATAACTCCATATCAATTTTCCATCGTCTCGCAAGATCCTACTGGAAGTACTCAAAGGGCCGAAATGGACCCTGAATGCCCATAGACCCTGAGGTTGTGATTGGTGCTGTCTCTTCATCCGCGGTAATTTTAGAACCCAAGAGTGGAGTTGGGCACCCAATCAGCCACCCTGCCAAGGCTGCAGGGTCTGGAAATCGGATGGATTTGAGACAGGGGCAATCATTACTGTCTGCAGTGCAGTGTAAAACCATTGTGCTCAACCGATGAGTACCGTATTCCAGCAACATCCATGAGTCGATCAGTACATGATGGCACTCCGTAGTGATAGTAAAGAGACAGTGACACCAACTCTCCGCAGTCTTTCCTCATCTATTTTGGCACCCCCTGGCCGGACGATACCTAGTAGTACCTAGTAGAGTTTTTCTTCTCAAACACCGGCAAATTCACTCAGGGTCCCCCTCGGCCCACTAACCCCAGATAGGCAATCTGACAGTCAGCGAAAGTTCTGAGCAGGTGACCTCATTCCCCTTTTGGGTGACGGCCAGTCCCTTCACCGCCCAATCACCGCCTTCCATGTGGAGATTCTCCAACTCCCTCTCGCTGCAAATTTCCTCTCCACAGCAGCTCTGCCCTGCCCTGCAGGCACTGCTGCACTGCTGCACTGCTGCACTGCTGCACTCCTGCACTCCTGCACTGCCTGTGGGTGTCTCACTCACCAGACCAGTCCGGTTCTGCCTGCTGCTGTCAGTCAGACTAACTTTGCCACATGGAGTCCCCCAACCTGAACACGAGCAAAATGCCCCCTTTTTGCCTTTGGGGGCTTCCCCCTTCCTGCTGTTGTCCGACAGTCTTCCTGCAGGGACTGGCTGATGGTAGTGCCGCGGAAAGCAGCCGCGGCACGATCACTTCCAACGGGATTGCTTGTCTGACGGCTACGTTACTACTATAGGTACCTACTTATTTTCGGGGGAGTCGATCCGGATGCACTGGCCGACACCGACTAAAAGTCGATCCCGTTCACCCCGTTCACTCCCAAGCATTGCCATACAAACTTAGGGGTTCGTGGCAGTATCGGGTATCCGCTCCCAATTTCAGAGATTCCTATCCACCGTTATATTGAGACTATCTTTGGTCCTGGAGCGAAATTCAGGCCGGAGATCACCGGGAGGGGCTTCCAGACGGCGGCGCATTGGCGGACCCCAGCTGGCGGTGGCACCTTCGCCTTGGCTTTCGTATTGCCGGACTCTGGCCGCCAGAGTCACTCTGCCTGTTGGGGGCAGTCAGCCTGTGGGCAGGCTGATGAAACAACTGGCAGAATTGACGTGCTGTCCACTGGACTGGACTGTACAGTAACTTACCTATCTCGTGACTCCGGGCTCAGACCTCAAAGTTAGGCCATGCTGCAGCTACTGTTAGTTGAATGTAGCTCGAGCCTGTCATTAGACAGGTTCATTTACAGGTAGATTCATTTCCGACCGTAGAAAAATTCACTATGGCCGATACGTTGCAGTTATTCTTTCAGTTATCATTAATCCATAGGTTGATGTGGTTGCCCGAACTGGCAATCCGACTCGTGACTCCGAGGAATATATTTCCGCCGCGACCGGTATTCTCCTGCCCCGCATCATCGCCTCCTCACCAGTAAACAACATCACCAACGCGATCATTCATGGTCTTGCTCAGACTTTCTCAACCAGAGCACTACCTAGTAGGTATCTAGGAATACTACAATTTCTTGTGTTTGTCAACACTCAGGGTCGCTCCATGATTTCCTCAATCGCATGGCCGATTGAGCCACCGTCCTCGCCAAACTCCACCGGCATTTGAAACACCCTCCGTCCGCTCACTTCTGACACCCATGATAATTGTCGCCAACGTCACACCGATTGCGACCAAGCTCATCCAACACCATCGTACTCGGTCGCTAGCTCTGTCCGCTAGTTTGCGAACACTCGTTGCTGCGCTTCCCTCCACGATGAAATCGTCCCATTGAATCTGCGCCAGCTCCGCTTGATACTGCCCCACATTCTTCGGCCAGTTGTGCACATTCCGTCCGTCCTCGGTCTTGTACCAGCTGCTACATCGCGCATCCGCCCAGGAGGTCTCACTCAAAAGGTTTTGGAGTTGCTCGTTATATGCCCGAAGCACATCGGGCCGGATGCGCAACGCCAACGTTTGCCCGTGCAACCGGGCTTCAACCGCCGCGGTAATCAGTTTTCCGAGATAGCGTGACTGAGCCTCAATCATATGGATGACTGAGTTATGGCCTGCCTGGTCAGTGTCTTAAGCATCACTCCGCTTGCGTATCCACTAACCGAGATTTGTGTTCGGCCCATAGAGTAAACCAAAGTTGGGGAGATCTTCCGCTACCACCTCTCGATACGCCCGAGCGCCCGCCTTCCACAAGTCCCGCAATGGACGGTCATCCAGCCCGTAAATGTCCATTGAAAACAAGAAGTCGACCGTGTGAAACCCTGTTGCCAGTACAATCAGATCGAACGGTTGGGCTTCTTCCTTCTCCACTTGAATCCCTGTGGCTGTGATCCGCCGAATGGGCCTCGTTTCCAGATCAACGTGCTTGTGGTTGAGCACCGGGTAATAATCATCGGAGAGGAGAATGCGGTTGCACCCGAACGGATATCGCGGGGTCAGTGTGTCCCACAAATCTGGTTTATCAGGCAGTTGAGATTTCATCCACCGCACAATCCACTCGATCTGGGATGGAGAGTAGTCCGGGTTGGTGATATACGCATGGAGGGACTCCCGAATGCGCATCAACACCCCGCGCTTGAACCAGCGTACCGGTGGAACCCAAGTCAGCAGAAGTTCTTCAAGGCGCCCAATGGATCGGTCCTGGCGAGGGATAATCCATTTGGGTGACCTTTGGTAGACTGTCAGCCGTGACGCGGTCTTGGACAGCTCCGGAACTACCTGAATTGCAGAGGCACCTGCTTCTCGTTAGCCTGGCCCTTCATTTTCCATGCCAAGAATCACAACCATTCCCGATCACAGCGATCCGTTTGCCTGCAACATCGTAGGTGCTATCCCATCGGGCGGAGTGCATTTGCTTGCCGACAAAGCTGCCGAGACCTGGAATGTCAGGGTAGCGAGGGATGTTCAATTGTCCAGCTGCGGAAATAAGGAAGTCGGTGGTGAGCTGGTATTGCGGCTGCATTGAACTCTCCAGATCACCAGTGGAAACGTGAACCCTCAATTGCAACTGATGGTTGTCCCACTGTGCTTTATGCACGGTCGAATCGAACCGAATATGACGTTGCAGATTCCATTTACTCGAAACCTCATCAAGGTACTTCTGTCCAATGGTTCAGTGCATGGCCGACATCTCGAAATGGCGCAAGCTCATACCAGGATTTCCTCCTGGGTAGGGTAGTCCCGTGTCCAATTCCCACGCTGTTCAAACGAAAGACTATACAGCGCGCTGCGGACTATACGTTCATGAGTTACTGCGGGTCATTGGTGTCATATGTTCACTTACTATCGCATGCGCATCCAGGATACCGGTTCTCATACCATGTTCCTCCAAGACCGCTGTTCTTTTCCACAATGAGGAAGTTGGTGGTGGGCACGTGACGGAGGAGCTCAATGGCCATACAAATGCCTATCGATCAGCCTGACCTTTGACCACGCATTGACACCGGGGTCAGACATACCTGATACCCCTGCTCCTATGATTATCACAGAGTAGTGACTAGATCCTTCGCATACGGGATATTTATCTGCCACGGATGTCATCCTGAAGGCACATGAGATGGTATTGTGCGCTGGACCTCTGCAAAAATGCCATCGCTTGCTTTTATGAAGACAACAAACAACGCCGACCCCGCGCGGCGAGGAAGAACTGCCCTTGTTGGCCGAGCTGTGAATGTGACCGGAGCCCGCCTCCCACATTTTCTTTTCTCTTTGCTACGATTGGCGGTCTCATATCTGTCTGGATTCTCATCAGTGGATTGGAGTTGTCACAGGGCATCAATCGGCTTGTTCCGCCGGTCGATTCAGCCACAGTAACATGGTGGCGCGGCGATGATTGTACAACTGACAAATGCAGCATCATCCAAAAGCCGCCAACACTGCTGATTTAATGGTACAGCCAATGAGATATTCTGCAGCTCCGTGAAGCCTGATGCAAAGACTCTTGCCATGAGAACTGTCTACCAACCATCGAGGTCACTTGGCGAAACTCACCATCCCAGTTGTCCTTCCAAGCCAGGTGTGGTTGAGGTCTACAGATTTAGTCGATGATGACTGGCAGAAGCCTAAGCAGGAATATCATCCCATTGGCATAGGGGCTCGAGAACCATTACATGAAGGAACGAAAGCTCAAACAGAAGGAGACTAGTAACTTGCATTACTCTAGTGTCGTCCCGAGGGATCATTTAAAGACAATCTGATTGACTTTCACTAACCCGTGCGATACTCGAACAAGCAAACTCTTCCGACAGTGTCTGCACCTCATTTTGAGTCCTGACTCTCACTATGCCAACCATACCATCCCCCCAACCCGGCATCGTGGATGGCCATGACTAGCTATGGGACCAGGCCCTACATTTGCATGTCATAGGCATCGATGGCGTTGTCATACGCATCATCAACATCACCGGTTCCCTGACGGATGGTTTCCTTGTCGGCTCCGGCCGCCTTGGCCTGCAGGGCCACGGACAGACCATCGGTCTTGACCCGAAGCGCATGGAGGTTGGTCCGGATGGTGCTTCCCACGCCGGCGGTGATGAAGAGATTCCGCTACACATTGGTCAGAATCATGGTGGGCCACGGTTGGAATTAAAGATGGATAATGATCGAGATGAAAGAACATGAGAAGTGCATGCATGGGGTGATGCGACTAACCTTCATGACCAAAGCTGCGATGGAGCTGCGCATGACCGGCTCCAACTGGGTCAGAGCCTCAGTCACCCGGCTACTCTCCGAGGCCGTGAAGACCGCAGTGCCGTTGACGTCGGCAGAGGCCTGGTCGAGGGACCGCTCGACGGCGGCCTCCTGAGTCTGAATCTCGAGGGCTGCGGGCAAGCCTCCGGAGTAGCTGTAGACGGCAGCACTCAGAGAACCAATGTCGGTGTTGACCTGAGTCAGATCCTGGATGATGGTGGGAATATCCCGCCTGATGACGCGAGCCGTGGCCAGAGCCAGGAGGGAGAGAACCGAAGCGGTGGCGAGAGTGAAGCGCATAGTGCTGATGCTGTTGATTGTATCTGTGGTGTGGATGCGGATGGGTTGGTGATTGTTGTTGAGCTCCGAGAGAGGAGCGATTGAGCCTTTATATCCGGTTCTGAGGGATATGCTGGGCCCTAGACATGTCCCTGTTGCGCGTGTGTTGCTGTGAATTTCCTATGTTTGACAATGGGGGCCACGGTCCGGTAATTTACTCCGTGAGGCTTGTGTTGCCATGAGTCTAATGTCATACGTGTGCTTCGGTTTGCTACAGATCGGTGTCTATGTGTCTGACGACAAGTGCGACAACACAGCGCCAATGCAGCACTGAGAGATACGCGCGTGTGTACAGTACGGTGTTGTGCTAAGCACCCACCGAACCTGGACTCTATACCGGAGTCCAGTGTACGAAAGGAAGAAGATTGAACGCGATGGAAAGATCAAGGGATGACGACGATGAACCGGGACCGACAGTCGACGTCGGGATGATGGAGATCAAACCGGGACAGGAGAAAACCAGGTGTGCGAGGGTGAAACGCTCGTAGCTTGCCCAATTCTCTCTGGATAGGACGGTTGCATGACTTGGTGCTGTTCCACCATTCATCTCACCACCGTGATACTTGCGCCACGGCGGTCTCCGGATGGCCACACACGCATCCTTCCCATCTGCACAATGCCCGACCGCAGGGGGACACGGTACCTGAGTGTGTATCCGCCTTGTGTTTCGACTAAGCCGTGGCCTGACAATGTCCTGTCCGTCACGGGAGAAGATCGGAGGAGAGTCACTGAGCGACAGACACGAGCGCGAAACAGTCTCCGACCGGACCAAAAAGCTGGCCTGTTGTTTTTTGTTTCTGTGAAGCTGGGTGTCACACCGGCAAACCTTCCCTTGGCCTAAAGCAGGCATGGAAACGAGGAGTGACTCGGACCGAGGAGAAAGCCGTGACCGGCCCCAGGCAGAGCGTGAATCAGTCAGCAGTGCCCGAAGACCGGATTGGCCCCTCGGGAAAGACGGAGAGACGATGACGATGAGCAATGTAGATTAGCAAACCGAAACGAAAAAAGAGGGGCCCCAGTCTGACCGAGGCTGGAATTTGGGGAAGGTGAGGTGGGAGGAGGAGGAGGAGGAGAGGATATGGAGGGTGGGCCGTGGGGTGAAATGCTTCATTGCGTAACAGAATGCTTGTTTTGGGGAAGACAGGTGAGTCTTTTTTACTTGTCCGGTAGTCAGGTTATCAGCGTATCTATCTTGACCATGCCGACTGCCGAGGGGCGGCGGTTCACCGATGATTGCATCAGGGAAGGAAGCAAGACTTCGATCGGCAATCTTGCTCTGGGTGAGCATCACCTGACATCACCTGACATCACCTGACATCACCTGACATCACCTGACATCACCTGACATCACCTGACCACTGCAGGCAGGCTCTTTACCCCCCGGGGTGCGGGGATGACTCATCGCTCCCCATATACGTGCACCAATCAACTGTGGGTGTTTTCATAGCCGGACTTTAGGCTAAAGTCCTTTGCCTCTCTTCCTCAACCTTGAAGTTACGCCACTTCATCTTGGGAAGAAAGCTTGTCCGAGGCTTGTTTTCCGTCTGCGGCCAACTTTCCAATCCCCACGGAACTCCCTTCCCCCCCGCCCCCCCCCCAAGTCAGCAGAATGTCTGCCGACTGACCATTGAAGATTAGAGCATGGAGATTCTCCATATCCATCCATGCATCTGTGCATCCATTCTCTCTGGAGAACTTTCGTGGACCCACCCCGCCCACCTTTTGGCCTGGCCACTCGGTCATCTGTTCACCGGAGAAATTCAAACCAGGCCAGCAGCAATGCTAGCAGAAACGTCACCGGCGACCCCAAAAATGACTTGGCTCTTTCAGTTTTAAGACTCTGCCCTCCCAAACATAAACCCATCGGTTCCTGGATTTTCTGTGCTTCTCGCATCTCCGCTCTGGTTCTTCCTGCCCATGATGGCTGCCCCTTTGAACCACAAGGATTTGGAGAAGACGGAGCAGCATGAGTCGCTGCCCGTTGTGGTGACGGCTGAGGAGGCAATTATCCGCGCCCGCCAACAACCGAACGTTGCCCTGCCGCTGCGCATCACCTTTGACCACCATGACCCCGACAATCCGCGCTGCTGGGGCTTCTGGCGCAAGTGGTACATCACCGTATTCGTGAGCATGCTCAATGTCATTACCACCTGGTGTTGTGGTTCTTTTTCCTCTGGCGCCACCCAAATTGCCGATCACTTCCACGTTTCGAGTGAAGTCACCACCTTATGCTTGTCCCTCTACGTCCTGGGCTACGCCGTGGGCCCTGTCCTACTCGCCCCCTTGTCGGAGTACTTCGGCCGCCAGCCGATCTACATTGTCTCCTGGTTCATCTTGTGTATCTTTCAGTTGCCCTTGGCACTGGCTCCCAACATTGGTACCATTCTTGTGTGTCGTCTGATCGCCGGCTTGGCTGGTGGTGCCCCCTTGACCAACACCGGAGGTACTATCAGTGATCTGTGGGAGCGAGACCACAGTGGTTGGCCTATGGCGGTGTACGGCCTCAGCAGCACCGCGGGTCCTCCCCTGGCGCTCGTCATGAGCGGGTACATCGGCCTCGACCTGGGCTGGCGGTGGATCTTCTGGATTATGATGGCCATCAGCGGTGGCTTCTGGATCGTGCTAGTTTTCACGATTCCCGAGACCCGCCACTCCATCCGCCTGCAGCGCAAGACGGCCAAGATCCGTCGCCAGATGGAGAAGGAAGGATTGCGGTCGGCGGAGTCGCTGGACGACATCCATGGCGACAACCGCAAGGGGCTGCACCAGTTGCTCGCCATCACCTTGACGCGGCCCGTCCGCTTTCTGTTCACCGAGCCCATCACGCTCTTCTCGGCCATCTTCAATGGCTTCCTCTACGGCCTCGTCTACCTTTTCAACGAAGCCTTTCCTCTCGTGTTTGGTGCTCCCCACGGCCACGGCTTCAACGTCGGCCAACAAGGCCTCTGCTTCTTGGGCATCGCCATCGGCCCCTTCCTCGCCTTTGCCGCTCACCCGCTGCAAGAACACTACTACCGCCGCGCCGTCGCTGCGCATGATGGCCTCAGTGTCCCCGAAGCCCGCATGTGGATGGCCCGCCTGGGCGCGTTGCTGATCCCGATCAGTCTCTTCTGGTTCGGCTGGACCAGCTACGCCTCGGTGCACTGGATCGTCCCGGTCATCGCCTCGGTCTTCTTTGGGGCGGGCCTGTATATTGTGATCTTGAGTATTCTGAACTACGTGGTCGACAGCTACCAGACGTACTCAGCCTCGGCGCTGGCGGGGGTCATTCTGGTGCGGAACGTTGTGGGCGCCGGGTTCCCGCTGTTCGCGACGCAGATGTACAACAAGTTGGACTACGAGTGGGCGTCGAGTCTGCTGGGATTCATTGCGATCTTGCTGGTCCCGATACCATTCATCTTCTTTTACAAGGGGAGGGCGATACGGCTGCGGAGCCCGTGGGCCCGCGAGCATTTCGATTCGAATGAAGATAGTCCTCATTAGTTTATAGATATTCCGATAGACTGAAATATGATTAGACCCGTTCATTTCTGTGTGTGAGTCTTACTGGTCAGATTCTAGATGATAGTACTTGTTGTATAGTAGCCTTTTGCCCTGTCGTTGGATGTAACTAGGTAAGTGGGCTTGGAAGTGGAGCTGCGGGACAGAGTGAGTCTAGGCTTCTTATCGTCGCTCGAAGGAGTGATACATCGAATCTACTTCTGGTAAACAATGAAGCTATCTCACCATTCTTGATCGGTTGATGGCCTCAATCAGTTCTTTCTCCTGTTATCCGATCATCCCGAGGACGGTCACCTGGTTGACACACTTTTGTTACAGCCACGATCGGGGTGGTCAACACGGGACCTGCAATTCCAAATCATGGACCCTGAGGCTCTGATATATCTGATACCATGGTAACCAGAGATTTGTGGGCAGACCGATCAGATTCGCAGTGCCAAGCCCGTGGAAACGTGTATGCGCATTGCATTTTGCATCGTTGCCTGGCCATCGCGCCCAACAGCTGACTCATCCATACAATGGAAGAGAACCCCCCCAAGGAAGTATTTGAAATAACCTTGTTTTAAGTTAGGCAGAGCCTCTTGCTGACGAGCAACACGAGGGTGAAGGTGCTGAATTTGCTGGGCGCATCTTGGCTGGCGGGGCGGACGCCGAAGCCAGTCGACTCAGCCTCGCCCCCGGTTTCTTTACTAATACGCTCCCTCCTCCCTCCTCCCCCGCCCACCGACAATCCACATTCGCCATGCGACTGAGCACAATCCTCTAGCGCGCTTCCTATTATGCCACACGTTATGGCCAATCAGTCATTGCAAGTTAGCGGATATAGACTCCGAAGAACGCACGAGAAATCCCGGAATGGGTGCCTCAGGTGCAAGCAGCAGCGGAAGAAGGTATTGTACAGTGCATGCTACGGCTCTGCCGCACGGTGCTGATGTCAATTCCCCCCAGTGCGACGAAAAGAGACCCAGTTGCTCCAGATGCACCAAGCGCTCGTATACTTGCCGATATCCGTTCCCTCTCAGCGATGGCAATTTGTCAGAAGAGCCGGAGTCAGCGGCCCATTCGCCCCTCTCCGACTTGCATGTAATCTCCGGGCCCGAGTCTCCCGGCTCACCCTCACATCATCACCATCATCATCGACGAACTGCCTCCCATTCGCGCTCTAGTACGGATGAGGCAAGACTGGACCCCTTCCAGCTGGGGCCGCAGTCCCCCGATTCCCTCGATGCGACCGAGCTGAGCCTCCTAGCCCACTATCTCACGCACACGAGCCACATCATCCCGGTCGATCAGCTCGACCTCTACGCACTCTCCGTCGGCGTACCAAATCTCGCCTTCAGAAGCAAGGCGGTCATGTCCTCACTGCTCGCCTTGGCAGCAGCATGTCAGTCCCACGACATAGCCAAGCAAGCCCCGACGCCGCAGAGCCTCCTGCAGATCCGCGAGTTACTGGGGCTAGCCGAGCGCCACCACCGTGCGTCCCTCCGCCACATCCAGGAAGCCATGCAGAGCCCGGAGATGTACGACTACGTTCTCGCCAATGCGGCCCTGATGGTGCTGTACGCCTCGGCCAGCCACTCTATCCGCGTCCACTTAGCCGCTACGGCCAAGCAGCGGGGCAAGCGGCTGCCGGGTGAGCTGCTGCCACAGCACTCGCAGTGGATTTCGTTTACCCGTGCAGCACATACGGCATCTACCGCGGTGCTGAATGACATTGTGAATGCGACGGACGGAGCTAGTCCGGTCATGCATACCGAGCCAAGTCTCCCTAGCACAGCCCTAAACATCCCGGGGGTCCTGTCCCCCCAAGACGGCCCCTCCGAGCACACAAAACGTCTCTTCCTGCCCATTGTGGCATCAACCTACACCCAAGCCTTCGAACGTCTGCGCAAGAGAGCAGAAACCACAGTCACTCTTTTGGAGAATTCGAACCGGTCCAGCAATATGGCCCAACTCCACGCATCCATCGAAACAGTCTCCATCCTCGAGCACTGCGCCGTAGCAGCACTCACCCCACGCCGAACCCCCGCAACAAGTCCCCAAACCCAGGCCCTAGCCCTGCACAAACTCGCGCGCGTCTCTCCCTGGGTCGCGAAGTACATGATCAGCGTGACGTCGATGGAGGCGCCGCAGATCCTCCGGCGGATCATCATGTCGTTCCTCAATAAAGCGCCGACCGAGTATCTCGGCCTCGTGCAGTCGGTTCTTGACTCCTCGTCCATGGGGATGGAAGGCTCCGCCTCCGCCGAGGTGGGGGCGCTGACGGCGACGCATGTCCTGGCGATGGATATCTTTGCACACTGGTTGGTGCTGGTCATGTTGCTGGACGGGGTGTGGTGGATCGGGGGGATCGGCCAGTGGGAGTTGGGGCAGGTGTTGGCTGTGTTGAAGACGCAGGATTTGCTGGGCTTGGCGGAGACGGGGGAGACGTGGTGGCCGGAGAGTATGTATTTGGTCAAGCGGGAGCTTAGCCCAGTGCTTCGTGAGTCTTACGACATGTAGAGGATAGAATCGGGTGCTTGGATTCCAAATACATGCAGATGGCTGTTCAAAGCATGCGAATGTCTTCGCACAGTAAGCACAATGCGCTACCCATCGAGACCCCGTAACTCCAGTCTCGTCAGCAAGACAACCATCTGCAGAATCTACCAAGCGAAGCATCGGTGAATTGCCAAGCATGATTGCATGCCAAGTGAGTGAGATGCAGGCATTGCGCTGGCGGGAGGTAGGGCTGAGAGAGCGGCGTATGACTAATACGCTCCGCTTGAGGCTGTGGCTGTGCTTGCGTATACTGACGCTCTTTGACAGTAAGAGAGTATATGCGCCGTGAGTTGGGATATCTTGGCCATTGAATGTCGACATTGTACCAGAGAATAAGAAACAATAGAGCCTCAAGAGCATATAAAGCAGCGAATCTCCCGCCCATCCCTACAGCATCAGGTTAGCATTAAGAGCACAACACAACTGCCTACCGCGTCAAACACCATATCTGACTTCTATACCAACCCTTTCACCATGTATCTGAAGTCCACCTTCCATTCCATCCTCGCGATGGCCCTCACCCTCGCTTTCTCAAGCCAAGCAGCACCATCACAGTCGCTCACCTCACGCGCAACCTCCGACCTACCTATAACAGCTCAACTAAAACTAGCAAACACGTACTTCCCCTGCCCCTTACCCTGACCCATCCCCCCGAGCAGACCAAGACTGACCAAGCCAAAGAGCAACCGAGCGCTACGCCCTCCTCCCCAACGACACCGACTTCATCTACGACTTCAGCGCCACCAACTCCAACAACGAAACCGCCCTCCCAATAGCCAGCAGCCAGAACTGGCCCGCCCTCGTCGGCGTCGGCCTCTCCTTCAGCATCTCCCAGCTACCAGGTATAGTACATCTCCAGCCCAACCCATACACAGTCCAAACACAGCCCAACCCAACCCACCCCCCTTATCAAACCAACCACCACACTAACCATAGAAAGCATGCACAATGTCCTTCCTCCACCTGCACCCCCGCGCCACCGAACTCTTCGCTCTAACTTCAGGCCGCATCCAAAGCTACATGGTGCCCGAGACGGGCGTGGTCGACGCCACCGGCAACCAGCGCGTGGTCAGCACGGAGCTGACCCCGGGCACGGTCACGATCTACCCGGCGGGATCGTTCCATACGCAGGTGAACCCGGACTGCGAGGCGGCGAACTTCACGGCGGCGTTCAATTCCGAGGAGTTTGCGGTGGGGTTGGTCTCGGCGAGGTTGTTTGCGTTGCCGGATGAGGTGGTGGGGAGGGCTTTGGGGGGCGTGGGCGCGGAGGAGGTACGGAGGATTCGGGGGTTGGTGCCGGATGAGGCTGCGTTGGTTGTGGGGGAGTGTGTGGGGAAGTGTGGGTTGGAGCAGTAGGGTTGCTTTGGAGGGGGGGAGGGGGTGGAGGGAGGGTTGGGTTGAGGGTTGAGGGGTGGGGCTGAGAGGTACCGGGGTTGAAGGGAAGGAGGGTTTACATTAGATGGTGAAGGGAAGGGTGGGGGATAGAGATCGCTTTGTTTTGTCAAGGATAGGCTTTGGATTTATTGTTATTGCTTGTGCATTTAAATGAATAGCTCTCTTGATTAACGATCTTGCCTGTGGTTCCAAGACTGATGTACGATTTGGTCATAATGATCGAGAGACAACATGAATGCAGGGGCATTGCGATTGCTGCCAACTGCATCACAATGCCCCGTTGCCCTCGATGCTATTATAGGCTCGGTTACATGGATCGGAGAATATTAAGCCACAAATTCCCCAATCTCGAAGAATGCATATGCTGTGCGTCCTGCATGTGGTTATCTCCTATAGGGCTATCATGCACGTCCCTGCCTAACCACGACCACACTCGCATAAAGGTTACACCTCCTCGTGTAACTCGAGACTTCCATTCGGACCCTGATAGACAGCTAACCAAGCAATTGTCTGGATTTGATATCTGTTGACCAGGATAGATGGGGTCTGATGATGCGGACATACTTTTGTGATGCGTGGACCGATGATAATGAGAGATTGCTGGTCAGTAATCTTCCGATTATTACACCATGTTGAGAACAGCTGTCGATGACTAGGGATGACCATGCATGGGTGGGTGATGGGATCTGTACATCAACAGATGGCCCCTATAGTCCCATCTATATACCATCTTCTGACATGTCCTACTTCTCTCTTCCGAGAATCTTCACCCTCTGTCAACTCGCTTGATATAGATCGCCTCGAAAGCAAACCCAGCTATGCACACCATCCTCAGTTTGTTTCTGACCTCGCTTTTGGTGACTATCGTTAAGTCAACCCCCCCCACCCTTGCTGGAGATATTGACATCATCAAACGAGATGTGGCCATCACCGGCGGAGGCGCAGGAGGCATATACTGCGCCATCAGCCTTCAAGACCAAGGCAAGTCCGTCATCGTGATCGAGAAGAAAGACCGACTCGGGGGCCACGTCGAGACCTACGTGGACCCCGGGACAGGCATTGCGATGGACTATGGATTCGCACTTTTCGAGAACACCTCCGTGGTCAACGACTACTTCGCACGCTTTGACATCCCTCTAGTCAAGATCAGGCAGTTCAACATCACCTGGTCCACCTACGACTTCCGCACCGGAAAGACAGCGGTCCCCAGCTACAACCCGTCGCGCGAGGAGGTGCTGGCCGCGTTCGCGACCTACTTTGCCCAGCTGGCGCGATACCCCGAGCTGGAGCAGGGGATCTTTCTTCCGAGTCCCATCCCCGAGGACCTGTACATGCCGTTCGGGCGGTTCGTGGACAAGTACAAGATCCACGCGGCGGTGCCGACGATGTTCCTGCTCAACGCGGGGGTCGGGGATCTCCTCTCCAACGCGGTGCTGGAGGTCTTCCGCGCGCTGCCACGGAAGCTGGTCGAGGGGGTGCTGACGTCCACCGTGCTCACCCCGGCCAACCACACCGTCATCGAGCTGTACCGACGCGCCGAAGCCGAGCTGTCGTCGACCTCCAGCCTCTTCCTCTCCGCCGAGGTGGTGTACGCCCACCGCGAGCCCACGATTACGAATACCAGCGAAACGCACCAAATCACCCTCCTCGTCCGAACCCCCACGACCGATGGAAAGCTCACCCTCATCCAAGCCAAAAGGCTCCTGATCGCCATCCCCCCCAACCCCGCCCTCCTCGACCCCTGGCTCCGCCTCACCCCGACCGAACACTCCCTCTTCACCCGCTACATCAGCACAGGCCTGTACGTGGGCCTCGTCAACGGCACGCGCCTCCCGCCCACCGCGGGCATCCTCAACCTCGCCCCCAACCACACCATGTACTCCTTCCCCTACCTGCCGGACACGTACAGCCTGATCCCCGCCCGGCTGCCCGGCTTGAAGCTCGCCACCTACGGCAGTCTGCAGACCCGTTCCCGATCAGCGAGGCCGCCGTCCGCCACCACATGCTGGACGATATCCGGCGGATCCAGCGGGAGAACCCGGACCGGTTCCCGGGGACGGGCGCGCCGGCGTTCGTGGCCTTCGCGGCCCATGCGCCGTACAACCTGCAGGTGTCCGGGGAGGACATCAAGAATGGGTTCTACGAGAGGCTGTATGCGCTGCAGGGGGAGATGAATACGTTTTGGACCGGGTCGGCGTGGGCGGCGGATATTAGTGGTGATATTTGGAAGTTTTCAAGGGGGGTGGTCTTGCCGATGCTGGTGGGGGAGTTGTGAGGCGCGGGGGGGTAGTTTTTGTCCTTCGTTGCTTGGGTGATATCTATATGCAGACAGAGGGGAGAGTATGCAGCGTCGAGGTATGATTAAGACTTCGCTCTTCAGTATCACTGGGGCGCTCTGTCAGCGTGTAGCTTAGGCCCCTGGCCAATGTCTCCGTAGCATCCATCTCAAATCTCTGGTCATGGCAAGGATATCAAGCTGGTAGTCTAGGAGTTCAATCCGCTAGACCGCCTGGGCTGACGCTTTAGCGGGGAAAGAAAAAGCGAGGTGTTGGAAGTGAATGGGCTTTTTTATGCTTGATATACTAAGTCGGGAGCGGACGACTGGTTAACTCGTGTTATATATAATTTTCTCCCAATAACTAAGTAGATCAATCTCATTGAAAGCATCATACGACACGCCTCAGCTGCTAGCAGCCCAGCATTAGGCTACTTTGCCGTCGTCGATTGCGACGGCGAACCTGGAACGTTGGCGGATGCGGCCGCCGTACGTGGACAAGAGGAACGGCGCGGGAAGACAGACCAGCGACAGGAAGGCTGGGACACTGCTTGCCCAGTGGATGCCGATGCCGTTGTACATGGCGGTGGTGAACAGGGGGAATGCGGCGCCGCACAGTGAGCGCAGGACCGTCGCCGCCGCCAGCGCCGAGGCTGCATAGCTCACATAGCTGTCGACGAGGTAGTTGACCAACGCCAGCGAGACGCAGATGTTCCCGAATCCGAAACAGGCGGTGCCCAGCATACAGACCACCCAGGGCACCGAGGGCGCATTGGTCCAGGCGAACAGGAAGAGACCCACGGGCAGCAACACCGCCCCGACCTTGCCGGAGGGCAGACGCGCTTCGGGGGGCAACCGGCCGCTCTCGGACGTTCGGCACCGCCGTGCGTACTGGCGGTTGATGATGACCATGAACGCGGTGCCGCACAGCATGCCGATCGCAATGGGGAGAAATGCGAGGCCGCCCACTCCCGGGCTCCATCCGCGGACGCGCTGGAAGACAATGGGCAGAGCCGCGAGGAGCAGGTAGGTGGTGCCGTAGATGAAGGACATGTAGGCGGCAAGGACCATGACGATCGGCTCGCGGACGAGGAGTCGAGCAGGACGGGTCATGGAAACGCGACATCTCTCGGCCAGCGATCCGGGAGGGTTCCGGTGGTCGCCGCTCGTGATATAGAATCTGCCTGTCTGTCTGGTGAGCGCGGCGGCCCGTCGCCGAAGCACCACATCCCCGACGGTCTCGGGCACCAACAGAAGCCCCAGCACGAGCATCACCCCGGCGTAGATGGCGAGCAGTCCCTCAATGGATCTCCAGCCTCGTGTCTCGCCAAGGAACCCGCCCACGATCGGCCCCAGGACCGGCCCGAGAAAGGTTGCCCCCGAGTAGCAGACCGCCGCCAGGCCTCTCGTTTCCGGAGTGTAGAGGTCGGCTACAATGCCGCCGGAGTTGGTGAGAGGCGAGCTGCCGAACATGCCGGCCAGACAGCGGAATGCAACCAACGAGCCGAAGTTCGGCGCGACGGCTGCTGCGACGTTGAAGACGGTGAAGAGGCTGAAGGTGGTTAAGAACAAGACCCTCCTGCCAAACGCTTCCCCCAAGGGTGCCCACAGCAATGGTCCGATGGCGAACCCGAGGACATACAACGACAGCCCCAGCGTGGCAGCCTCGTCGGAGACGCCGAAGTATTCGCAAACGGAGGATAGGTCTCCCGAGTAGGCACTGGACGCAAAGGCAACGGAGAGCGTTGAGAGCCCTGACAGAACTATGATGATGGCCTTGCGGGGGGCGGCGAAGTTCCGGGCATTCAATCGGTCAGTCGGGGGCCACGATATGATCTGCGGATTCTCACGAGTGCCATCCCCGGGCCAGTCGTGTGCAACATCTCCAGCAATCCTGCGGACATCGCTGGTGCCTAGCAAGAGAAAACACCCGATGGCATACAGCATCCTAGGCTTCTTGTGTGGATAGTGCATCGAGTTTGGTATAACCCTTGGTAGACCCTGGGATTGCGAGGTATGCTCACAGCAGAGCGTGCAATGACGGAGAACGAGAATGCGGAAGCAAGAGCCAGGGGCTGGTCTGCATTCTCATGTGTTTACTTGACGAGATGTGCCTAGTTGAGAGACGGAGAATCACGCAGACTGACTGACCCACGGTTTGTTCGGCAATCTCGAGCGAACTAATTGAGGCCAACAGCGTCGATCGTTAATCTGTCTATCAGTACTTGTCATCCTATGCGATCATGCCCGGTATTAGGAGTTAGCAGAACAAGCACCGATACGCGTTGTAAGCTTTTTCAAACTTTTCTAGCCCATTTGCCGCCATTCTTGCTGAACTTGGTTCCTCCCCGGCCGGGGCCGTTGAGTGCCGTTTTGGGCTAGTCCCGTAAGCGATCAGACCCGAACCCTAGCTGGTGTCAATCAATCCATGATTCCCATCGGGTCAAGAAGGAAAAAAACCAAAAAAGATCAAAAGGGAGAGATTCCATTATTCACTCGTCTGCAGTGGGAGGCAAACGACCGAAGAAAGTCCTGTCCAGAACCCCTTCCTTGGTGGAATATTTAAGGTACTGTACGGTGTCTCGGATCAAACACTTCAGATACATTCATTCACCTTGGAGTCAAGTTACCCGCCTTACCAGCGACCTAAGGGTTGTGACTTAGTGTGACTATAGATCATGACTTCCTCACTTTCAACCCAAAGTACCACCATCGCTGCTCCAGGCTCGGGTGCATCGAGCGAGCCATCATCTGCGATGGCCTCTGATTCAAAACCCAGGACCCAGGACCCGCCCAATGGTGGCTGTCGGGCATGGCTCCAGGTGGTTGGGTCTTTCTTTCTATTCTTCAATACCTGGTAGGTGCTACTTCTGCTTGGCCCATCGTTGGAAGCAAGACTGATCCATCGCCAGGGGTCTGATCAACTCCTATGGAGTTTTCGAGACGTTCTACGAGGAGACGTTGCTCCAGGGAACTCCTTCATCGACCATTTCCTGGATCGGCTCGCTGCAGTCCTTCTTGATCATGTTCCTCGGCGTGTTGACCGGACCCATTTACGACGCTGGGTTCGTCATACCCTTGCTGTATATCGGCTCGTTCCTCGTCGTCTTCGGCCATATGATGCTTAGTCTATGCCACAGCTTCTGGCAGGTTCTGCTTGCGCAGTCATTCTGCGTGGGCATTGGGGCCGGCCTGATCTTCGTCCCCAGCATTGCGATTCTCTCGACCTATTTTACCACCAAACTGCCGCTGGTCATTGGCATCGCCGCCTCCGGGTCGAGCATCGGCGGCGTGATCTATCCGATTCTGATCCGCGAGCTGCTGGGCCGAGTGGGATTTGGCTGGACGATCCGCGTTGCGGGCTTCGTGGCCCTCTTCGGCCTGGGCATCTCCTGCGCTGTGCTCCGGGTCCGCGTCCTGCCCGCCAGTCGCCGGAAGTTGATCGACTGGCCCGCGTTCCGCGAGGCCCCGTACACTCTGTTTGTCATCGGGCTCTTCCTCTGCTTCATGGGTCTCTATACCCCGTTCTACTACCTCCAGTCCGTGGCGATCCAGAACCATCTCACCTCGGAACACCTGGCGTTCTACCTGGTGCCGATCATGAATGCCACATCGACCCTGGGACGTCTGGCCCCGGGATATCTGTCCCAGTGGATCGGGTCGCTGAATATCTTGATTCTCTGTGCGTTGAGTTCCGGTCTTCTGGTCCTGTGCATCATCGCCGTGCAGACGCAGGGGTCTTTGTTAGCCATCTGCGCCTTGTATGGGTTCTTCTCGGGGTCCCTGGTCTCGCTCATGGGCCCGATCCTTGTCATGCTGTCCCCTCACCGTGGAGTGACCGGGACCCGGATGGGGATGTGTTTCACGCTGCTGGGCGTGGCGCTGTTGATCGGGACTCCCATCGCCGGCTCGATCCTGGGTTCTCATGGTGCGAATATGGTCTGGGTGTATAGCGGCGTTCTGACCCTCTCGGGAGGAGCGACGATTGGGGCTGCTCGGATGAGGTTGACCGCCGGGAGGCCGGGGATAGTGGCAAAGGCTTAAATTGGATGCTGTGGACTGGATGGTTCTGAATCTCACATGTTAGCTAGATCCAACAGGGTTGGTAAACCCTCTCGCACCACATTGAATTTGAGTCAAGTACGTCTGGACCCATTCGAACACCGTGGTGGGTAGTTGCCACCAGCCTCCGTAACAAGTATGTATTATTATTTTCCCATTGAGTGTTGTGTTGTGTTGAGAGACTCTTGGTTTTGATCATACCAGAAAAAGAATACCTTTCAGTATATTCAGTACAATTTGAGGATCCATCTTGAAAGGCCGCATGGACCGAAAGTAGCTTTACACTGGCTTATTGAGTTTTTAGGTTGCTGTAGGGGAAAGTGCTGTGCAACGCTGCTGTGCGGAGAAATTGGGGCAAATCCTCAGGCGTCGAGAGGCTTCTACTAGGTTAGGTAGCCGTCACTAACCGTTAACCCGATGGGGTTAGCGGCGTAAGCAGAACAGAAGCTGGACCAGGGAACCTTGAAGGATTGCTGCCTTTCTGCCTTACTGCCTTACTACCCCACTGCCCCCGCATCAAGGCATCATCGAACCCTCCGTCCGCCCAGCATCTCTTCTTCTCAACCCCCTTCCTTCCCTCTCCCTCTTCCTCTCCCTCTCCCTTTCCCTCCTGGCTTGAGGTCAGCCCCCATCATCCATCTCCTATCTACAGTACACCACAAACCAGCGTTTCACAATTCACTTACTAATAAGCAACGCCAAATAGAGAGGGAAAAAAAAAAAAACAAAAAACGGGGAAAAGAAAAGAAAAAATAAATGAAAAAAAGAAGAAGGGCGGAAAATCTCCAACAAACTAACAATGACAGACTCTAACGCCGCTGACTTGCCTCACCTGGATATGAGGGCTGAGAGACGTAAGATACAGAATCGCGTGAATCAACGCACCTATCGTAGGCCCTCCCCCCTCTCCCGGTGGCTCGCATCAGTCCGTGTTTTCTTAACCATACTATTGTTAGGCATGAGGCAGAGTGTGCAGAAGAGCGAACCCGCGCGACCTCGGCGTTGGAAGGTCATCGGGTCGCTAAGCAGTCACCATCCCGCTCCCATCACAGGGGACGGTGGCGCAATGCAGGCCAGCAGTACTCTCCCTCCTCCTCCTCCTCCTCCCTCCTCCTCTCATAGTTCCGATCATGCCCTCTACCAAACTAGCGAATTCCAGCGGGATGCCATTGTTTGCCGCCTGGCGCCCCCCCACGGCGGAGAACGGGCCCGCCAATTCGAGCTGGCCGCGTACCGGCACTACATGCAGGGGACTCCCCAGGTCGACCAGCTGCTCACGCTGGTCAAACTGAATGTCTACCGTGCATTGGCCGCCAACCTGAACGCTCTCGGGATGACGGACATCAGGGGCTGGATGCACCCGGATGCCACCTCGGCCTTTGCCACCCTGCAGCCGAGCGCCGCCGCCGCCCTCGACCGCGCCCTGCCCAAGCATCTCCAGCCGACCGCCATCCAGCGGGCGGTGCCACACCACCCCTGGCTGGACTTCTTCCCGCATCCCCGGATGCGCGACCGGCTGATCGTGGCCGGGGATCAGTTCGACGACGAGGAACTGTGCGTGGACATCATGGGCTTCTGGACCGCCGGCAAGGAGGACCCGGCGCTGATCGTCTGGGGCCCGCCGTGGGACATCGCCAATTGGGAGATGTCGGACGCCTTCGTCCGCAAATGGGGATGGACGGTCAAGGACTGCCCGGACCTGTTCCGGGCGACCAATACATGGAGGGCCCTACGCGGGGACAAGCGGCTCTGCAGCCGGTGACATTCTTCGCCGCTTCTTGCTGGTTTCACTCGTTTCCTTCGTGGCAGAAGGATGTAACTATACAGTATCTCGAAGGCCCCCCGTACCGTGGAGACGTATTCGTATGAATAGGATTGCAAAGCACCTGCATCATCTCTTGCGTGCACATAATCGAGGGGGGTGAACTGCTTGCCCCTGGTGCGCCTTGACTAATGTTGCCGAGTGCCAGTTGATGCGCCCGCGTTTCGTGGCCCTTCCACTTCGGTCAGAGCTCGTTACAACAAGCGTATTGAGATGGGTTACCGTGGTCTAGCATTGAGACACAACACAAACACAATCATTTGACTCTCTGTGGCGTTTAATTCACTAATACATAACGATACCGCGCCCGTCCATGGTCCATATCCAAAATCACCTGGTTAGCCTCCTTCATCGGTCGTTCCTCGATCCACGGCCGCACGCCTTTAGCCTCTGCCAAAGCAAGCATCTCGCGGATCTCGCCCGGGCTTCCAATCTTCGACCCGCAGAGTCGCAGCCCGCTCCCGATCAATGCCCCGGCGGCGAGGGTGAACGGACCGTCCTCCGGGTTACCGACCTGCACGAACGCACCATTGGGCCGCAACAGCTTGAGGTAATCCGCCAGGGGGAGCGTGTTGGAGGAGACGGTGGAGATGATGAGGTCCAGGGAGCCGGCGTGGTGGGCCGCCGTCGACCAGTCGGGCTCCTCGGCCGTGGCGACGTAGACGTCGGCCCCGAGGGCGCGGGCATCGTCGCGCTTGGCCGCCCGGCGGGAGAAGGCGGCGACCCAGTCGGCGCCGAGCGCCCGCGCAAAGAGGATGGCGAAATGGCCCAGCCCGCCGACGCCGATGACGCCGACCCGGCGCCCGGGCCCGCAGCCGTACTGCTTGAGGGGCGCATACACCGTCGCGCCCGCGCACAGCATCGGCGCTGCCGCCGCGGACGGAATGCCGTCGGGGATGCGGATCGCGAAGTGCGCCGGCACGCGGTGGAAGGTCGCGTAGCCCCCGTACGAGAGGCTGCCGTCCAGGTAGCGGCCTGCGTACGTGCCCGTCCACAGCCGCGTGCAGTACTTCTCATTCCCCGTGCTGCACTCGACGCAGTGGCCGTCCCCCACGCGCCCGCGGCACGAGTCGCTCTGGGGGCCCACGCCCACGCGCGCGCCGATCGCCAGCCCCTGCGCCGGCGGCACTTGCGCTCCCACGCGCACGACGATCCCCACGATCTCGTGGCCCACGCAGCACGGATACGGGGTCGGACGCTATGTGTTTGAGAGAAGAGGAGTCAACGACGCGGTCGAATTCCGACAGTGGGGACAAACCTACCCAGCCGCTGCGCAAGACACAGAGGTCGGACGCGCAGACGCCGCAGTGAGTGACGCGGATGTCGACGTCTGTTTCCTCCCAGGGCTTTGGCTGGAACTCCCGCCAAACCAGTTGCCCTTGGGCGGCATTCGGGTCCAGGCCCATCCACCCTTCGAATTTGGGGGCGGTGTCCGGCATCGTAAGTGTCGCGAGGAAGATGTAGATGACTGAGGGGAAGGGGGGATGTGGAAGATTTTATTTGAAGTCAAAGGTCCTCGATCGGGGTGGGAGGAGAGGGGCATTGGGTCGTTTTATATGGGGCGCGGGGTGGGAGGGATGTCAATCAATCACCCATGGTAGAAAGCAATGAAAAAGCTTCAGTCGGAATTGTTTACGTTATTGTCAGCATCATTGTTCCGACTCTGTATTTCACTGCCGGATCTGTCCACGCCTTCGAAGTATATTCAGCTACTGGGTAAGCTGTCTGGGTCTTCGCCCTCAATGGGTTAGCCTGTCAGCGTGCGGGAAGTCAGACCCGCTCGCTCGCTCCTGCTCCAAGGCGGTGCTGACATCATTCACGTATGCTCCTTGCTCGTTTCATACCAATTCCTGGTAGATGGAGTTAGGGCAGTTGTTACCCCCTATATCCGACTTCAATTTCAAAAAGGTCCGATTCTTGTGGCGGTAGTGACGCAGAAGGTTGAATGAGTCTCAGGCGCAAGTCATCCCCATTCTGCCTCCAGTATGCACACGTACTGTACTCGTGCAACACGTCATCGTCACCATCAATACGACGAGCAAGCACGGTACTTTTCTCTGGGACTGACTGTCAAGTAAAATTCGGTGGGGCTGAAAACTTCCCTCAGAAGTCAAAGGGAGAATTAGATCAGACTCAGAGTCAAACATCTAGAGTTACTCTACCCGAGCTGGCGGGCTGTAGTATTCGAGATATCCATGGTGCCGACCAGTCAAGGGCATACTTTTGGAGACGGGGCACAAACTACGGCCTCTACTGATCAAGATACTACTGCGAAGGAGGCAAGAAGCAAGCAAGAAAGCAAATTTCCATTTCAAGTCATCGACGATGCCAGGTCCTTTTTACAGGGTGAGGCAATTCACCTGACGGGGCGTAACCTCCCCCAAGAGTTGCACAGCTACTCGCTCAGAGCAACCGTATCGACGTAAAGATACGGCATCATACTGCTTGGATGACGGTCGCCTTGCACCTCAGCGGCCTGGATCACCGCATTAATCTCTTCCAGCTCCTTCGGGCTCAATTGAACGTCCAAGCTCCCCACGTTCTCTTCCAAGTTCCGAATCCTCGTCGTCCCCGGGATGGGAACGACCATTTTGACCGAAGCGCCAAGCCACGCCAGGCTCAGCTGGCCGACGGTGCACTTCTTCTGCGCCGCCAGCGCCTGCAGCCGGTCGACCAGCGCCAGGTTCTTGGGGAAGTTCTCCGCCGAGAACCGCGGCAGGATGCGGCGACGGTCGGTCGCGTCGAAATCGTCGGGGCTGCGGATCTTCCCCGTGAGGAACCCGCGGCTGAAGGGCGAGTAGGGCACGACCGCGACCCCGAGCTCCTCGCAGGCGCGCAGAAGGCCGTTGTGGAAGGCGTCCACCGCGAAGGGCGAGACCTCCACCTGCACCGCGGCGACGGGGTGGACGCGGTGCGCGCGCCGTAGCGTCGCCGCGGAGCACTCGCTCAGCCCCAGGTGCTTGACCAGCCCGTCGTCGACGAGCTGCTTCATCGCGCGCATCGTCACTTCAATCGGCTGCTCCGGGTCGATGCGGTGGCAGTAGTAGAGATCGATCGCATCGCCGTCGGCGAGACCCAGCCGGGCGCGGCTGCGCAGGCACGCCTCGCGCACGTACCCCGGCTCATTGTGGATGCTGGACGGGAGTCCCGGCCGCTGTTGGATGCCGAACTTGGTGGCCAGGAAGATATCCTGCCGCCTGCCGCTGCGTTGGAACCAGCTTTGGGTCGCTCGTGTGGTTAGCAGGGTTTCTGTGGAAGATGGGGCGGAGAGGGGTTTTTCTTTTCTTGGTCCTCGTTCAACACCGCTGGCTGTACTGTACCTACCGCGCGAGAATGTCTTCGTTGTCGGCGTACACGTCCGCCGTGTCCCAGAAGGTGACCCCCCGAGCATGCGCCTCGTCGAGAAACCGTAGCCGTTCCTCATCGGGCATCGGGACTCCGTAGAACATGGAAAGGCCCATGAGGCCAAGACCTACAATCATGCGTTCAGTCTTGTGCGAGGATGCAGATTAAGGAGGTTACCGGTCACCGCTCACCTTGCGCGGACACCAGAGGCCCATTTGCGCCGAGTTGGATAGTGGGAAGCATTGTCGGGTTGGAAGAGGTCGTAGACATCACTGCAACTGTTCACAATAATGATAATAGTGAGACAAGTGAAACCGCGCGCCAGCAGAGAGATCTAAAGTCTCATAGATACGTCTATGCACGTCAGCTGACCCTGGGATGCTCTATGGATTCAGCTTCAGGATCTTCGAGCCCTACATCCGAAAATGGCTAGTCACATAAGCATCTATGATGTGATCCCGTGGGTCCCAGAAGTCCTCAAACCATGGACCCACTACACTTTGACTTGGATTGATGACCAGCGGCAGCGTATCGCACCACCCCGGCGTCGGGCTTCTCCAAGGCGCTACCTCCGGGTGGTTACGGTGGGCCAAACCATGGTCAATCGACGAGAGGGGTTGATTACAACTCTAGCCTGGAAAGTAAAGCACCTGACGTCTTCCACGCTTTTCAACCTGGACCCGCCCAATTGACCCCAATCCACGCATAGGGGTACTGTAAGCAGGCAGCATGACCATGCACAATCATGTCTCCAGGGTCAGAGATGTGACACCCAAATACTCACCCTACTCAACCATCCTTCTGGCATAATCCGCGGATTCATATCGTTGTGAAGATGTTATGTTTGACATGCTTATGAGATCCAAACTGTACTCCCTGATCCACTCAGTCCGTGGGCAGCGCTCACCAGTATTTCCGAATGCCTCTCGATCACACCTGCGCACCCCTTTCCCGCGACCATACGCATCATTTCCCTACCGGCCAACCCATCTACTCGAACCACCGATCGACCACCCACCACCTCCACCCCCCCTTCCTTTTTTTAAATCCATCCCCAACCACCCGCTCATACTCATCCACCTCCGCCCGTAACCCGCCAACCCCCAAATCCGCCCTCTCGGGCCGCACCCACCCCGTCCGTCTAAACACCTTCCACCCAGCCCCCAACCCCACAAACACCGCAATCATCGCATAATCCAACACGAAAGTCTCGGTACTCCACCGCCCGTCCAGAAACACCTCCCACCCCAGCACCAACACCATTACCCCGGTCCCGAAGGCAGCAAACCACCCCGCATACGGCTGGAGATACCCTCGGAACGGGAGCGTGGCCCAATCCACGCCCTGCGCTTTCAAGGCAGCATAGAAGTGCAGATACGTGACACACGTGCCCAGGTAATTCAGGAGATAGGATGCGGTGATGACGCTGACCAGCCAGTTCAGGACGGTGGCGGAGGCGTGTTGCACCTGGAGGAAGCCAAGGCAGCAGAAGGCCATGGTTAGGGCTATCGCGTAGATCGGGAGGCCGCGGGCCGTGCATCGCCCCAGAAGGGCGGGGGCTTTGCCGGTCAGAGCCAGCCCGTGCAGCGTGCGCGAGGCCGAGTAGACGAGGTTGTTGCCGGCGGAGAGGACGGAGGTTAGGATGAGGAGGTTGACGATGTGGGGGAGGACGGGGATCGAGAGGTTGTTCATGGAGATCACGTAGGGGGATCTTTTGGGGTCTGGGTTAGTGATTGTGCGTGATGGGGGGAAGGGAGAGGGGAGGGAGGCTCACGCTGCGCCGGTTCCGCTCCCCTTACGTGTTCCTGCGATCGTCGCGGCTAGGGTCGGGTCGTTGTACGGCAGCACGATCCCCATGCATAAGGCCCCGGCGATGAAGAAGACCATCAGGCGCCAGACGAAGGAGGTGAAGGCCCGATGCATCACCACCCGTGGCCGTTCGGCTTCTGCGGTGGTCATCGAGATGTATTCGGGTCCGACCATGCTGGGACTCGGTTAGAATGTCTTAGCGGGGATGAGACTAGGATGGGTTACGTGAACGACGCCTGGATCATGCATGCGAGGACGCCGCAGAAGCGACCGGTGTTTCCGGCGGCGAGGTATGAGACGAAGGCACCCTGGTATGGTGTGAGTGACTAGTAGGTGGCCAAGTTGTTAGGGCTTGGTTACCGGGTCCTTCCAGTAGCGGAAGCCATATGCATCGTGATGAGGATTCCCTCCGACCATGGTCACGAAGGTGTAGCAGATCAACCCTATCATCAAGATAATCTTGCAGATGGAGAGGTAGAATTCGGCCACTCCAAAGTATCGGACGGTCAAAACATTGAGAATGCTGCGAGTGTTAGCACTCGCTATCAGATAGACGGGGATGCTGTACCCATAGATCACCATGACAATGACAACGACTGCCGCCACCGGTATGCGATCCGTCCAATACGTGAGAAGTACATTGATTGCGACAATCTCGTATGGAATCCCGAGAGCTAGGTCACTGTCAGCCGCCGAATGCACTATCTGCAAAATACTCACCCATCGTGAGGAAGAAATTCCACCCCATGGCAAAGCCTAGGGCATCGTCGACCCAGTGACCTGCCAGCTGAACAAACGGCGACGGTATGGGCAGATAACACACCATTTCCGCTGGCGATAAGCTATTAGTCACAATCCGCTTGCTGCTAGCGTGAGCCTCACCAAAACATTGATTCACAGCGAGAATAATTGTGCCGTATGCCGCAAATCCCAGCAGCAGGCCTGCTGGTCCGCCTTTCGGCAGTACAGCGCCCATCTGCACAAACAAGGCTATCCTTGTGAGTGTCACTACAGGTTTTCAACTGTATCGGAGACTTACAGGTCCCGATAGCGCCGCCCACCGCGAGGAGTTGCACCTCTCTACCCCGCAGCTTGCGGTGCAGATGCTGCGACCCCGCGGACAGCACGTGGGCCTCCTCGACCACCGTATCGGGGATTTTTGTCGTTGTCGATTCCGTCCGGGACTGGTCTTGCATTGCGATCTGCATTCGTGTGACATTTTACACGGGACTTGCTTTGTGGACATTTATATCTGCTTTTCCCCCCTGTAAGCGCGATGGTGGGGTGCGATAGCGGGGTTCGGCCTATGAGCAGGGATGTGGTGGTCGACGTGCAGATGCTGTCTTGGTATGACTTCACTTATCGCCTCCAGTTGACGGTGTCGCTGATTTCATGGAATATAATGCAGTTCTAATGACAAATCGCTCTAACATCATGATAACAGGACCAGCCTGCTGCCCAAACATCACTCTATTCATCATCCCCGAATGGCATCGCCACCCATTCAACCTCCTCGACCGGCGGTTCCTCACTCTCACATCTTGAACACCGACACACAAATCGAAACAGGGTCTGCAGACGCTCTCGTCGAGTCTGGAGGTCCGTGAACTGTGTCAGGTCGAAATACGAGATACAGCATTCTTCCCCAGCGGCGATATCCTTGGCCGCCGTGAAGATCATCCGACCGTGCTGGTCGGGTTTATGCGTCATCTACGCTCAGATTAGCAGCTATGCAGGTGTTCCTGTCCAGAAGAACTCACATTCGGTCCGCAGGAGTGATTCGCGATGGCCGCACGAGGATACACCGCCGCGCCGAACTGCTCGCCCCGGTCGAGGGCATCCGGCGGCACGGGGTACAGCCCCGTCTCGCGCGGGTACAGGCCAAACGAGTTGGCCTCCTCCTGACAGATGAGCTTGAGCACCTCCCTGTCCGGCAGGTGGTGCGGTAGCACCGGCCCATGGCGCAGGTACTTCTTGACGAGCGCCGTCCACGCGCGCACCTGCGCATGCGACCACGAGTCCTCCGAGCCGCAAAAGGACCGCATCGCCTGCCAGCCTTGGGCGAACCCGGGGCCAGAAGCCACCTGCTCATCCGTCGTCGTCGTCGTCGTCGTCGTCGTCGACTTCCTGTCCTCAAACAGTTCAACGTGTCGCGCGGCAAGGATCCGCACAATCAACCACAGCATCCCGAACTCATACTCGCCCCGCTTCTCGCGAATGGAGGGAGCGAACCGCTTGAGCCAGGTGCACTCGAACGCATGGCGGGCGTGGTCTGCGGCCTTACAGGCGGCACTGCACCACATCACATCCCCCAGACAGCCCTGCGGACACGCGAGACGTTCCGCACGGCACGCCATCCGCCGACTGCACGGGGGGTGACTGCACAGCAGCGCCTCGCTCGTCCGGGGGTCATCGACCGCGGGGATCACCGCGTAGGGCGTGTCGACCAGCACCACCTCGCCGCGCGGGATGGGCTGGGCCGCCCGCAGCTGCCGGCCCTTGTAGGGGTCGACCCCTTGCTCGAGATGGGGGTGGATCCACGCCGTTGACGTGGTCTCTGCAACAGCAGATTTGGTCACTGCTGCCGGTTCTAAGGGTATATGCTGCTCTGGGGGCTGTAATAGTGGCATTTTGGAGCTGGATTGTTGCGTGTGGGCACCAGATCTGTCTACCGGGAGGTCAAGTTGGATCCCCCAATTCTTGTCGAAAATTTGACCCAACTTTTTTTCTCCGGGGATTACACTATCACTAGCTGCCTATCGCATCTCTTATCGTCTGCAGAAGTGTGGGTCTTGCGTGCGCTGGGGTCGTCTGGACCAATTGTTCGGGCATGATGCGGTGGATGGGCCAATGGAATTGAGGGAGGATGTGATGGGTCTTATCGGCGGATCGCGTGGCAAAGCTTGCCCTTTTTTTGCAGATTCCATCGACTCCTCATTTCTCCGCTGGATCAAAATATGGGGATATCCTGCGGGTATTGCGGAAAATCACTTGAGGTCGGAACTCATGCAATTTGCCCATGTTTTTGACTTCGGTCTTTGGTTTGGACTGCCATTGGGCTGATGGATGCGGAATTTGAGCGACGGATCTAAGGCCCAGGGCATGCATTTCCATCAAAAGCTTGGTGCCCGCACGACTTGACACGCTCGATACCATCTTGAATTGATCACACAACGGTTAAATTGCTAATCTACTGCTGAAATTGATCACGTAGGAGCCTTTTAGTTGGTACATCAACCAGGTTCTGTACGGTGCTTGGTCAACTGAACGAGGGACTTGTGAGATGCATAATTAGTAATCAGCTTGCGTGGATGCATGATATGGGCATAAGATCTGCTGTTGTCTCGCGTGAAGATTGACGCTGTTCTCAAGAGTACATTATGAACTAGATGGTATACCTTCCTGTAGCCGGGATGTTACTGTGAGGCTTTTATCTAAGAGCGCCAGGCACTTCCTCACACATAACCCTTTCTTTATATACAACCAATCGACTAAAGAACATGGAAGCAAGTACAACAAGAGACAAATTAAATCAACTTGATCGAATGAACCCATAACCATCATTCACTAACAGCAGCGGCGGCGACGAGCGCATCACACGCGGAGCTCTGCGTCGAGGCATCAGCGCTCGCAAACGGGCCCGACCAAGTCCCCCCCAGCGCATCGCCATCGCCCCGGTCCTTCTCCCAGATACTATCCGCATTCTTCAGCAGGAAGCTGCGGATCTGCTCACTGGGCGCCGCCTTGTACAGCACCGCCAGATTGCGCATAAACACGCCCTTGAACTGGGGCGCGTCGCCGGTGCAATTTGGCTCGCACGGCTCGGTCAGCACGCCGTCCGCGTTGGCGAGCGCGCTCATCGCCGCGCCCGCGATCTGCTGCGCCGTGGAGAGATACGACGCGTCCCCGAACAGCTGGGTCATCTCGACGAGCGCCCCCAGAATCACCCCCTGGTTGTAGGTCCACACCGTGCCGCCGTCGTTGCGGCAGCTGCCCAGGTCCAGCCCGTTGTTGATCGTGTGCTGGTCGTTGATCAGCCCGCTGCGCGCGAACCAGCCCCAGCTCTGCGCCGCCCACTCCTTATAGTACCCCGCCTGCGCGGGCACCCGCCGCCCCAGGTGCGCCGCCACGCTGAGGAAGAGCTCGTTCTCGATCGCCCCGTTCTGCGTGTGCGATTTGTCCCACCACAGGCCGCCGCACGTCGCGTTCCAGCCCGTCGTCATGTCGGCGAAGATGCTCGCCGCCGTGCTCAGGTAGCGCGTCTCCTGCGTGCGGTCGTACACCGCGATCCAGGCCAGCGCCCACCAGGCTTCGTCGTCGTAGTAGTCGTTGATGAAGCCGGGGTAGGCGCGGCGCGTGAGGCGGTGGGTGTTGCTGCGGCTGGCGTGGGCGCGGGCGTGGGCCTCGCGCTTCACGGCGCGCGCGGCGGTCGACCCCTGCGCCCGCGTGAGGGTGTTGGCGAAGACGGCGGCGTTCGCGCCCAGCTGGCTCGCGTCCAGCGCGGTCAGGTCCGCCAGCACCGTCAGGCAGTTGGCGCTGTTCCACCAGCCGGTCGTGTCCCACAGCCCCGTGCTCGGGTTGTACCATTTCTGCAGGGTCGTCACCGCCGCTTTGGCGTGGGAGAGGTAGTCGGTGGCCGCGAGGGCGCCCTGGAGGCAGAGCAGGGATGTGAGCGAGGCTTTGACGATCATCGTAGCTTCGATTCAATACTCAATGACAAGGTGAGTTGTAATACTGGGTAAGTCAACAACCAGCAGGGGTGTGCAGGGTCTGCAGGGTATTTAGCATTGTTGTCGCCCGGGCGAACGGTTCTTTGTCCCCGGCACAAATACCGCCCACCAACATGTGTCTTTGTTGCTGGATGAGTCGCAGACGCATGATTGGACTGTGCTTGCTTTTGAAACACTTCTTTGGCCAGAAATAGTGCTGCTTTTTTGGGGGCCAGATGGGCCCAAAACTGGGGGATGGACGGTGATTGGGAGGAATCCGCTGGGCCTCATTTCTTAGTGCGACGACGATCTTCCGCACTGCCCGCCGTGTCTGCCCCCTGAATATGGGATTGGTGTGTTCCAAGGGTCCAGGATTACATTTGTTAGGCAGAATCAAAGGACCCTGCTTTAGACATAGTCCCCAGGCTTCGAAGGATCAAGGGTTTCTGGGCGTTGGGGCTAGGGTCGGTCTGTGGTTGTTGAGTTGGCTGCTCCCTTGCCGAAATGGGCTGCCCGCCCTAATTTGAGCACTTCTTGCAGACACTGCACTGCTCGAGACATTCTTCGTGACGGACATCTTGACCCACGTCAGACGTGCAAGCAGAGTTCTACTGTGGTCTTGTTAGCCGGTGCAAGCATGATAGAAATTCTCGATTCCGTGACTCGTACCTTCGCGTTGACATCCACAAAGTACCACAAGAATCTTATGTGGTGCGTGGTGCCTGTAGTGAGTGAGTCGGACGAGAGGCCAGGGTCACAACACTCGAGCCAGAGAAAGGATTACTAGCTCTCACAGCTTTTCTCGATCTCGGATCGGTCAGTGAAGTGGACATTCTCACCAAGTCAGGGCGACAGGCGATGTCATGTGAGTATCTCCCTCTGCATGAAGTCCATGTCCAGTGTAAGTCTTGCCACTAACGTTGGAAAGAAAAGCTAAAAAAGCCCGCTGTTCTGCTTATTGACTGCCAGCCAATCCACCGACCCAGAATCTTCTTCGTCGGCCTCTTGGCTGTTTTCTCCGACCGAGGTGAAGAAGCCCGTCGAAATGGGAGGGAGCTGAATCATCTCGGCCTTGAGCTTCACCCCGAGGTTTCGTAATGAGGTCAACACCCCTGCTGCACAACCCAAACCCTCGTATTTTTCTTTTCTTTGTCTTCTGTCGTCCTCACCTCTGTTGCAGTTGCTGCTCTGATTCCAAAGCTAGCTTTGTAATTATTCTGTACTGAAGAAGGACAATTCCTGTTTCCTCTGCTGAAGCCGCCTCCGGAAGACATATAACTACTAGTAGCGCGATCTCACGTACCCGACAGTAGTAAGAGCCAAATCTCAACACTCGATCTCATGGCAGCGATCCTGGTGACCGGTGCGACCGGCAAGCAAGGCAGCGCGCTCATCAAAAATCTCGTCGCCAGAAATGCACCCTACGAGATCCTCGCCGTGACGCGAAACTCCAATTCCGGGGTCGCCCACCAACTGCGCCAACTTTCGTCCAAGGTCAAGCTCGTTGAGGGCAATCTCGACAACCCCGCGGGGATCTTTGACAATGCGCACAAAGCCACCGAGTCCCCGATTTGGGGGGTCTACAGTGTCCAGGTACCGCTCACGTACTCCTCACCCAGTGATAGGCCCCAGTCGCGCTGACCAGACACGTTAGGTGGCAATTGGGAACGGCTCCCAGGAAGAACCCCAGGGCAAAGCCCTCGTCGACGAAGCCCTGAAGCAGAACGTCAAGTTCTTCGTGTACAGCTCGGTCGACCGTGGCGGCGAGGCCTCGTCCACCACGCCGACCAAGATCCCCCACTTCCAGCACAAACACAACATCGAGCGGTACCTGGTCGACAAGTCCAAGGGCACCGAGATGAAGTGGTTCATCCTGCGCCCGACGGCGTTCTTCGAGAACCTGGTGCCGGGCTTCTTCGGCAAGGTCTTTGCCACCTGCTTCAAGATGGCGCTCAAGGGCAAGCCGCTGCAGATGGTGGCCACCAGCGATATCGGCTACTTTGGCGCCGAGGGCTTCCTGCACCCGGAGGCCTGGGCGGGCAAGGCGCTCTCCCTGGCGGGCGATGAGATCACCTACGACCAGATGGTTGAGATCTTTGAGCGAAAGACGGGGCAGCCCATCCCGTCGACCTTCCGGGTGCTGTGCTCCATGTTCATGGCGTCGATGAAGGATATGGGGTACATGTTCAAGTGGTTCCACGATGAGGGGTACAAGGCGGATATCCCCGAATTGCGGCGGATGCACTCGGAGCTGAAGGATTTTGGGACGTGGTTGGAGACGGAGAGTGAGTTTGAGATGAAAAAGTGAGGGGACCCCGGGAGGTTGTTTCTGGGGATTCTGTTTGAAGACGAATGTAAACTAGCAAATTGTTGTTTACTCTTAAGTTGTAATAATTTTATGCTACGGTTAATGCGCTTAAGATTCTGGTTGTGCAGGGAATTGTGCGGAAGAAGAAAAAGGCGGATACATGCAGGATGACTCAGCGGAAGCAGCCGTCTGTCTCCTCGCGTCGATCATCGCGGCGAAGATAACTTCATCTTCATCCCTATTCTAAACATCCTAAACACTACCGCTCGTTTCTCTTTTCACTTGCAATAATCCTCTGATTTATCTACGCTATCCCCTCAAATAACCTAGTTTTGTGGCCTCTTGTTTAAATAAACGTCTACCACGCCCCGCGTAAGGATGCCGCCCGGGTCCGACCGGAAGACCAGCGGATCCAAACGGAGCTGCATTCGGTGCAACCAGCGGAAGGTGGGCTGCGACAAGAAGAGCCCCTGCGGTCGATGCGCCAAGGCTGGCCTCGAATGCATCCATCCGGGAGAGAAACGAGCCCCTCGGAAGCTGAGACGCCCGCCCGTCGCCGAGATTTTGGCCCATCTCAAGGAATTAGAGGCCGAAGTCGAGAGGCTGCGCTCCGGGGCGAGGCCAGATGATCAGTTGGATCAAGCATCCCAGCCTGCCACTGAGGCCGGCTCGCGGAGCGATGTAGAGGGACTGGCTACGACTTCTCGCGGTCGGCTGGTCGTGCAGGGCGGACGGACCCGGTATGTTGGGGATGAGGCCTCGGTCATTCTCGGGGATAAGGTAGGCTCCTCTCGTTGAGAGAATAGTACGCAGGCTCACCAATAATTCACAGATCCGAGAACTGCAGGAAGTATGCGATGAATCCTCAGAGGAGGATATTGACCCTCGACTGCGCCCCAGCAAAATTGGTCCAGCGCCAGTACCGTCCATAGGAATTCTGGGGTCCGATCACGCAGCACCAGGCCATAGTCCGAGCGCTTCGATGACGCCTTTGCCAGTATCCCAGCTACAGGCACTGTGGGAGATTTACCGGGTAAATGTAGCTCCTATGATTGCCCTCCTGCACCTGCGCTCGATGGAGTCCATAATCCTGCAGGCGGCACAGGACAACGACAACCTAGATCCTGAACAAGGAGCGCTCATATCGGCTGTGTGCTTCGCAGCCGTGGTGAGCATGACGCCACGCCAATGCATCTCACTATTTGATGAGCCGCATGATACGTGTATCGAGAACTACAAACTTGCCACGGAGCACGCCATAGCAAGGGCGAACCTGATCAGTACCCAGGACATCCACGTCTTGCAGGCCGCCACTTTGTTTCTTCTCTGTCTTCGCCGATGCGGTGACTCGAGGCTTGTTTGGGCGGAAAGTGCCATAGTCGTACGGGTCGCACAGCGGCAGGGGCTGCATCGTGATGGTCAACGTCTGGGCCTGAGTCCTTTCGAGATCGAGATGCGTCGCCGACTATGGTGGCATATTTGCATTCTCGACATGCTCTGCTCCGAGGACCAGGGTACAGATACGCAGATCCGACCGGAGATGTTTGACACGCAAATCCCATCTAATATTGACATCGAGGTGATGGCGCCGGAGTTAGCCACGATGCCACTCCCAAGCTTGGGCTTCAGCGATATCACGCTCTGCATTGTGCACTGCGAAATGATGACCTACCTCTACTGGCCCAGCAAGTCTTTCGACGAGGGGGTCGATGCGATGTCCTCGGAGCAGAGAAAAACTAGATTGCACGACTTAGAGGCCTATCTGGAGACCAAGTACCTACAGCGACTGGATCTGGACAGCCCGATTCAGTGGATCACGGCGGTCATCGCCCGGCTGACGCTGTCGAAAGCATGGCTGGTGACGCGCCTCACTGCTGCACCCGCAGAGCCCACCACCACCACCACCACCACCACCAACGATGAGATCTTCCGCATGGCGGTCGAGACGGTCAAATTCGCCAACCTGCTCCACCGGGACGTGCGCATCTCGCAGTGGGCGTGGCTCAGCAAAAGCTACAAGCACCGACACGTCGTGGCATACCTTCTTTCCGAGCTGTGCAATCGTCCCATCTCGCCCGACACAGATCATGCCTGGGAAGCTGTCACCCAGATTTACGATCAGTGGCAGCACGACGACGTCAAGACGAACGATATGCTGCAGAAACCACTAGCGCGGTTGATGGAGCGCGCGGCCGATCTGCGGAGGAAGAAAACACGCCAATCCACGAGGTATCTCCCCATCAACGCTGAAAGAAGCCCGCGACAGGCAAAATCTGGGCAGTGGATACCAAGTTCAGGGGCGTCGGAAGGACAAGGACAGGACACCGGCCTCAGCACAAACGGGATGGGCTTGACCCCGTCGCCGGAATCCGTCCTGGACGTTGCACAAAGTCTGGGGGAGTTTTTCGGTGGCTCTACGTCTGCCATGGACTGGCTCACAGGGTCATTGCTCTGATGAATAACGAGGGATGATTCATCATCTCCCGAGTGGCGACTGAATGAGACAAATTTGGATGGCACCCGCCCGCCAAGCTTGAGCTCGGGGTTGAGACTCAACCCGAGAATTAGTAAACGCCATGGTTGCAAAACCTATAAGAGGGCCGACTGTTTCTCAACTTACGATGATAACCGTCTTCTATCTACTTACTATCCACTACTCAACATCTTTAAAGCCCGTCCCTCAACTTCAAAATGGCCATTACCGTTGGTGTTGCTGGTATCACCGGAAAGTTCGCTCGCCGGGTGGTCAGCCACCTGCTGCAGCACTCCGACATCACCATCCGCGGCTATTGCCGTGACCCCAGCAAGGTCCCCGCGTCCATCTCCTCATCCGAAAAGGTTGCCCTTCTAAAAGGGGATGCCTTTGACAGAGAGGCGATCCGATCTTTTGTGGCGGGCTGCGACGTGATCGTGTGCTGCTACCTGGGCGACGACAAGCTCATGGTGGAGGGCCAGAAGGCTCTGATCGACGCGTGCGAGGAGGTCGGGGTGCCTCGCTACGTCGCCAGTGACTGGGCTCTGGATTATACCAAGCTCAAGCTGGGCGAGCTCTTCCCGAAGGACCCGATGATTCACGTCAAAGCCTACCTGGACACGAAGGAGAAGGTCAAGGGGGTGCACATCCTGATCGGCGGGTTCATCGAGCCGGTGCTCAGCCCCTTTTTCAACATCCTCGACCCCCAGACCCACACATTCCGCTACTGGGGTGAGGGCGACGAGTACATGGAGGGGACGACTTACGACAACGCGGCGGAGTTTACTGTCGCGGTGATCCGGGATGCGGAGGCTACGGGCGTTGTTCGCTGTATGTTTCACTTGTTTCTTGGAGATGAAACGAGGGTACGTGGTTACTAACGGATTCAAAATTCAGTCCTCGGTGGTCGTGCCACCATCCGTGAAATTGCACAATCCTATGAAAACGTCTACGGCGTCAAGGCCAACCTTGAACGACTGGGCTCCCTGGACGAGTTGTACAAGACCATGCACCAGAAGCGGGCGGAGAATCCTGCTAATATCTACGGCTACATGTCGCTGTATGTCCCTTGATTCCCTCTTGGTTGAAGCCTCTTCCATTATCGACGGTTGGCACTAATTGTGATCTGCGTGATATAGCTTCTTCTATTACTACTGGGTGAATGGACAGACTTTTGTTGGTCCTGAGACGGATAATGCCAAGTACCCCAATGTCGAGCCGGTTGACTGGGAGAGATTTATGAAGCAGTGGCCGTTGCAACAGCTGCCTACTGCCTACTTCGCTTTGAATGCTTGATTCTTTGCGTTGGTGGAGGGGTTAGTGAAGGGAGGCGTTTCTCTTTCGGCGTATAAGCAGCAATCAACAGCGATTAATTTCCGCAAAAAAGAATGCGAAACATCTGATCCATCACAAAAACAACCAAGGTAAATGTAAACCAACTGAAAGGGGATCGAGCGACAGGTCGTCACCTAACAAATCGCAGCTGTGCGATGATGGGTATGTTACACTGCAGGGGGAATCTAGGCAGCGCCAGGCACCAGCAGTCAGGTGACCCGCCTTGCGTCCTGGTCTCTACAGAGACAAGAGGAGCTTCACTTCCAGTTCACCTCAGTCTTCTCAACACAACTCCACTGGCCATAAATTCAACCTAAATCCTGCTTTCCAACAAGAATCTCTTCCAAGCTAACACTCGCTTTCATCCCACGTTCCCTGGAGCAGCTATCTCATTCCAGCCACATATTTTCGCTGTCGGCCTTCACCATGGACGAGGATTCCAATTCCAAGTGGGAGCCAACCCCAGACGATGACGACCCTCTCAAACCCATGCGCACCCTCGCTGATCTGGAAGCTGATGTCTCTGCAGCGGTGATCCGTGTATGTGAATTCTCTTCCCCCACCCCTACCCGCCTCTCGAGTCATCCACAAAACTGACAAGCGTATGAGTAGGACTGCAAACTAGACGCCTGCGTGGGCTGGTTCAGCGAGAAGATCAGGGCGCTGCGGCGATCCGCGAAGGTAGAGAAGACAGCAGACTGGATCAAGGGTTGGCCGGATGTGACTTCGCTCGCCCCGGAGACAGCCCAGCAGGTGGAAGAGCTCAGAAGTGAGCTGAAGCATCACCTCGCTCGCCTCATGCCAGATGAATTCACAGAAGACATGGACATCTCGGCGGATCATCCCGATATCCTGAAACGACTGAAGCGGGTCGAGCCATTGCGTTATGCCAGACCACCCCCTGCGCTCGATCATCATATTAAGGCTCTCTTGGATGGCTTGCTTCGGTCGCATGAGGTCCGGCTTCCTGGGACTCATCCCGAGTCGCAGGATAATCATGCACCGCCTACCACGGCAGAAGAGGAGGCTACCATGGGACGGCGATACTTCACTGAAGCCTGTACGCGACTCCGCACCGCCATCGAGGACGAAAACTCTTCGGCCCTGTTCGCCTGCGGTGGGAGTATTCCTGTCGTGGACCGTGGCCAGGCCGGGTCAGGAGATAAGGCGGCGACAACGACGACGACCAGTCCTGTGCAGGTGTACTGGTCGGCCGCTCGCAGTGACTCCACCGCGCGAAAGCTGGTTCTGCCGCTAGATGGACTGGTCCCGCAATCCAGCGCGGCCGCCTTGGATGATCTGGTGGCTGCCTGCCAGCCCGCCAGTTTCGGCCGCAATGGGGAGGAGATCCTGGATCCAAGCTATCGGTTGGCGGGGAAGATCGACCCGGCCAACTTTGCGTCCAGCTTCCACCCGGCAGACTTCGGGATCCTGCAGATGGTCGAAAATGTGCTGCTCCCTGGTATCAGCGAGAAGGATCTTGGCCGTGACGATGATGGCTCTAAAAAGGTGATGAGCAAATCTGCTCGGCATTACAGAAAGCTTCATGCGGAACTTTACAAGTTGAATGTGTGTTCCCCCGATGCTTTCTGCCTCAATAGCCCAGGCGTGTACGCAAAAATCACTGATGCGGAAAATGATGATAGGTGTACTCCGGCCCATCGGGCCATTTCGCCACACATGTCGACACCCCCCGCTCCGATAGTCAGATCGGCTCCTTGGTGGTTTGCTTGCCCTCAGAATTCTCGGGTGGTCGGTTGACGGTGCGGCACAGGGGCCAGCAGAGTGCCTTCGACTGGAGCGATGCCAGCCAATCCGCCATCCAGTGGGCCGCGTTCTATAGCGACTGCGAGCACGAAATCGAGACTATCACCGAGGGCCATCGATTGACGCTGACGTACAATCTGTACATCACTCAGGCCCCCACGGCAAAGATCGACGCATCCAGCCTGGTTCTTCAGCCTCAATCGTTCCCATTGTATAATGCGGTGCACGAGATCTTCTCTAACCCCCGTTTCATGGAGCAAGGTACGTGCTCCATCACCTCATCACATTTGACAGCCATATCCCAGAGTTCATGCTCACAGAAGAAATTGTAGGCGGCGTCCTCGGGATGTTCTGCTCCCACGCGTACGCGCACACCTCCAACGACGCACACGTGCGCCTGCCTCGGGCGCTCAAGGGTGCCGACCTTGTGGTCTACTCGGTGCTGAAGAGCTTGGGGGCCGAGGTCAGCGTGCTGCCGGTGCTCGGCGAAGATGACCGCGCAGTCTGGGATGACTGGGAAGAAGCAATTTACAACAGCAGAATGTATCAGGGTCTGGAGACGTACCTCAAAGGAGGCGGCGAGCTGCCTAAGATCCAGACCAACGAGTGCCTGGGCGCCGAGTATGGCCGAAAATATGATCTGGACCGTCGCTGGAAGCTGCTTCTCCTCATCCGGCGGGTGTCGGCGGTGCGGAGCGGGGCTCGGATCATGCACTCGATTGATAGCGAGAGACGCAGAAAGGGCAAAGATGCGAAAACCGTCGCAGATAGAATGGTCGAAGATGAAGCAGAAGCAACAGAAGCAGAAGGAGTGGTGGATTGGTCCGACGGTCACTTCTACCGGAAACGCGGGACGCTTGTCGCGCCACGCCTGTGGCCGTACGGCACTACTAATTATGGCGAGCACTCGTCCACGGGAGAGGTGAGTTTGGATCTTTCACCCCCGAGTGAAAGAAAGAGGGGGGCTTGAGGGAGTCGATTGCTGACGGAGGCGTCACAACGTTCCATAGACCACAATGGCTGCGTGGCCATTTCTCTACCTTCCGGGTATCACCTGGCTGAATCGACCCAAGCATGCGGAGATGGCGTTTAGTCATGTCACGTATGGTAACGAGGCTGGAGTTGGGACGCAGTATTCCTATGCGGCGATCTTTGCGGCCATCCCACCGCTCGAAGAACGAAAGAAGCATTTGGCCTAGCAAGGGGACGAAGGCTACTAGCCTCTCAGACTGTGTGCAATCCCGCCGACAGAATGCAGCTCGCAGGGCAATGGCTCATCTCTTCTTCTGTCTTTTGATTCTGTCGCGCATTCTTACTGGAAGTCTCTTGCCTTTGACAAATGCAACACAATTTGGGACTCTTGTGATGTTTGTGGTTTTGCCTCGAGGAGCTCAACTAAATACGGACAACGAGTCTTCTAGCGAAAAGTAAACTGGACTCCACCAACCCACCACTCATCACTCCCAACTCACGCGAAGAACTCCCTCCTCAACCTCTCGGAATGCTCCACCTCCCACGGAAACTCCCTCTCGACATCCCGAATCAAGCGCTCATACTCCTTACTCCGGGGCGTCACACGGACCCCAAACGGGGCGGGATGGCTAATCGTCCCCGGCAAGAACTCCGGACGCACCTCGACCTCCTCCCCCTGTTCGGTCAGGGCCTTCCCGACCCAACACGAGCCCAGCGTCTGCGCCACCGTCAGGAAGATATTCGAGTCCGCCAGGGTGCGTCCGGGGCAGACACGCCGCCCGAACCCGAAGGCGAGGTAATGCGGATCGCGCTCGGGGTGGGCGCCCAGGAAGCGGGCGGGGTCGAAGGTCATCGGGTCTTTGTAGGCGGCGGGGTCGTGGCAGAAGGCCCTGTAGTCCTAGGGTTAGTTCTGGATGGGTGGGTGGGGTGTCAAGGTTTGTCTGCGGGGTTAACGTGAAGGGGGCAGGCTGACCAGATATTCGGGAGAATGATCGAGCCCTTCGGGATGAGGTACCCCCCGCAGATATCGTCCTCCATGGAGCGGTGCGGGATCCCCATCGGGCCGACGGGGTGCCAGCGCAGCGCTTCTTTGACCAGTGCATCGACGTAGGGCAGGTTCGGTCGGTCTGCGTCTGTGGGCAGTCGGCCGGGTCCGATCACGCGGTCGATTTCTTCCTGCGCTTTGCGTTGGACGTCCGGGTAGAGGGCCATGGCCAGGAAGAAGGTTGTTGTGGTGGATACGGTCTGTTCCCGTTGGCTTCAGTATCTTTACCCGATATTTGGAAAAGGGAGAGGCAAGGGTACCGTATCAGCGCCAGCGGCATACAGTGTGGCGGACGACCATTTGATGACCGTCTCCTCCTCCGTTCCTGGAGCTAGCACCTTGCCCTCGAGCAGACTGGACGCGTAGGAGGGCTCGTAGCCCGGCTGCGCCATCTGCTGGTGCACAAAGGCGAACGGGATGTCGGCCACGGCTTGGCTTTGTTTGCGGAAGAACTGCGCCGTGCGCTGGAATCCGGCGCCGGGGAACCAGGCGGGGATATGGCGGACTTTCGTCTGCGTCAGATGGATGGGACAGTCACAAGGGAAGGGGCAGGGACGACGTACGGAACGGCAGAACATCCACCATCCACGTTCCCGGGCGTACGGCCAGCGAGAATTGCTCGACGGCTTCGTCGGCCAGATCCACCAGCGGGTCACGCTTGTGCGGGTCGATGGAGTATCCGTAGGCGATCTTGAGGATCACGGCGCCCGCCAGTCTGGACGGTCAGCGTTTCCTGGAATTTCGGGCAGGGGCAGAGAAGGGAGGCACGTACTTGCGAATGTGTCCCACCAAATCCTCGGGCTGGTTGATCAAGCGCAACAAAAACCGCCGCACTTCCACCTCCTGCAACGCGTTGAACCGCGCCACGCTCGCCTTGGACCCGATCTCGCGGTGCAGGCTCTTGCGGTACGCCTTGAAGCGGCTCGAGTAGGGAAGGATGACCAGCCCGTCACCCCAGCCGGCGCTGCTCTCGTTAGCCTAAGGAGCAGGGCTATAGGGGATAGTGAGGTGGTCTCACAGTTCGGCAAATGGCATCTTGGGCCGATCTGAGTGGATGGCGGATCGCTTCTCCAGGAGATCAATCGCTAGGTTGGCATCGTTGAGGATGATGAGTCGCTGTCCGAGAACAGAGACGGTGCTGATGGATCCTGATGCGGATGTGAGCATGACGCTCGTCACTTAGGAAGGGGCTTTGTCTACCGTAGGCATCCTTATGTTTCAGCCAATGCAGCCAGTCCGGACTATCTGGAGAAGGAAGGTCGCGGATGTTGCCCACCAGTGGCAGAGGCGAGGGGCCCGGAGGCAAGGGTGCAGAGGCACGGCGCGTTGATGAGAAGAATTTGAGCAAAAGGTAGAGGCCGACAAGGCCGACGACGAGCGGTAACAGGTACATTGCAATGGGTCTGGTGGGGTTCTCAGGTGCAGGACATGATAGACGCAGAGCGTTTAGGGCTGCAATGCACGGGAGGAAGTGCGTAAGGGTCGGTGGAGGCGACACGCGGGGAGAGAGTTAATATACCCATTTTTGCCTCCGCGATGGCGATCTTTCACCAAGCGAACTATACTACGGGCCGTCTGGACTCTGACCGCGGGTCGTAAAAGCGAAGCGGTCGAGATGTTGCCAAGACGTGTTATATTGACTAGCACCGCGTGTGGGGATGATGATTCTACTCGAATTCTTGCGAATCACGGTACCGCTCTGGGTAGTATAGGTTTGACTCCTATAGTTGGGTCCCTGGGCCATTGGGCCATCGGGCAAATGCCGCGGTAACTTCTTACTGGGTCTATTTGATAGGCCGGGCCTGAGCCGTCTCCAAAAGAAGTGGCACTAAATTGACGATACGAGAGAGTGGAGACTCCCCTGAGGCTCGGAGTGGGGAGGCGGGTTTCACCATCCTTCCGGTCATGCTTGCTAGCGAGAACATGTCGAACAGGGAGCACAGGGCCTAGCATAAAAGCCTCATTAGCATGCATTGGGTTCACACCGGATCAAGTTACAAGTGAGTACTAGGTAATCCGCAAGCTTATCAATCTGCTGGTTGGGCTTATACATCACTAACTGAGCGGCCGATGGTGATTGATGCCTCAGGCATCACGTCATGGAGACGTACAGTACATCTTGGTCGGTACCTATCTCGCTTCTAGCATCTCAATAGGGCTTTACGATGAATAGTGTGAGCCGATTCTAGTCTCTCCAAGCTTTACTATTATCTTCTCAACCATGCCTTTATGACACTACCTCATCCGGTGGGGCCCTATGCAAGCACGGCACAAAACCGTTATCTCGTATCTGCAGGCCCGTGGCCAACGTGGATGCCGGTGCTTGGACTACGACCTACCAAGACACTAGTGCGGCTGATTGATAACTTCTGCCTCGCACTAAATGTGTCTCTTGTGCCAAGAAATTTTAATATAGAGAGCCCCGTTGGGTACAACATAATGACAGCAAGTCCCTCGCCGTTAGAGGTCCTAGGTCTACTGCTCCGAATTGCATGCATGCCTCCAAAACCATGCCAAAAAAATCATTGACTAGTAGAAATATCCAGAGTGTACACGTTACTGCTTCTTCACCACTTCCCTCGCGATAGCATTCTCCACCAACTGCACCACACTCCTCCGGTCAAACACCTTCCGCGTCGACTCCAGGAGCACCTGCATGTACCAGGGGATCGCCCAGCGCAGCGGCCCCAGCCACCACGCCTTGGGCGCGACGATCATGGCGGCCCCACTGGCGGTCTGCGTCGCCATGAGCGTGGCCCCCAGCCCGGGGCTCATCGCGAGCCGCTGACCGTGCACCGCGTCGACGAGGGACAGCATTCCCAGGAAGAACGCGGCGTCCATGTCCGGGGGGAAGTCGCTGGCGAGGGTGCCCGTGGGCGGGCCGGTGTGCGTCTTCGGATGGCCCCAGATCAGGAGGGTGGTGTCGGTGTGTCGGCCTGCAGGGAGGGTGCTGGCGTATGCTTCGCCTTCGGTGGTAGACCAGAAGGGGTCGTCGGGTGATACCCTGCCCTGGGCATTAGTGTTATTGTGGAATGATCCGGGAGGGAGTAGCTCACGGCCAGAAGTTGTGCGGAAGGTATGGAGGGATGAGCGTCACACCGTCTGCCGATCGCGTAGGTAGCTGTGATGCATGACCCCTGCGAGATGCAGTCTGAGGGTATGCTCTCTCGGTCGTATGGATGGTGTCGATCACACCGTATGTGGTCGTAGTGCCTGCCGCGCCGGATTCCACGATGAATGACTCGGCTTGGTAGAAGTGGATGTGGAGTGGAGGTGCCTGGGTGGGGATTAGCATTTGCCGTGTACCTGCATGCACGAACGAAAAAGAAGAAACACCGACTTGAGGATGCTGTTTCCCCAGCTTCGTTAGAGCATGTCCGCCAAAATAGGTCGCCCGCATCAAGACGGTGGCGTCCAAGTCGGCGGGTACCTGCAGGAACTCGATGACAAAGGAGCCGTCGAACATCTTGTGCGGGCCCCCGAGAGGGGCAGGGAGCCGGGGTTCATCGCCTGTGGGACGTAGGATTGGCATTGTTACCGAAAGATTACACCGAGAAGAAGCACAAGCTTGGAAGTTGACGGGGGTGCTAGGAGGAGCTGGCAGGATACCACGGCGGCTTATAAGGGTTGATGCACGAGGCTAGCGGAGCCCAACCGAGCTAGTCCACTTGCCCTCAGCCCCGGCCGTATGCTGACAAGCTATACGAACCTGGCAACCCAACTCCATGGAGCAACGTTAGTCATGGGCTTGCTCTCTTCTTTGTCAGTCTGACAAATGGAGCAAGATGGGAGTTGTTCTCGTTTTACGAGTTGGGCTTGCCTCCGAAGCAAGAGGACGGGGGCGTGTGGCAACATTATTTGGAATTGCGGACAGCACAGTCTTAGGGTCACAGAGTCGAGGCAAGGTCTCGGGGGGATTGCCTGTGGTCTAGAACTATCAAGATGTAAATACCTATACAGTAGATCAATCAAGACATCGGAAAGAGTGAGTTGGCAGCGGACAAGGATTCCGCCATTGCTGCCTCAGGCCTCACGCCCAGCTCCAGCCGTAACCAACTTCCAAATAAGGACTAGCGGGCTCATGGGCAGCGGACTAGCCCGCAATTTCCGCCTTCGGGCAAAATCGGCCCATCGCCTGTCAACTTCGGGGGACTTTTTCGTTCTTCGAATTCTGGCCTGGGTC